GTACTCTGCGCAGCCGAGCATGGCGGGGCCCTCAACGTCGTTCGCGGCACCGTACACCGCTCAGCTAAGCATAGCTGGGCCCTCCACGTCGTTTGCGACGCCATACTCCGCCCAGCCAAACACGGCTGGGCCCTCTGGGTCATACCAGGCCATGGCGTCCAGGTCGCCCGTCGAGCACCCCGTAGTCGACTTCGAGAACGCCTCGAGCGACGATGAGGTCGACGAGCACCGGATACGGCGGCTGGCGGAACGTCGGAGGTACCGCGAAGCGCGTCGCAACACCGGCGCGCAGGCTGCGCCCGGACAAGGCGCGCCTTTTTCGATGAGCTCCTCCACGGCTCAGTCAACATGCGTGGTGCCAGGATGGCCCCACCACCTCATGGCCCTCCCTACGGATAGCGACCCACGGCTGACGGGGCACTACTACAACTACGTGCCGTTGAGTGGCAACGATGCTAGTCGCCTTATCAACGACGCGCAGACCGACACGGGCAAGATCGCGCACCGCGTCCGCGACCTCATAGGCCAGGTCAATCGAAGGCCTGAGCTAACGGGAGTGCGCGGTCTGCAAGTGTTGCAGTCGCAGTGGCGCCGCCCAGAAGGGCCGCGTGGAGCTTCGCCTCGGGGAGACACACCCCCGGGCTACGAACACATGTCGACGTCGCATCTTCCCCGGCCCACACGCGCGGGACCGGACTGGAAGGAGATCAAGCGGCAGAAACGAGCTGCGCGCACCGAGCCCGCGTACAACCAGCCGACGCTCGACGACAGCGTCGGTGACTGGCAGAACTGGATGTCTGCGGGCAGGGGCCGCATTCCTGTGTGGATGGAACGCGAGTTCGGCGGCAGGAGGCCGACCGAGTTCAGCGTGGCCTTCCACCTGCTCTCGCGGCAGCTCATTCCGCGAGACACTCCGACCGCCGAACGCGGTCGTTGGATCAGCATGACCAGCTGGTTGTTCTCGGTGCCTGGACTTTACCAGCACCTGGTCAACACTGGCCAATACCCGGTGGCTAGTCAGTTCCGCCCGGCGCCGTATCCCAACGACGTTGGCTTCGCGACGCTCTTTCAGATGGCGCGCTGGTACGCCTCGCGCGGCGTCACCGTGCTGATGGCGGACCGGTACATGCTGCTCGCGCGGCGCAACCGCAACGAGCGTGGAGGCCGCGAGGTAACCGACAACTCGCCCTTCACGGATGGTGGACCCAACAACATCAACGATGTTGGGTATGTACCCAACAACATGGCGTTGGGGCCTATCGACGAGAGCGACGCTCCGCTCATGGCGATGCCCGGCACAATCGTCGCCGACCATCCCATGCAGGTCGAGCCCGACAACGTCCCAGCACCCACCGTCGCGCCTACCACCACAGATGCTCCGCCCGCGTCGATTACCTCGGCGACTACAATCGCCGAGGAGGCTGCTCCTCCCCCATACAGTCCCACTAGGCCTATGGAGGACGTCCAGGGCACGGCGGACGCTGCGTCTGTCGGGTCCCGGGTGCCATCCCCGGCGCCTCGCTCAACGGCGGGGTCGGGGTCCAGTCGCGCCAGCTCCCCCACCCACGTTCCCTCTCCCGCATCCGCATAAACGAACCCTCAGCTGAGGTTCGTTCGCATAAAGAGTCCGCACGCGCATCCGTCATGCGCACATATACTACCATATGACGGTAGGACTGCTCCAATTTGCAGTCTGTTTCTACTCGCCTTCCTAGCGTGACCGTATCGCATTCGAGCATACGGTATGACTGCCTCAATTGGCAGTCCTAAAAACAACTAAAACCCCCTCCCGCGACCGTATCGCGTTACAATCCGGTAGTACTGCTTCAAGTTGCAGTCACCCTCGTCTTCTCACAACGTCCACATGGCGTTGTGTATACCTCACCACTACCACTCGTGCGACCGTCTCGCACAAATAAATTCAGACGGTAGCGCTGCTCCAATTTGCAGCCAAACATTGTATATAAATGTTTTGTGGTTCGGTATCGTCGAGGAGCCCCAATTGGCTCCTCCATCACCCTTGTATATAACCAATGGGTCGCGTACGCACCGCGCGCGACCTTGTATATTTCGGTGCTAGCACTGCTACGAGTTGCAGGCATTCATCACACCATTGTATTATACAACACGACCTGTATGTCGTGTCTAGAGGGGGAGAGTGTAACGACCCAGGATCGGGTCGTTACGGGCATCGTACATCCACGAGCCCAGCGCCGTACGCGCTGGGCAGAGATAAGATAATGATGTATTAAATAGACGCGTGCGGCGTGCGGGTATTCGGAACCCGCGCGCCTATTGCGGGCAGCCTTTCTACCTGCCCCACTATCCTACGAGTACGCCGAGCCTCAATAGAGCCCGGACCAGAGTACTTGCGGGAAAGGGGCTACAGATTGCGCCCCCCCATACGTGAGTTTTACATCTCTCATGTGCATTGGCAGGGGGTGGTGTTGGGATTGATGTGGTCGTCTCTACAGTCGCATGAGCCTCAACAGATGTGGTACTGCTGGAGACATCAAATATGAGTATGATTTCACAGCAGAATGAAGATAAATGGTGTGCGTACAAGCAGGATGCACCACTGGCTTCCACAGCCTGTGCAAGTGCATCGACCCATGATTCCACGATGACCAGGTCGTCCGTGGAGACGATGACCATGTTCAGCAATGCTATAGAGCTTTTGAGCTTGTAGCCCCGTTCTGTTATAGTCAGCCCCTCGGCCTTGTATCCCCACAGGCCGTGGAAGCAGTGATTGAGCGCGCCACTGTACCCGAGTTCTAAAATGTCTTCTTCATCGAGTACTGGTTTTGCAGAGCCAGATACGTAAGGAAGGCTGTCTGGCAGGGTAGAGAACAACTTCGCGAGGGTGGTGATCTTCTCGGTGAGTTGCTGCCGTAGGGTGCGCGTGCCGGTCATGGTGTGGGTGTCGAAGTCCGACATCGTGGTGGTGATATGGTTGAAAGAACTGCAATTGACATCTAATATACGCAGACCAGTTAGCCACCATACAGCTTAGCCATGCCAGGTGCGCCACAGGGACCTTGCGCCTGGTTGTCACCATTGTCCCCTGTCCCGCCACGTTCTTCGTCTCTGGGTCCTCAAATCCCACGGTCATGTGACCTGTGTTGCATCGCCTAAGGTTGTGACACCACAGTATATCTTCTGCTGTCTACATGCCTTCTCAGTGGCATGAAGGGAGCAGCAGGAACACATGTCGGACATTTCCCTAAGCACCTCCCAGCACCTTGCACAGTGGGCCAAATGATCAGGATGCTTCGCAAGGCCTAAAGAGGCGAATTTTTCCTCAGGTGGGCCTCGGGTGGGCCTTGCATCACCCTCAAAAGGCATTGTGAGGCTGATCCGAGGGCTTTTCAAGGCAATCTCAAGGGAAGCGCCCTCGTGATGGCACAGGAAAATTCCAACACAAAGGACCCAAAAGTTAGGCACTGGGGGGCTGTATAAACAGCCCAGGCCTACAAGCACCAGCATTAAATCCTAATTACATTCTCAACACATGTCAGTTATGATGTCAATTTCACAGACATGCAACATTGGTTGCATCCCCCTCAAATTGCTACATGGAGTCACATTTTTCACATAGCATAGTATATGAGGGGGCACTGAAAGATGCTATAACCCAGGGTGGGAGGAGGGGGGGTGTCCCAGGGGCCTTAAGTCAATTCATGTATGCCTCTCTACTGTATCAAATTTGTAAGCTCTGTGCAGGTATACATCCAGTATCTAGGCCAAAGGTGAGCTCAGGAAGTAAGCTGAGCCTTTATTGAACAAGAAAGTCAACATGGTAGGTCATCCAAGCCTTTGGGACCCCAACACTCTTGATTGTTGCTCTGCTAGGGCGATGGTTTGTCCCTTGAATATGCTGAGTGTGACACATGAATTCCAAACACCACACCATGCAGGCACTTCACATCTATGTAAGTCTCCTTATATCTGAGTCTTAGCTCAGTACATGATGCTAAGGTATGACAGAATACTGTATGGGCAATTGGGGTTTCCATTTTGAGCATCATGTCAGAAACATGTGAAAATTCACCAGATATGGGAAGAGGTGGAGGGGGGTCTTGGAAATAGGCTTATGTCAATAAAGCGACCCGGTAAACCACTTGGATCAGCAAAGTCTTGATTTCTCCTGATTTAACTTACAGTACCTTAGGGTCTTATCAAGGGCCTAAGACCATAATGCAGTCTGTTGAGGGACTGCATTATGGCACTTATGGTGTCTTATTGCCTTGATAAGACCATAAGACACTGTAAGTTAAATCAGGAGAAATCAAGACTTTGCTGATGTCCTTTGTGGGCCCCTCATGGCATAGTAAGGAGGCTGCTTCAAGATTTGGGGATGATCCAAGCAGACAGGCATTCAACATTGTTGACACAGATAAACAAGACTACTGTAGAGATCAGATGTTAGCAGCAGCAGGTTTGGGTGTGACCAGTCGGAGACGATGCGGCAGAGCAGTGGGGTCCACCGTGACCTGTGACCGCGCCCTTCAGAGCAGCAATTGTGACACCCCTTACCGCCGCTGCGCCAGCGGTGGCCGGCGCTACGGTGTGTCGTACCTTTGTCACAAGCAGTGATGACCTTGGTGACCAGTGACCGAGGGGCCAATAGCGGCGGGGCAGGACCCGGGCATCTCCCCTAAGGGTTTGGCCCCCGAGACCCGAAATTTCGGCCTCAAAAACCCTATATTCCGGGCCTCAAAAACCCTATGGTGGCCGAACATGTAACAGAATGTCACTAAATGTCACGCAAAAGTAACAGCTTTTGTCACGATTTTTAGCCACATGCCATAGGCGCCCGCAACATACCCAATTTGGTCCATCGGCGACCCTATGGGGGCTGAACCTATGGGCACCTAATGCTCGACGCTGGCCTCAAAAACCCTATGAGGGCCAGACCTACTTACCATATATAGGCAATGAAAAACCCTATCAGAGGCCAAACCCTTAGGGGAGTTGCCCGGGTCCTGGCGGGGCAGAGGCTGTTGTGACCTGTGACGCGCCGCTAACGTCTGATCTCTACAGTAATCTAAGATTGACCCAGCTCAAACCTGACCACTATGGTCACAGTGTGACAAGCACATGAACTCGGCGTCAGAGAGCATATTTGATTCAATTTTGTATAGTAAGTGACTGCATGTACGTACGCGTACAAAAAGTCTGGCAAAGACACTGGAATATGCCCTGTACATACGTAGTAAGTATGTTATGTCCTCAAGGAAGAACAGTGGGGATTATTTGCAACGCGTTTTTCTTGTCTCGGGTAGGGCTTTTCTTGTCTATTAGGGCGACAGGTGGGGCCACAATGTGTGCCTCGCGTGCGCCATACATTGTGTACAGCAGTTGTCTACGGGATATTGGGGCGCATTTGAATGCGGAGGGCCCAAAATCTTGCTCCACTATACAGTCGGTCTTACCCCACGATGGCTGACCGCGTTGCAAATAATCTCTAGTGAGGCATTATAAACGCACGCGAGCACCGACTGCCACCGTCCACGGCGTAATGCGAAATATTCCCCACTGCCTTTTCAGGCTATCTACTAGGCGCCCGATCTTCCAAAACTCGATTGCAACGGCTACCCACTCCGTTATGCGTACCCACTCCTGAAACGGCTGCAACAGATTGTAGTTCATACATCGAACTATCGACTGATCCAGCCGTTTTACCTCAAGATACGATGTCACAGCTGGGTAGTTTAATCTTTCCTTTTCACCACCCAGATTCGCTCGAGTGTGACAACTCCGGCCCACGTGATGTGGTCAGGTTTGAGGTGGGTCAATCTTACTTTGAGATAAACTGTTTGATTTAATCTGTGAGGTGGTCTGCGAAGAGTTTCAATAGTACTACTATAGTAAGTGTGTTAGATTCCGTAGGGTAAGTATTCAGCACTGATGGCGAGCCACCTCCCCACAGATCACGTAACGACCATTCACAGTGTCATGCATCTGACCCTACTGAGGGGGTGCCCTTTATAAGTATTTAAAACATGTGTGTAGAGCTGCATGGCATTAGGCGGCATTGGGCAGGACGTCTGCTCGCTCGACCTGCAACGTAATTGCCAACCATGCACGCCGGGGTCGTCGCCACGCGCTAGGGCTGTATATTGAACGATGCGGATTGGTCGACGGTGCCGCGAGCGCCTTAGTTGGGGAGTCACAAGTGTCAAGCATGCACGCTGGGGCTGGGGTGTGTTACAGGGCGCTCTACGGGGATGGTAATCCTGGTAGGATGGACCATGCGGCATTCCATTGTATGACACAGGGAGTGAAGTGATACAAGGTATGCAGAGGCGGGGTGGTGGGTACATGCACGGTGACAGATGGGGGTACTGCTACGGATACTACTGGCGCTTAACAGCTGAACGACGGCGGGCGTGTCAATGACTAACACAACAACAGCAAAGGAACCGGGCGGAAAGTGAGCGGGAGATCTGGCGGGCATGCATAAGTTGAGTGTTAGAGCAGAAGAAAGGCGGGGGGACGCACAGGATGAGAGGGAATCGCTTAGGCCGAGCCCTTGGGGGCCTCCTTGACGGAGATGGCCTGCTCCTCGCCCATGGCGGAGATGATGGTGACGAGGAGGTCCTTGCCGTCGTCGAAGTCGGTCTGGATCTGCTTGCCGAGCTCGCCCTCGGGGACCTTGACGTCGTCCTTCGGGTTGCCGTCCTGGGACATGAGGTTGAGGAAGCCGTCATCGATGTTGACCTAGGCGAACCAGAAGGGTCAGTGTATAGCTTCACATGATTCAGGAGATGGGGGCGACGTACGAGCTGGTATTCGTTACGGAAGACGTTGGGGACATCCACGTTGTGGGTGGAGGGCGAGAGCTCCTCCTGTAGACGGGTAGATGCGATGAGATCGGGATGTGATCAGCGTCTGTTTGGGGCACGAGTACTGACCAGTTTTCTGCCGGTGAAGATCTGGAAAGATGATAAAAATGAGTGGGCGCACTCGAGACAAAGGTGCAAATGGGGACGTACGTCGATGGCGACCAAGTGGACCTTGGCGTGACCGTGCTTGCCCGTCTTCGAGGTGGACATGTCGACGATCTTGCAGGGGCGGCCTGGGTACCGCAGCAAAGGACATTATTCAGCATTTTCTCGAGCGGCGGCGCGCTAGGCGAGGGTGCGAGGGGCTCACCCTTGATAACGACGTGACCGTTCTTGCGAAGGGCCGAGCATTGCATGGGGAAGGTGAGCGAGGCCCCGGCGGAGGCCTGTGCGGGGGCGGGCGAACAAAGTATGAGCACGAGAGCTGTGCAGGCTAGGCGAGGCGGAGGCGACTGACCTGCTCGAAGTTGTGGTTGTGCTGCTCGTCGTCGGACATGATGAGTCGAGAGAAGGAGGGAGGGGTGGTCTAGACGAGAAGGAGAGGGAAGAGGGAGAGATGGAGGAGAGATGGAAACACGGTGCGGACGTCCAGCTCGCTCAAATCCACGCGCCCGAAAAATCGCTGCCCAATCAATTTTCCATCTCCGCATCACTCGTGGGAACCTTATCCGGTCATCCCCGAGCCGCCTGCCTAATGGGGACGCCGGCCGGCCCGCAGCGCGTCGAGAGGGCGCAGGCCGGGCGCTGTATCGCTACCACTTACCTACGAACTACCTCATACTCAGCATGCATCCGTTCGGAGGGACCCCCATCTGTCCAAGATGCGCAAAGTCCGTCTATGCCGCAGAGCAGGTCCGTAATTCTCTCTCCCAGCACGCGTTCCCACTCACCGGCCTCGCTTAGATCATGGGCCCTGGACGCAAGGTACGACGTCATGTCTGCTTCAAGTATGTTCTGCGCTGACCCTCTCCTAGCTCTACCACAAGGCAAGTTCGCAGATCCAACGCATGTTTATCCCGCTGAACCTCTACACCAGCCATGCCTAGCGTGCAAGTCCTGCGGGAAACGCCTCGACTCCTTCAGCCTGGTCGAGCACGATGAGGAGGTACGCCGCCACCCTCTCTTTGTCATCCCCTACTGACTCTCCCCCCAGCCCTACTGGTACGCGCAATCTGCCCCGTATAACACGTAAACAACTCACCACGCCCCCAGCAAGAACTGTCACGTCAAGCTCTTCGGCACGCGCGACCTCCGCCACGCCAACCTCCCCCACCGCGACGACCTCACCTCGCCCTCGTCCTCCCCCATCCGCTCCGGCTTCAACGGCGGCAATCGCGCGGCCTCACCGCCCACTCTTCCCCCACGCCAGAACTCCAACTCGCACGCGTACTCGAACTCGCTCTCCGGGACGAACGGCAACGCCCCGCCGCTGCCCGTCCGCCGCCATGCCACCGGGGGCGCCGGTCTCGACCGCGATCGCGGAGGGGCGACGTCCCCAGGCCCAGGGCTGCTCAAACCGACGCGCACGCTGAGCCCGAACGGCAGGGAGCGCTCCCGCCCCGCCTCGCTCCTGCAGGCGACCGAGCAGATGCAGCGCATCGCGGACGAGGCAGAGGCCGAGGCCGAGGAAGACGTCTCCCCGATCCCGACGCACGTCGGCCGCGGGGCGGGCGGGCTCCCGCGCACGATCCCGCTCGCCTCGCCCGCCGCTACGACCCAGTCCCCCGCCCCGGCAGAGACCGACCGCGGGCGGCGCACGATGTCAGTCCCGCTCGCCCCCTCGATGACCGGCACGCGGTACGGCGCTGCTCTGGGCGGAGGCGGCGGCGGAGGGGCTGGGGGGCCGCCGCTGTCCCCGACGATGACGGGGCGGCAGTGGGGCGGGGGCACGCCGCGGTGCGGGCGGTGCGGGCTCGCGGTGTACTTTGCGGAGCAGGTGAAGGCGGTGGGGAAGACGTGGCATAAGGGGTGTTTGCGGTGTGCAGAGTGTGGGCATACGCTCGATAGCGGGAAGGTTGCGGATAAGGAGGGGGAGCCGTTTTGCCATCGGTGTTATGGGAAGGTGAGTCTCGCGGTTGCTGGGTTTTATGTGAAGGCGGCTGATTGTATGCGGTTGATTGTAGCGGTTCGGGCCGCAGGGGAGCGGGTATGCGTTGTTGGGCAAGCCAGGCGGCTGAGTGTGCGCATAGAGTTGTGAGATGAGATGGGACGACGATGCTGACAGCGAGAGGACTATGTTATGATTATTTCGAGGAATGTACCGCTCGCCCTGTAAATGACTTCTGATGTGTGTTCGATGACCTCCCTTCCAATTCCCCGACCAGAAGAACAGATGTGCATCGTCGCCACTGGTATGTACATGGCTGGCAGTCTACGCGTAAATCACCAACAGCCCCTCCCCGACGCGCCATTCCGCTCGCGCCCCGTCCACGTCCAGCGGCCGCTCACCCTTCAGCCCCAGCGCCGCCCTCCGTGTTTCTGCCCAGTCCTCGCCTGCCGCCGCTGCGAATGCGCGCTCGATCTCGGCGTCTGGCAGGGATAAATCGAGGTCGAGCTGTACGGAAGAAGCGGGGGCGGGAGAGGGGGCGGAAAAGAGGATGCGGCGCGGTTCGAGGTCGAGCGTCGTATGGGGGATGGATGCGTGTGTCTGTGTGGGGGCCGGGTAGGCGGAATCGGCGATGTGGGAAGGCGAACGGGGGGCGCAGGCGGATAGAAACGAATGAGGTGGACGTTTCGTGTGCGCATGCGAGAGAGAGAGGGAGGTCGAGGCAAGGCAGCTATCAGTGAATGCACAAGGCACACGGTTAGGGGAGAGACGCACGAGGTGTGGCACACTGAGCGCGATACGCAACCGGCCGTCGTCCGTCTTCGTCCAGCTCAAGCTCGGGACCACCGCATTCGCTTTCCTTATACCCGAGGGCGGGGCCTTCAAGATGCCCTTCGCAGCGGGCGCGGGCACGGAGACTTCCTCGATGAGCGGCTTACCTGGCTTGCTCGGGGGCGCATCGACAGACAGCGGAGAGGAAGCGGAGGCGAGAGAGGGCGCGGGGGCGAGGAGGGCGGTGGGGACGCTGACTGTGCGCGGGGCGAGCTTGCCCTTGGCGGCGATGTTGGGCGTGCCGATCTGGCGCGAGAGCTGTACACCGTATTGTGTCTCGATGCGCTGGAACGCGAGCTCTGGCGGCGCGCGGGGGTGGCGGCGGCGACGCAATGTAGGGACGGTAATGAGGAGATCGAGCGGGTTAAGTGTGGGGCGGGGCGGAGAAGAGAGAGGGAAGAGGCTCACCGACGAGGAATGTCTTGAACTCGGGCGAGCGGAGGGCGCGCGGCTTGAGGGACGCGCTGAAGATGCAGTCGAACACGACGGACGGCTTCCCCGCTGCCCCACGGATCCGCGCCCGTCAGCACCACTTCCATCCTACCCTCCAAGCGGTACGCACCTTTATCCGTGTCTGCGCGCGGTTCGGGAACGATGACGGGCACATACCAGTCTTCGGGGTCTGCGGGCCCGCTAAGAGCGACGTCCCCGGCGATGGCGCGCTCGATGGCGGCCTCGCTGCGGGCGGGCGGGGCGGGGACGTGCTTGTCCCAGGCGATATTCACGAACACCTTGCGGTCGATCGGGATGGGGAGCGCAGTGGTGGCATGGTCGGGCCCGGAGAGGGTGAGGAGCGCAGCGTTGAGCGCGGAGGACTTGACGCAGAAGCCCGGGGAGGGCGCGAGCGCGATGCGAGTTGTTCCAGGCGCGGGCGAGGACATGGTGATGGCGCGCGTAGGAGACTGAGTTGTGTTTGGTTTGTTTGGAATTAATTGGGGATGGAGGCACAGGCGGGATCAGGGGCGGTGATTGGGTTGTGTTAGAGTTTACTAGCCGGTGTGTATCTACAATGATGCGCGCGCGACGGGCTGCGACGGGTTTGGGCAGCGCGGAAAACACGGGGCGCGGGTGCGCTGGGAGAGAAGAAGGCGCGCGATAGCGATATCGAGGCAGTTGTTTGGGCGGTGGTATTTGCCACGTCAGGGACTCCCACTGGGCGGCCGAGGGGGCGGGAGAGGGTGCGCACGATTCGGGGGCTGCGACCCTGGGCGGAGCGCAATGCGGCAGGCGTGGGCGTCCGCGCCGATGGGGAGGACGGAGTGGGGTGCGCGGTGGGACTCGCCGCGATTGAGCGGGAAATGCGAGGAGATATGTCGCGATGCCCTCGCGATGAGCAGAGCGGCTCGGTGGGCGACAAACGTGCGGTCGAGGAGAGGCTAGGGGAGGGCGAGAGGGTGATCGGGAGGTTTGGAGCGCGATCGCATGGACTGTGGCTGTGCGAAAAGCTTTTCGACTGCAAGTGACTCGCCACTGCAGATCACAGGAAATATGTCACCGGACACATTCGGAGGACATTTAAAATGGCATACCAATGGGATAGGATTACATTCAAACAGGCGTAACATAGAGATCGGATGGATTACATTCTGTATTAGTGCACGTGAACGAACAACAAGCAGCGAGCTCACAATAGGCGCCCGGGCCTTAGCTCTGTTCCTCGACCACCGCATCCCCACCGCCACGTCCTGCTGCTCTGTCATGCCTCGGGCTCCTCGTTCTGATTCAGATATCCGCTACCCCTGCCCTTGTCCGCCCTGTGCAGCTTCCATCAATGGCACCGAGTACCATACCAACAGGACCATCGAGCAACACCTCAAATGTGCCGAGCGCGTCCGTTGCGCAAAACTACGAAACCGTCAAGATGCTAGTCACTCTCGCTCTGGGGCACATGGGCTAGGACTTGGCGACCAATTACCGGATGAAGATCTTTCGACAATGCCAGGAGGGTGGGACTCGGGGCTGTCTGGGACGGGCGGATCGGGGCCATCTGGGAGAGATAATGCCTCAAGGGCCCCAGGTCTCCGTGAGTCTTCTCCTACTTGTGCGGGCACTTCCACCTGGGCTGCAGACAATGCGCTGGAAGACGACTCTGGCATATTCTTCGACGACGACGAGGACACCGGCCAGGACCCACCCGAACCAACTGGTGCTCGGCGACCCCCCTCTCCTGTGCACAACTCGAGTCCTGTTCGCGATGAGTTCGGTCATCATCCGGCTAGCGCAGCTTGGGCATTCTCTCGGTCTCCAAGTCCTCAACCTGACGGCCCTGCTGAACTTGCTGGCTACCAGTCTGATGGTGGTGTCTCGTACCTCGACCCTCGTTCGCGTTCCCCTAGTCCGTCTCCTGAGCCGGACGCACCTGGGCGTTCTCCTAGTCCTGCTCCAAGCGGTGGTGCTGCGGCTGCGGCTGCTGATGACGACGACGATGCAGATGATGACGACGGCCTGGAGATTTCTGAGGACCCGCTGTTTGTGGACATCGAGACACTCTTTGATCAACTCCTGGAAGACGAGGCCGCCGACTCTCTGGACACTCTCCGTACGACATACAGCTATCACAGCGGCCGCCCCCGTGCTATGTTTGAGCACCCCCTCGTACGCAATGCTTACTTGCACGTCTATCTCGCGTCCGCGGTCCACGGGGCCACCAAGGAGCTATGCAAAACCATGCTTGACGGCTACTATGCCACACTGGCAGCCCTTCCGGAGACGGCCGGGTTCGAGGTCCCAGACCTCCAGAGCATGGCGCGAACCCTTCGCACTGTCGAGCGACGTCTCGGCGTCGATCCTGACCGATACATTACGTACTACTTCACCTGCAATACATGTTGGTCACACCATCATCCCCGCGACCTCTACTCTCTCGCAAGCAACCTGTGTTCTGAGCCGGACTGTCCCGGCACACTATTCAACTACAAGACCACTGCGGACGGCAAAATCAAACGCATCCCCGTGAAAGTGATCCCGACTACGGCACTCATTGACTCCATCGCTCGGATGGCAGCGCGCCCAGGAAAACTCGAAGATTGGAATAAGTGGCGCGGGGACGCTGACCAGCCCAAGCGCATGCCGCCCGCTTCGTGTAATGACTGGGAGGGCTGGGCGAACGCGGACTACCGGCTGTTTGATATGATGGACGGCTGGGGTTGGCGCTGTATCGCGGCGGGTCTGGAACGGCGACGCGGCGGAGAATGGGGAGTTCACGATGTGGACGTTGCGGAGGTTCATCAGCGCTTCGTCTCGCTGCCCAACGGGCTGGTTCTCCAGATCAACATTGACTGGTCAGTGCACGTTCTCACATTAACTTGCAGCCATACTAATGCACATATTGAGGTTCCGCGCGATGAAGCGCGGCGGATACTCAGTTGGCGCGGTCTACATTACGATATGCAACAATCCACGCAGTGTCAGATTTCGACGAGAAGAGACGCTGCTGTATTGCGTCATACCGGGCCCGACTGAGCCCACAACTGAACATTTGAACAAGATACTCGGTCCTCTACATGCCGAGCTGCATAAGCTATACAACGGTGCATTATCAATTGTTCTTCATGAACGCGCATGAAATGCCTCTGTCTAATGGCCGTTACAGGGATCATACTCCGTTCTGACGGCACTGGTGACGCCGACACCACCTTTGAGCCGATTCATGCGTTCCTCAACAACATATGCTGCGATCTCCCGGCCTCACACAAAGCCAACGGCCTGCGCGGTCACACAAGTGAGACCTTCATGTGCGACATGTGCGAGGCGCCGTTCTCTTCTCTCGTCACCCCGGAGTGCTTTGATACAGCTCGTACGTATACATCTACTTTGTATGCACAGTTGCTGATGCGTTGTAGGCTTCAAATTGCGTAACGACTGGAGGTTCTTGAAGTATGCGAATCTGTGGCGCGACGCCGACGCCGACGACCAGGCACAAATTTTTGAGAAGCGAGGAGTCCAGTGGTCCCTGTTTGATGCTCTGCCTGACTGGCTCCCCGGGCGTGACTCGCCACCAGATTTCATGCACGGTGCGTACCTCGGTAAGTCGCTTTATGTCATACTAGCAGATATCTCCTGGAGACGCTATTTATTATTTTACAGGCGAGGCGAAACATGTCATACAAAGTATCCTCCATAAGGGCGGAATGTTTACGCAGAGGAACAAGAGAGACAAGCCGCTAGAGAAGTTCGAAGAGTACCTGCAAAACATCGTGTGGCCGGCATCCATCACGCGGTTACCGGATGGTGTCAGTGACTTTCTGCGCTTCGCGGTGGTGTATTAACTCATCATATTTCTAGCTGGTCTCCGGGGGTGCCGGCAAAGCGGATCAATGGCGCTCTTTTGCGCACGTACTCATTCCCGGTCTCTACGCTGCTTGGCAGATCAAGGGCAAGATCCCGGACCAGAATGCACCGCTTCCACGATCATCTACCAAGGCCGCAAAGGGACGTGTGCGCGTCGAGGAGCTCCTGAACAAGCGACGGCGCGCTAATATTGCGGCTAACCCCGAGACGACCATTGCTGACATGGAAGAACTTGCGCAGCTACGGATGGACCGCAATTATCAACACCACTTCGACAACACAATGGAATGGGCCGTCGCGATCCGGATATATGGCTCCCAGTCCATCACTGTGGAAGAGACCATGCGCGCGGCGGACTGCCATGAACGCGCGTGTCAGACATGGGCGCGCATGTTCTGCCATCTAGTCCCTTACTTCCACATACTCATGCACCTGTGGCTGTGGATACTGATGCTCGGGCCTGTGTATGGCTGGTGGACGTACCCGTATGAACGCAACAACGGCTTTCTCACAAAGCTCCGACACAATGGCCATGTGGGTGGGGAAATCGAGGCGACCATGATGCGAGGATGGACGAAGGCCGTCCTGATTCATGAATTGGTATGTTCGCGAGCTCAAGAGTGGTATATGCTCAGCTGTGTCATTTAGATACAACACCTCGAGGCACTCGGCGATCAGAAGGCCCAAAGCGACGCTGACATGATCATCAAGTTAAAGGGCATTCTCAAAGGCGATAGCACGAAGGCGACCGCTCAACGCGGGACACTGCTCACACTCATTGCGACCATGAACGCCGAGATAAGCTCCGGTGACGCCTGCATGCAACAGCCTCATGATTGTTGTTGCTAATATATTCGTTCCGCAGGAACGGTTCATCTCGCGCCGCACCCCCGGATCGAAGATCTGAGGTCTCTCGGGCTCTATACGCTGATGTATCATTACCTCCGGGACCTGTGGCAAGACACCGTGGAGCTCCTGCCCGATACCGCCCCAGTTGGTCTTGACGGCGAGTGTTTTGTTGCCACTGCGGTCCAGTCACACTCGACTGTCAACATCTCCGGCCTGCGTTACGGTGCTTCATCGTCTCCGCAGGGATCCAAGTCCCGCTATGCCTATATGAACGGCCGGGTGCCTGTGCAAATCACGCATATATTCCATATCACCCATTTGCGTAGCGATCCGAACATGCCACCCCTGGAGGTGACGTGTGCGGTTGTTCAGCCGTTCTGCGGGGACAACATCCCCGAGATGCCGTGGGCTTTGCGGTGCGTCTTTGAGCAACTGTGACTTGGCGCTCATCTAATCATCCTTTGTCAGGGCGACCGATCTCGGCATCGGTACATGGAATCATAATGTCTTGAGAAACCAGACAGTTGTCGATGTCCATGAGTTCTCTGGACACTTTGCTCTGGGAACAATTGAGCACCCACGCAAGAAACTCTGGGTGACGATGTCACTTTGCCATGTGAGCACACTGCATGACAACAGCTGCAGAACTCTGACAAGCTCGCGCACCGCAGAATACTCAGGAACCGGATGTACCGGAATAACGGCCAGTCAGAACACTGATTTATTGATCCACCCCCAGGAATGTTTCCCACACACGCCGCTCTCCCCGCGCTCACTCCTTGCGACTACGTTCTACTCCTCCACGTCATCCTCTTCGTCTCCACCGTCATCCACTCCTTCATCCTCGGCAACAACAACATCTGTCTCACCTGCGATCCAGTCCGCGATGTATTGTACATGGCGGAACTTGCGCCCGGTCTCCGTGCTCAACCACCGTGGGTCAACCATCGCCAAAGGAATCTTCTGCAACTCGATCTTCACTCCGTCCTTTTTCTGCGCATTTTTGCGAAGGATCGGGAGCTCGCTCTTGTCATCAGGTCGAGGGGGCCCCCGAATGCGAACATGGTGAGTGTTGCCCTGGATGGCCTCAGCGTCATCGGTGGCCCGCTCAGAGTAGACTACGGCATCAACTTGATTGTAGAGAGCGGTGACCTGGCACGCGCCTCAGCGACATCAAAGCCCCGAAGCAACATCAGGACTCACGGTCGCTCCTCGGTAGGCCGGCGCGCGCTGTTTCCAGGGTCGAGTGCGTGCAGGAACTCGCGCCGCTTTGGCCTTCGCAGCATCAGTGAGCGCCGGTCCCTCTTGCTCAGTGTCTGGATCAATCGCGCTCGTCGGACCGCTGTGGTCGGACTCGTCCGTGGACTGGTACTGCCATTGGAAGAACCAGTCCCACTCTGGCCCCACAAGCGCGGGGATATGCTCTCGCACGTCGGACCGCTCACCGGCCTTCTGCATACATCGTGAGTACGGTAGTCGTGTGTGTCATAGGAGTTACTTACAATGACCTTGCGGCGACGCTGCCGTTTGTACATCAGCGTCTCCTCCCGAGTCGCCTTTGTTTGGTCTCGTCGTTCCTTGTACCTCTTGGCCATGTTACCGAAGCACGTTTCGAGCCCGTCCTCGATCACGTCGTCCGGCAGGATGTTCAGCATCTCCTGCGACAGCGAAGTCGACCATCGGCGCCCATCCCGCTTGACCTTTTGGACGACATCTGCCACCCATCCCTCGCGGTTCGTCGGCCAGCCGTCTTCCCATCGTGGACGAAGCAGTCGGGTAGGACTCAGGGGATCTTCGTCCGACCAGAACCCCCGCTTCATCGGCTTCGGCAACAGGGCCTTCTTGCGAACACCCATCATGCCCTGGAGGACGCTGCGAAGGCAAGCCTGCAATGTGGTGAGTATGGTTGACGGGCACTTGGACATCGCAGCGCCGACGTGGTAACTCACAAAGAACGTCCGAGTCTGCAGCTCTCTTTTGCTCGCGACGGCGACTACCTCAATCTCGCTGGGCGGAGCGGCTGCCGCAGCGGCGACAGCTGCGCGGCCTACCTGTTCGGCTATGGCGCGGTCTTCAAGGTCACCTATCCGCTCGAGGCAGTTCTCCACGCGCTCGACATGGTTGTCAAGACGCTCGACCGTGTCGTCACCAGTCACGCGAAGCTCTTTCAAAAGCGTTCGGTTTTCTGCGACCGTCGTGATGAGGCGGTTGTTCTCATTGGTGAGTTTCTTCACCCTCTCTTCGAGACTGTCCACTTTGGCTAATACCGTGTCCATACTGTTCTGCAGGCGCATCAGCATGTCGGCGCTGCGCTTGCCCGCGCCTGCATACATCGACCGCGTGCATGTAAGTCTCGCAATTTCTCGTAGAGCGCCCGATGTTGTGGGCTTACCGGGCACGATGGCGTCTGCGTTGCCTTCTTCTTCCACAGCGCGACGCTTGCCTTTGTCGACTGAGACGCTACCGGTCGCTGTGGCCGCGCGCTGCCGCCCTCGTCCTGAGACCTGCTGTGAACTCAAGTCCAGGCCCGGCGAGGGCGCCCGGCTCGATGCCACGGAGGGCGCCCGCGACGCGACTGTGGGGGTGCTGCGCAAGGACGACGTCGTCGTCCCTGTCGCGCGGGCAGCATTGCCTTGTCCGCTGAAACTCGGCGGTAGCAAGAACTTGCCGCCGAGCCCCGCAAGAGGACGAGGACGTTTGACAGTGGGCTGGCTCCCCGGGGAAAGTGGCTCCGGAGGACGGATTCGACCGGTGGGTGGGGGTGAGTCGGGCATCGTATCGGGTGTTTCGTAGAGCGGGCGAGGATGCTGGATGAGTAGCAAGGTGAGCAGGGCGCGCGAGAGCGTCATTATATACGCCCTCGCAGTGCGGTACCGACGCTCACTCACTCACTGTCAGGCTGAACAGCGAGGACGCTATCGGAGAGCTTGAGAAGGTCGCGATCGGGGAAGGGGGTGCATTGGTATCGACGAAGGGGCCCATCTGTCGCCTTCATGGCCCTCGCGAACAGGTGTGTAGGGCGAAATGGAGTATATTACACTGTCTACGGTGATGAATACATGCTAGTTGCTATGTCTATGTCGTGTCGCGGGCGGTATTGCTGCGCGGAAGGGATTTCTGAAAGCGGACGGTGGTGGGGGAAGGCGCTCGCGATCTTGGCGCGATTGACATGACATGTTACTTTTGACAGCGATGTCCTTGGAATGTGGCGGGGGCGACATCAGGACGCCATCGCTGTCCGATTTAGGATCGCAGGCGGATGTAATCTCATCCGATTTCCCGTGCTCTGCAGTGCGCTGGGACTCTCTCCAGCCGTCCTCTCATCCTCCGCTCTCATTCCTCTCCCTCGGATCCCGTTCTCATCCTCCTAGTTCGCCCCCAAAACAATGGCAGAGTCCGCACATATAGCCCAGCGTGCCCCGCACACCTTCAGATTCCGTGCGCCCCCTCTCTTCTCCCCGCCCGCCACGCGCCCCCTCACCCCGCTCTCTCTCCCCACACAGCCCTGCCCGAGGAAGTGATGCCGGTCCGGACGAACAGCGCAGACGCGACGCCTGTCCCCGAGGACGAGCTCAAGATGCAGATGTACATCCAGGATCGTCGCGTTATCGGCGTGCGTCACTGTCGCCTGTCTCATCTTATCTCCTCCCGTGACGCTTGTTCCCGCAGTACGATCCCCTAGTGCAGCCCGCGCTGCTCAGACACGAGATCGTGTCCTCGCCCGAGTCCCTCCACACCATCGCCTCCGCCCGCTTCGCCGCCGCACGCATCAACGCCGGCAAGGACGATCGCCTCATCGTCGTCGTCGGGCCCTGCTCCATCCACTCCACCGCACAGGCCATCGAGTATGCACACCTCCTCAAGCAAAAGATGCCCGAGTGGCCGAACCTCCTCATCGTCATGCGCGCCTACTTGTATGTCAATTCTACCTTCTAGTAGCCATTCGCGGAGTGCTGATCTTGTTGACAACTTGCAGCGAGGTGATTCATTGTCTCCCTCCTTTCCTATATAGAAATACGGGGTACGCAAATAACCGGGTTCCATTCTCGCGAGTGCCACGCATGGCGCGCGCGATGCACCGTTGCGCGACATGGGCTCAGCAAGATATTCCCGGGAATATTTGAGACGATACCCGAACAGTTCGCGCCGCGCACAGGGCTGGAACTAAGCCTGGCGCGCGGTACGAACTAGCAGAGGGGTTCAACGCAATACTTGGGATTTCCAAATAGAATCATCCCTATGTGAACGTCGCCCAGTGCTGACCGACACCCACAGAAACCGCGGACGACGGTCGGCTGGAAAGGCCTCATCAACGACCCAGACATCGACGGCTCCTTCCGCATCAACAAGGGCCTGCGCCTCGCGCGCCAGCTCCTCTGCGACCTCACCGCGATGGGCGTCCCCGTCGGCTCCGAGCTCCTCGACACCATCTCCCCGCAGTACATCGCGGACCTCATCTCGTGGGGCGCCATTGGGGCGCGCACGACCGAGAGCCAGCTTCATCGCGAGCTCGCGAGCGGCGTGTCGTTCCCGATCGGCTTCAAGAACGGCACGGACGGCTCGGTGCGTGCGCTTGGCGTTGGGACGATGTGTAGATAGAAGCTAACGGGCGTGTGGACAGATGACGGTGGCGGTCGACGCGATGCGCTCCGCGTCGAACCCGCATGCGTTCATGGGTGTCACCGAGCAGGGTCTGGCCGCTATCGTCAAGACGCGCGGTAACCAGGTCAGTTCTTTCCCTTTCCCGCTCGAGCGCGCATTCTAATTGGGAAACACGCAGGACGTGCACGTCATCCTGCGCGGCGGGACGAAGGGCCCAAACTATGCCGCCGAGCACGTCAAGGCCGCCGCGTCCGCCATCGAAAAGGCCCGCCCGCAGCACCACCCCTCCATCATGATCGACTGCTCCCGTGCGTCCCCTCCTCTCTCTCCCATTCCCCTTCCTCACTGACACCCCACACGCGCAGACGGCAACTCGGAGAAGAACCACAACAACCAACCCAAGGTGCTCGCATCGATCTGCGCACAGCTCGCCGCCGGGGACCGCACCATCACGGGCGTCATGGTCGAGTCGCACATCAACGCGGGCCGCCAGGACGTGCCGCCCGAGGGCCCGGGCGCGCTCAAGCACGGGGTGAGCATCACGGACGCGTGTGTGGACTGGGCGACGACGGTCAAGATGATGGACGAGCTGAATGCGGCGGTCGGGAGCAGGCGGGAGCGCGTGTTGCAGAATGGCTTGAGGAAGTAGACGCGTGGGGAGGGGAGAAAATGTGTAGGTTGGAGAAGTGATAGACGTAGACGACGTCCCGTCGCTGTAGCACTGTACATGTACCAGATCTCTTGCTTGCTCGCAATGCAGCGCCCTCCGGGGCCTCGCAAGTCTTCATGTCTCGCGCATACGGCGCCGTCGGTGATTGTGCGGATTTCGGGCGATGTACCGGATTCTCCCCCTGAGTCCAGAAACCTACGAACACCACGAAGAGCGTCGAAGCGACCCCAACGCCGAAGCATCCCCACCACCGCACCCGACCTCGCACACACATCCCCATCCATGAGCAGGGATAAATAAGCACGCGCGGCGCCATATTTTATTCCATCCTCCGTGCGCCAGCGGGATCGTTCGTTCGTTCACAACAGCAACAAGCAACATGCAGCAAGAGTCTCTCGGCCGGCTACTGCGGCACACTACTACGACTAGATGTAGATGTAAGGGTCGGGGGCAGGGGGGCAGTCGGGGTCCATCGTGATGCTACCAGGGTGTACACGTATTTACTAGGGTTCCGTTTTCTGTTTTTGATTTGTGAGGGTTGGGGCTCCGCCGTCCGGGTCCGAGGGCGAGTGGGCGGGAAGGGAAGGGTGCGCGTCGAGCGCACTCACGGCCGTCGAGGCGAGCGAGGTGTGCGAAGCGACGGGGGCTGTCGTGGGGCAGGCCGTGGGCGACGGCGTGGGCGTGGGGCCGCGCGCCGACACAGGGGCCCTTGGCGAACGTCTGCGAAAGCGAGACGGCGGGCGCGCAACGACAGGGGGAGAAAGATAGGGACGGGACGGGAAGGAAGGATCCGGCGAGAGAGGCGAGAGAGGAAGCAAGATGGTAGATACAGTTCAGAGGGGCCGGGTCGGCGGGTGAGTGAGTGCACAACAAGTGGTGGCCAGTGGTCGGCGTCCGCGCAATACATTTGGTTTTCCTACACTGCGAGAGGCGTGAGCGTTCGTTCGTGGGACGGCAACATGGTGGGGTCTCATGAGTAGAGAGGTGAGAGGGAGCGTTAACGGGTGGTGGGACGCGGGAGAAGAACGTGCGCCCCCTCGGACGGAGAACGATGTGGGGTGGGGACACATGCAGAACGCAGAAAGACAAAAAGAGGGACACGCACCGTTCCAGATTAGATATGATAGCTTAGTTGTACCGGACCTGCCAGAAGTCGTTCGTACTTTTGGGCGTCGCGTCGCTTGTGCGCGGACTAGTGGTCGTCGTCGTGCTGCTGCCTCCAGGGCTCTTCACCCCAGCGTACACGTGCACGTTCGCAGTAGCAGTAGAAGGCGCGTGGGGCGGCGACGGGCGGTTGTAAGGAGCAGGCGTGGGCCCAGCACTAGACGGGCCCGACGTCGTCGGACTGGGGCCGGAGAGCGTGCGGCTCTCCTCGCCGTCGAGCCGCCAGATCGAGCTCGGGACGTTGGCGTTGTTGCGTCCGGCGAGCGAGTGGAAGGAGGAGTTGCTCGCGTTGTGCGCACTGGTGCCGTACAGGGTCTGTTGCTGCTGTTGCTGCTGCTGACCGACGGCGGGGTGCGTGAGCCCGTGTGCCTGGGCGTGGGCGTGCGAGTGCGAGTGGGCGGAGGTGCCGGACGATGAGGCGTAGTGGGCGTCCTCGGAGGAGCCGTCGAAAGAGAGGTCTGCAGACGAGGACGAAGCCGACGACGGCGAGAGGGAAGGGGAGTGCACGATGTCCTGCAGGAACGAGGGGAGGAGCGTGCGCGTCGCAACGGGGCTCGAAGTCATGAGCGGGCCAGAAGCGAAACGCGGGGCGTGCATAGACATGCCGATGCCGCGCTGGGCGATGCCAGGATGCGTAGCGCTGCGTCCGCCCGAGGTTTGGTAGATCGGGAGCGCGTCTTTCTCGTGTTCGTGCTCCTGCTGAGCGAGCGACAGCGGCGGGAGGAGTGGGAAATGGTCGGAGTTGGGCGAAGAGTCACGGCTATCGCGGCGAAGGAAGGCGTCATTGGGGCCGTGCATGCCCATGCCCATGCCGGCGTTCATGCGCACCTGGAAAGGCGGGGCGTTGTTGGACTGCTGCTGCTGCTGCGAGGGCGGGGCGGAGGGCGATGAAGCGGGGAGACCATCAATCTCGAGCGCGTTGAACTGCGTCGCGAGGACGTTCGCGAGGAGCGCGATACGTTCGGCCTGGACGGCGGCAGAGATGGAGTCTCCGTTTCCTTCGGCGTCTGTGGGGTAGAAGCGCGTTAGGTTTAATTGAGCATTTACACGAGAAGACAGGGACAGGAGGAAGGACGCGGACTCACAAGGGAAGCACGTCTGGCAGACCTTGCGGCGCCGCCAGTTGTGGTAGTTGCACTTCCCGCAGAGCCAGTCGCCAGGCTGCTTCTCCGCCGCGCCCTTGTTGCCCGTGTTGATGATCGGCGGGAACTGTCGTGTGTTCGTCGTCAGAAACGTCTCTGGCGTCGCGCTAGGCACACGTACTGTCATGAGAGCGGAGTCGACTGGGCGGATCTGGCACGGCTCGGGCGTCGGTTCGTTGTCCGGCCAGTACATGACGCACGGCGCCAGCGGGTCGCGCGAGACGTTGCGAACGCGGCCACCGACACTGAGGGAACGCCCGGACGGAGTAAGCGGCGGGTACTGCGGCGGAGGGGCCTTCGAAGGCAGCTGTCCGTGCATCGGCGGGTGTGGCCCTGCGCTGGCTGGGCCGTTGAAGTTGAAGTTCGATGACGGACTAGGCGAGGGCAGAGTCGTGAGTGGCGTTTGCGGCGCGCTCTGGATACCGTTGTAGCGCGGCGCAAATCGGGGAGAGGGGTTCGCGAGCGGGTAGTTAGGCGGGTGCACGACGTCGATGGAGAGCGGAGGAGCGCCGCCGGAACGAGGGCGTCCACAGACGATGCATGAGATGTTTCGCCTACAGAGTGGTGTCAGTGGAAAGCAAAGAGGCGAAAACGCGTCAGACTCACTGGAAGTTGTGCGCGCTGCAGTTGGGAGCGGAACACCTGGAGGGACAATATCAGTAACCGCTACGTGTAGACGAACGTACGCGACTTACATCCAGTCGCCCGCGCGGAAACTGGTCTTCGGGTTCGGCGGGTTGCTGGAGATGGTGTACGGCGGCTCGTTGTACATGTTCGGACCGGGCGGCGCGTTGTGAAATGGCGAACGAGGGCCACCGGTGGAATAGATGTCGCGCGAGGTGTCCGGGATAGTGAGCGGAGGCAAGAAGCCGCCAGCAAGGCGCGGAGGAACCTCGCGCTCCTGCTTTACGTTAGCGGCGCCACCAGATACGGGACGGGAGAGTGAGACGTACGGCATGGTCAAAGTTGAGACGCCTGAGGGAGGGATGCATGGCGAGGTCAGACTCGAGCGCCGGGGAGACGGAGAAGATGTCGCAGCCGAGGTTGAGCGCGGCGCGAGCCTATAAGCAGGGATCAGGGGAGTGGAGAAGCATGGCGATAGTGGCACGCACGTCCTCGTGGGTCGAAAAGACCGCCCAGATACCGCCAGAAAGGGTGTTGGCAGAGCCAGAGTCGGAATGAGCCAACATAGGGGTCGGTGTGGCAATTTTGTTCTGATGGGCAGTGAGGACCTGTGGATCTGCGTAGAGACGGGTAGAGCGCATACCTGACTGCAGGCGTGCGTAAAGAGGTTCCAGAGAAGGTTGGTAGGCGTCGAGCGGACGTCGACGAGCTGTCAGGTGCACATGAGCTCAAGAAGGTCGAAATATTGATTGCGCATATAAGGACATACGCGGACGACTCTGGACGAGGAGATCATGAACTTTTCGCCCAGGGTGGGGGAAGAGGGAAGAGAGACTGCGTTGCGGAAGAAGGGGCCCCCCGCGCTAGAGATGGGGGCGGGTGGGGGTCTTACCGTCGCGGAGAGGTCGGGGAAGTCACGCAGCTCGTTTTGGCGAGGCACGGACTGCGCGACAGGGCGACGTGCGGAAGGCATAGGCTGGGCGGGAGGGTGAGACATGGCGGCGGATTAGGATGCTAAGCGAGAGAAAATGCACAGAGGCGAGGCGGCAACACGAGCGAACGACGGCGGTTAGGCGAGCATAAAGTAGAGGCGGGCGTCGACGATGAGGGAGGAGGAGAAGAGCGAGCTCGAGGACGAGTGGACGATGAGCGCACTCCCAATCGAGATCGAAAATAATCGAGCTCGGGCATCTGAGATCGCGCTCAATGAACGGCACAGCCCTCCCATTGGCTCGGTCCCGCCAACCGCCCCGCCCCTCCCGCCCTCCGTCCGGACCCGGCCCCGGCCGCTGCGCCCGCCCCTCTTCCTCATCTCTTTTCCCTCCATTTTCGCCGCCGTCCCCTCGCCCCGGCCGTTGTCCCGGCCCCCAACTCGCTCGATGTTTTTGCCGTCCCCTCCTGAAACGCTCCCCCACGTGTTTGTTTCATCCTCGTCCCGACCGTTCCTCCCAACCTTTAAAGTCTGCGACCGCGTTCGTTCGTGTCAGCGCGTGCGCGCTGGTGCCACTGTGCCAGTGTTCGTCCATCCCGGCGGTAGGATGAGACCATCCCCATCTTCGCAATGCCGCAAGCTATCTCACAAATGTCAGGGTTTGCGCATAGCAGTCATACACCTACAACCTCCTACAACATAACGGCCATCGTGCGACGCGCAGCGGGTGAGCATGACAAACCCCAATGGGCGCTTACTCTGTGTGATAATGGCGATGACGAACCCGAGGATGGAGGAGAGGTATGATGTACATAATGACATTTGCATATTTGCGTGCACAAGAGGTTACCCGAAGCTTCAGCGAGTGGGTTTACGCACGACATAAGTACGCATACAACTAAGCCCTCAAATTCCTCCAGCGAATTCCCTGAACTCCAGAAATCGTACGCAGCTGTAGTAAAACACAATAAACAATGCAGACTTGTCTGACTCACTGTATATCTGCTCCCCGGTCCTGACGACACGACATCCGGGACGTAGTGCTGCAAAGTGGGGCCCTCCACATACATACAAAGGCAGAGCATAAGGCGATACATACCAAATTGGCTAAAACTAATGTCCGGATTGTAACGCGGTAGCCTGATTTGTCGGTGGCCGATGCCGCCACTTCAGTGGTTGAACGGGGTTCTCATGCAAGAACCTCATAACGGCACTGCATATGCCACGCGAAGGCTCGCTTGCGTAGCAGTCGGGAAGATTAGGAAGGCACGATGTGTCGAAGCTGTTCAAGCTTTGCGAAATCACGTCAAGTCCAAGAGTACTTAGCTTTCGTGGTCGCTGCCAGGATTAGTAACTTGAATCACCGTAGGACGAGTACTTGCAGCGCGTAAGTCATATTGCCATAGCACCGTCCACGGGCATACCAGTAGCCCTACTACGTTCAGAGTCAGATTTGATGGAATCGACACCGATGTCGCTGCCGGGGGCCGGGGCGTACTTGCACGACAAGCAAGCCTATACATAATCCATAGCACAGACCAGGTACTACTTGGACGCACATAGCATTTAGAAATCAGCGAGATGGGTGTGTAACAAACACGGTAGTACTTGCTCAAAAGAGCGCACACCGTCCGAAATTCATAGCCGGACGTGCCAAGCATACTCAAGCTTTCGATGTCTCCTCGGTAGCCGGTGTCTCCTCCGCGGTGGCTGGTGTCTCCTCCGCTACGGCCGGCGGGGCAGTAGGGTAGAATCGCGCCGGCAACTGGTAGGGCGCAAACCAAAACCTATCCACGGTTCTGCAAATCGCATTGAACATCCGGAGCTCGCGCGTGCAGTCCGGAAAGAACGGCAGCAGGGCCGCGGCCCAATCCCTCGGCGTCGCCCACTCCGAGCCGGGCAGCCCAGTGTCGCGCGCAATCCGCGTGGGCTCGATAAACCACGGATACCACCCAGCGAGCTGCCAGTCGATGACCCACACCACCCCCTCATGCAGAATGAGGTTCCGCGGGTTGAAGTCCCCGTGCGTGAACACGAGCGGCTGGTCTGCGTGGAACCGGTCGTCCGGGATGGAAGGGTGGTAGTATATCTCGCCCGGACGCGGAAAGCAGCGGTTCCACCAGTCGACCAGGGCCTGGTGCGACGGGAACCGGGGGATGCCGTTTTCTCCAAACCACATCCCCTCCAACATGTCCCCGCCGATCGGACCAGGAGTGGTGTCCGGGTCTGCAGGGATGCTGCGCAGCTCGCGAAGGTAGCTCTGCAGCTGTGCGAGCACCGACGTCTTCGTGGGCGCGTCCATCGTCGCCCAGAGGTACTGCAGGGTGGGGCCGGGGATGCAGTCCATCACGATGTACGTTGTTACATGTTGGGGGATGTCCATGTTCTCGATGCGGGTGAAGACGAGGTGCACGGTAGGAACGGGGATGCTCGTCCGGGCGCGGACGAAGTCCATCATCGTGGCCTCAACGGGGCGGACACCCTGGCCGCGTTTGACAATCAGCCCCTCGGAGATCCTGTGGGCGAGGAATCTGGGGGCGTGGCCGGGTCCTAGAGGGAGCGCGGGCTCCTGTAGGAGCTGCAGCACTGTTTCCGGGGTGATCGAAGGCGGCGACGATTTGGAGTACACGACTGTGATGGGTCCAGGTATCTTCTTGCGAGGAGGAGGCTCCGGGGAGGGGTTGTCTCTTGCCTTGACAAGTCTGGCGAGCCCGCTCTCGCTTAACAACCCCGCTTTGAAACGAGCTTCTGGAGATGTGGGGTCGTGCTCGAACGAGGCTGCCGGAGCGGCGACGGGTGCTGTAATTGCGGTGGCGTGTTGCTGGCTGTCTGTGGACATCTTGAAGTACGACGGAGGCGCGAGAGGATGGAAAGTGCCGGCTAGAGTTGAGACCGTGCAGTACTCAATGTTCAGCCTGGATGTTGGCGCGGTCGACGGCGAACTGGCAAGAGCATTGTGAATCAAACATATACGATATTGCAACCGCGGGAAACATGCGTAGCCGGTGGCGGTGCACCTCAACCTACAAGTTAGTACAACGTTGGCGGCCATTGGGCGTTTGCACATCGCGCTCGACGCCCATACGTCCGCTGACATGCACGCGAATGTCTACTGATCAGAACCAGAGCAGGCGTATAGCGGGTTAACAACACGTCGCGGGTGCTCAAGCGATATGTAGGTTGTTGTAGGAGGATGCAAAACGCTGTATATATTTGCTACACGGTCCGCGCCGAGGTTCTTCTTACTTGTACGGTATCCGACACGTCTATCCAAGCTTCCTGCAAAGCATCTGCATCCGCGCGCGCGGCAATACACGTGTATACACTACTTGGCTCTTCTCTTCTCTTCTTGTATCCAGTCGCGACTCGACCCCTTGCCCTGCGTATTATTACCCGTCTGGTCTCTCTTCGAACCTTACCGGAACCCCGCAATGCCCATTCGCGCCGGCTACTCGGGGAGCGGGCGCGGGCGGCGCGAGGGCGAGACGCGCGCGGAGGGAGCGGCGCTGCTGTCGTCGTAGTCGCTGCCCTCGGCCATGAGCTCCGCGTGGCCCATGCGCGCGAGCTTCTTGTCGAACAGCCGGTGGCGGTATCCGCTCACGATGCGCTCGAGCAGCTCGGACGTCGACACCCCAGGCGTGCGCCGCGTCGGTAAGAATTTTCCTATAGGGTGTGGGCTTAGAGTTGCTCGAAAAAAAGATGTGGAGAGAGGGGCTACCTTGGCCCTTTGCGAAGGCGTAGACGTCGTCGTGTCCAGTAGACGCGTAGGGGTCCTCATCGTGCGCCACGTAGTCGATTTGGTACTGCGGTGGGGTTAGTAAGTTTGCGGGGTCGCAAGGCAGGCTGGGCACGTACCTAAGGAGAGGAAATCAGTGTTCGTGCGCGATAACAAGGAGGGACAGGGAAGACGCATGGCTTGCAATTGTGCAGGTACCATATACACAACATGTACACAGCTGTGTGCATCGCAAGATGCACGATGCACAAGATGCATGACCAAAAGAAAGGGAGTTCACGAACCTTTTCGATGAACGCGGCGTCGATGACCCACGGTGCTTCTGGACAGACTTCGTCCACCCATCTACAATGCCGTACCGACTCACACCTTCCCATATTTCAACAGCATATTCTTTCGGGGAGTACACAACCCACGTACCTTTCCGCGTGTGTCATGATCGGCAGGTTCTTGTGCTCTGCGCACTGCTCGTCCGAGTTCACGCCCACAAGCAAATGCACGCCCGAGATAACGTGCGGCGGAGCGCCCTCAGGCGCAGGAAACGCGAGTTTCGCCTGACGCAGCTGCAGCGCATGGCCGAAGTGGAACAAATCGTACACCCCGTCTGCGTAGATGCGCACAGGGCGGTCCGCAGGCGGCTCATTGATGCGGTACTGGCGCGCGTTGCCGAGCGGATCGGTGCCGGCGATGCACGCGCGGGCGAACTCCTGGATGTCCGTGGGCGAGAGATCGGCGGGGTTGAAGGCGTCGATTGCGATCGACGCGGGCGCGGGCTCAGAGGGCGCGAGCGCGGGCGGGGCGGGTGTCAGCACGGGCGAGGGCGGCGCGAAAAGCAGCTGCGCGGCGGGGTGCGGGGGAGACGCATCGGGCGTCGCGGGGTCATCGCTCTCGTGCAGGGCGGAGGAGGAGAGCAGCGGGGAGGTCAATGTGGACGCGATGGAGGAGGGGTAGTGCGCAGAGGAGCCGGGCGTGTCGCGGCCGAGGCCGCGGGTGGTGTGGATGCTCTCGACGTCGCCGTCGTACGTAGGCGAATCGATCCCGCCGTCATCGGAAGAGACTACGGTGGCGGCGAGGGCGTGCCGCGGGCGCGGACGAAGGGTGGCTGCGCCGCCGCCGCCCGCGGAGGGGTGGGCGGAGCGCGAGGAGGCGCCGCCGCGGGTGTGCGGGTGGTTGCCTGGGGCGGTGGAGACGTTGATGGAGATGGAGGAGGCGCCGTCATCGGTGAGCGGGTCGTTGTCCTCCTCGGAGGCGTCGTAGGCGGGGGAGTCGAGGACGGGACGGCTGTGGGCGAGAGAATGCTTGGTGCCGAATGAGCGTTTAGAGTGTAGGACTTTCTTAGAGACTGGAACCGTGTTTGCCTGGGTGCTCGCTGTTGAGGGCGCGGCGGCAGAGGCGGGCGGGGTGGCGCTAGAGAGAGCGGGGGCGGACGAGGAGTCCATGGTGGGCGTCGGGGGCGGGATGAGAGGAGGAGAAAGGGCGGAGGAGGGCTGAAGAGAGAACTTGGTGCTGATCGCGGCTGCATCTTTCTCCACCGTCCCCTCATCGTCGACCCCGCCCCCGCCAACGTGCGTCCTCCGCTCTCTCGCTCGAATATCTCTATTGCCCCCGGCTCTCCTACCACCTCTCCGCTCTCCTAGGCCCTCTGCATAATATATCATTACAGGCCTGCTCACCAGGGGCAGCTTTCGATCCCCGCGCGCGCTGATTTCGAGCGGCGACTGAATACGCGCCCGAGCGTCCGATCGCCACACACGGGTTGCAGCCAACGTCGAGCTCAGCTCTCTCGCCCTGTCTGCGTCCTCCCTGTCCTCTGTCACCTCTCGCTCATTCAATGGACAGCGGCGCGAAGAAGATCCTCGAGTCTGTTGCCGTTAAGACCCTCCACGCCCACAACTTCTCCCGCTCGTCCACCCAGGCAAACCAGGTTCTCACAGACCTGCTCTCCCGCTACCTCACCCTCTTCGCCTCCACCTGCGCAAAGTACGCCGAGCATGCAGGCCGTCTGCGCCTCACGATCAACGATGCGACACACGCCATGGACGAGCTCGGCACGAGCGTCGAGGAGCTGTCCGAGTACTGCGCCACGGAGGGCAGGGAGATGGCGCGCTACGCCGTGCATTCCAGCAAACGACTGGAGGACCTGAACGAGCTCAAGGGTGCGTAACGTCCGCTGTGCACCTGCGCGTGGTCCTTATGCGTGAGCCTACAGCGCAACTCGCCATTGGTCTGGCGGGCGACCTCGATGATCGCATACCGCTACACTGGGGCCCCGTACCCGACGACTTGCCCTCAGAGGAGGAAGAGGAGAGCGACTTTGACGAGGTAGAGACGCCAGATGGGCAGAGCGTGCATGCAGAGGTCAAGATGGCCGACCACCACTCCGAAGACGAGGACGTGACGATGGGCGAGCCTGAGATCGTGCCGCCTAAAGACCCTTTGACGCGACCTCCACCCACACCCCCCTTGCCTTTATCGCCCGTCTCAAACCCCTCTTCACCACCCCCACGCAAACGACAAAGGACGGCAGGATGGCATCCACCAGAATATATACCCGACTTCCTGCCTCCGTTCCCCACCCACGGACCACAGCGGACCCCGAGTCCACAACCGCCAACATCAGATCTGGCTGCGATATCCGGAAGTCCAGTCAAGATGGAGCGTCCAAATACGCCCCCATTGCAGCAGGCCGACGTCGCCGCCGCCGCTACAGCGTCCTCTGCGAACCCATCCGCGGACTACCTCACGCAGATCCCGTACGAGGAGTCGTCTTTGGCCAAGCAGCCCGCATGGCACCTCCCGCAGCCGCCACCGCCCTCCGACAACGACTCAGGCGCGTCGTCAAGCCGGTCAGCGATGCCGCTTCCGCAGGTTCAGCCCGCGCTGCTCGGCGCGTACCACCACATCCTCACGCACCCGCCGCCCCCGCGCGTGTCGACCGTAAACCCTGCGCGGTACCGCGCCGCGCTCGCGTTCCTTGCAGACTCTGAGGCGAACCCGCGTTGGGACGCGCCGACGACGCTGTTCGGAGCCACGGCTCCCAACCCGCCCAGAGTCGCGCCGATGCCGCCGTCGTTTGCAGTCCCGATCGGGAGGGCCCCAGGGACTCCAGAAGTGAAGGAGAAAGAGGAAGAGAAGCGGACGGCGCTGCCAGGCGCACCTGCACGGACGATCATGCCGTGCGAGAGGCTTGTACCGACAGTCAGCCAGCCAGGGTCGAGGCTGCCGAAGCTGGCCAGACAAGTGTTGTCGGTGAGTGTTGTGCGATTGGGGGTCGGATGTGCGACGTGCTCACGCGGGGCGACCGTGAACAGAGCCAGGTGTACGCGCGCACGACGCGGCTGCAGCACCCGCCGGTGCTGCAGCGCGGGAGCCAGAAGCTGACGTACGGCCCTGGGGTGAACGCGCCGTGGAACGCGAGCTTCTCGCCGATGCCGGCGTCGACGCCCGCGCCGGGCAAGGGCAAGGAGGCGGCGGCGGGCGTGAACGGGGCGGCTCCGAACGGGAAGGAGAAGGAGAAGGAGCCGCCGCGGCCGCTGCCGGACGCGCGGCTGTATGCGACGTGGAGTTACGAGCAGAAGGGGTTCGACGAGGTGCTCGTGGTGCGGCGGCGGATGGGGAGCGTGCACAACCCGAAGAGCGAGAGCGCGAACTGAGCGCGCCCGCATCGGTGCCTGGGTTAGAGGGTTGTGTGGCTGGGCTGGTGGGCATCTCATCGAGGGTGTTCATGATGGACCAGGAGTGTGGGAGGGGCGGCGCGGCGACGAGATGGCAGATGCCAATGTCTCTGTGCGCGCCCGTGGGTTGTTGGAGTAGGACTGTGCATTGTGTACCATTACGAAGCCACTGCAGTTTATTCGACCTGCTTTCGAGGACTGCGCGTGGGCGGGTAATAGACGGCACTGCATACGCTGCTATTCCCACTCGAGGACATCGCCGAGGTCGGGGTCGAGGACGGGGTCGGTGAGCTCGGAGAGGGGGCGAGATCTGATGCGAGGTGATTGCTATGGCGTCCTGCGACAGCCCCCCTTCCTCCCGCGCACGGGCGCCTCGCTTGTCCCTGCCCTTTCCTCCGCTCCGCCACCAGCCCTCCGTCCTCCTCTCCGCCGCCTGTTCTTCTCGCTGCCTCTGGTAGGCCTCTTTGCGTGCTTGCACCCACCCGCTTTCGCTGTCTTCTGTCGCTCGCTCGCTTTCAAACACAGTCGTCCAAGAACAAGAACTCAGTCACGATGCGCTCGTTCATTCTCGCCGCCTTCTTCGCCCTCTGCGCCAGCCAAGGTCAGCTCTCACCTACGACTCGGTTATGCGCGTTGAGGTACAGGAGCTGACGTGTGGAGTACTGGTACTGGATAGTCCTCGCGCTGGGTGTCAACATCACCGGCTTCCCCCCCGGCCTCTCCGCCACCCAGTTCCTCGGCACCTCTGACCCCTCCCTCGCCGCTGTATGTTCTTCCTTTCCCTCTCATGCTCGTATGCACACTCACTCGGGGCGTGCGTAGTGCTCGAGCGGGCAACCGAAGCTAGACGCGTGCACCTTCGCGCTCGGCAACATCACGGTACGCCGTCCGCTCTTCCCGCTCACATACGGAGTGAAGAGAGCGGCACGCTGACGCTCGCACACATTACAGGCGTGCGGCACGGACGACGGGTGCCTGTGCAGCAACGCGACGGTGCTCTCGATCGTCGCGTGCGAGGAGTGCATGTTCACGCAGCTCGTCAACGACAATCGCCGCCCGGTTGACCTGCTCGCGGGCCAGACCTCTGCTATCGCCGGTGCGTCCCCCCTCTTCTCATAGCCGTGAGCGAAGCGAGTGCTAAATCTGTGTGGAACAACAGCGTACAGCGCGGCGTGCACGGCGGTGAACCACACGATCCCGCTGACGGCGAAGGAGATCGCGCTCGCGGTCCCCACGAACTGGGACGGGCCGTTCGGTCAGGGCCTCACCACGCTCGGCACGGTCGTGACCGTCGCGGCCGGGGCGTTCATCGGTGTCGGTATGATCACCGTCGTGAACACCATGTAAGGGGTGATTTAAGTGTCAGTGTGGGGGTTGGGACTGCTCGGGCTGGGCTGGGCCCAGTTTGGTTCTGGGGGGGTAGCATAGAGTGCTGTGTTTTCTTGTCTTGTATGCTCGAGTATGGACGGAAGGAGAATGCATGCTGTGGGCTTGTATATTGGGCGATGTGGATTGGTCGACGGCGTCGCGCGCGCCTTGGTGGGGAGAGTCACACAACTGTCAGGTATGCAGCTCGCACGCCGCTTCAGCGATATTCTTACTTTGCTCGCGGTCTAGCTGAGCACGTCTTTGAGACTAAGAGATCTCAATTAGGTGCAGTGCGCATGGGCTACACGACCCGCGGGTCAAGACCTGTGCTTCAAGTTTGACGAAATCAGCCCTCAGGGCCTCAGCTAGACTGCAGATATCATTACACAGAACGAATGGCTCCTTCTCCTCCTTCTCACCTAAGTGCATCTCTACTCCCATGTTCTATACGCAAAACGGTTTGCACGTTTGTGCTGGATTTGCTTGACTCCAGCAATGTGTCTACCATGTACGCTCGTGTCAGGACTGAGTCGGCGCAGAGCACCCTGGAGCACCGCCACCGGTTGCGCATGTTTCCCGCGGTTGCATTATCGACTTACGTTTGATTCACAGGCTGCAAATCTATCCGCACTACGGTCGACCACTGCGCCAACATCTAGGCTGAACCGTGAGCACTACACGCTCTCCAATCCAGCTTGTACTTTTCATCCTCTCGCGTCTCTATCGTACTTCAAGATGTCCACATACAGCCAGCAACACGCCACCACGATTGCAGCACCCGTCGCCGCTCCGGCAGCGTCGTCCGAGCCCGACCCAGCATCTCAGGCTCTAAAAGAATTTTTCAACGCATTAGTGTTATCCCAGCGTGAGAAGGCCAAGCTTCCTCCCAAGAAGAAGATACCTGGTCCCATTACAGTCGTGTACTCCAAGGCATCGCCCCCTTCGATCGCCCCGGAAACAGTGCTACAGCTGATGAACGAGCCTGCTCTCCCTCTCGGGCCCGGCCACTACGACAGATTCGTCGCCCACAGGATTTCCGAGGACCTGATCGTCAAGGCCGGCGAGCAGCACCACCCCGCCGAGGCCACGATGATGGACTTCGTCCGCGCCCGCACCGACATCCCCATCCCCACCGTGCACCTCGTCTTCACCCGCATCCGGGACATGGAAATCCCTCAGGAAGTAACGACATACATCGTCATGGACTGCATCCCCGGCCCCACCCTCCAGTACCTCTGGGAGACACTCGACGCGCCCACCAAGACGTCGGTGCTCGCCCAGCTCCAGGGGTACATCCGCGAGCTGCGCAGCATCCCAGCGAGCCCGGACACGCCTCCCGGTCCGCTCGGCGGGGGCAAGTGCGAGGGGATGTGGTTCGGGGAAAACGAGGCTATCGACCCGTTCCCGACGCACCAGGCCCTCGTCGACTGGTGGAACCGCTGTTTCTCGCGCCCCGGCGAGCTATACTACAACACGTCCACGACAGACGAGCGGTTCCACGCAGACCAGCCGCTCGTATTCACGCACGGGGACTTCAATCCGCGGAACCTCATTCTACATGAGGGAGTGGTGTGGGTCATCGACTGGCAGCTCGCGGGCTGGTATCCGTGGTATGTCGAGCCCACGCAGATCGCGATGGATACCGGGCTGGACGGCTGGGTGACTCCGAGGGATTACATCAAGTCTGTGCTGCCGTTCTTCCCGGACATCTCGCGCGAGCTCCGGATGTTCAAGGCGATTTGCGCGAACGTCAATAGGTACTGGTTTGCGTCCGTCCAACACCCCGCACGGTACTACCATACTACCCCGCCGGCCACCGAGGAGGAGACATCTAAAGTCTGATGTGCTTCGCACATCCGACTTTAAGTTTTGGCCAGTACGCGCTCTTTTGAGCAAGCACTACCGTATTTGTTACACGTCCACATCGCTGATTTTTGGACGCTACGTGCGTCCATCACCCGGTTTGTGCTATGGGTCGTGTATAGGCTTGCTTTATCGTACAAGCACGCCCCGGCAGCGACGTCGGCATTGGTTCCATCAAGTCTGACGGCGGCCTGGACGTAGGGGCTACTCGTATGCCCGTAAATGACATGACATGATGCATACTTGCGCACCGCATGTACACTTGCTGCCCCATGGTAAGCAAGCGACCGCGGAAGCTAAGGCGGTTGTTGCCTAGTCCTAGACTTGCAAGTGCAAGGGTGCACTGCCACCGGCTGCGCAGGTATCACACGGTTCGTCAACCGTTCGGCTGAGGGGACTGTCTGTACCAAACCATTTGCCGACCACCACGAACAGGCTCGCAGTACGAACGCTACGTCCTCACCGTCGCACCGCTCTGCATCGCCGATATGTCCACAGCCGCCATACAACACACCGACGCAGCACCCCATGCCGCTGAAGGAGCGCCCCTCGAGCGCGGCCGCGGCGGGAATGCAGACGCAGCGGCGGCTCACACACAACCATGTCGACGTACTTATCCAAAGCCGACTCCCGGTCCCGTTCAGGTCATATTCTCAAGATCGCCGCCTTCGATCACCCCAGGAACTGTACTCCAGTTGCTGCAAGAGCCTGCTCTCCCTCTTCCTGGCCACGGCGACCACCGTCAACTCGTCCGTCGGATCACAGAGAACCTTGTTGTCAAGCGCGGCCTGTTCAAGCACCCTGTCGAGGCTACGATGATGGAGTTCGTCCGCACCCACACCGGCATCCCCGTCCCAACCGTGCACCTCGTGTTCACTCGCGTACTAGAGGACGTCGCGGACACGAACACACTGTGTACATACATCGTGATGGATTGCATCCCCGGTTCCTGCCTCCAGCAACTCTGGGGAACTCTTGACGAGCCCACCAAGACGTCTGTGCTCACGCAGATCCGGGGCTACATCCACGAACTCCGCAGCATCCCTCCCGATACCGACACTCCTGGTCCTATCGGCGAGGATATCTGCCGTGGGCGGTGGTTCTCGGAACAAGGAGCCGGTCCATTCCCGACGCACGAGGCTCTCGTTGAATGGTGGAACCGCTTCTTTCCCCTCCCCGGCGAACGGGGCTACAAAGGCGTGGAAGACCGGTTCCATGCAGACCATCCCCTCGTCCTCAACCACGGCGACCTCACTCCCCGCAACGTCATCGTACACGAGGGTGTCGTGTGGCTCGTCGATTGGGAGCTGGCCGGCTGGTATCCGTGGTATGTCGACCCCATACATATCGCCACAGACTGGGGCACCCCGGAATTCCCTACGCCGAGGGATTGGGCACCGTCTGTGCTGCCGTTCTTCCCGGACAGCGAGCGCGAGCTCCAGCTGTTCAAGTCAATCTTCTACAGACTCAAATTCTACTACGTGTCTGAGCGGTTTGCCGTTCGACACTACGACACTACTGCGACTCCAACGGCTAGCGAGAAGGTATAGAACGGGGGTACATAGCCGTTGCATGCATAACAGAGTGGCATGAGATTGTGCATTCTGTACGTCTTACTGGTGTGCACAGCACACATGTATTGTTGCGCCGGTGGACTCAAAAAGTTGTCGGAATCTGTACAGATGAGACGAGCACGAAGCATGTATTACAACAAAGATGATTTCTTATGAAGAAGAAGACCAAGAGAAGACCGTCCGGTCGTAATAACCAACTCCGATCTGCAGCACAACTCCGAAAGTGTAGCGGAGGCACCGCCACCAACTGCGATAGCGGCGTGTTGATGTTCTCCGGCGACCGCAACTCGCTAGTTCATCGTTAACGTTCACCAACACCGGACACGACATCTCTCGTCGACATCTCCTTTCGCTCAGCATCACAGGCTCTATCGCAGCCAAACATGTCTACTGGGTCCGGAGACACGGATGAACGCACCACCGCAATTGCAGCACCCGTCGCCGCTCCGGCAGCATCGTTCGAGCCCTACCCCACAACTCCAGAAGGTCTTTTCAAAGCGGGGTTTATAGACGAGAGTGGGTTGGCCATGCTTGTCAAGATAAGAGACAACCCCTCCCCGAAACCTCCTCCTCGCAAGATAATACCTGGTCCCATCACACTCGTATACTCCAAGACAACACCCCCTTTGATCACTCCGGAAACGGTGCTGGAGTTGGTACAGCAGCCCGCCCTCTCTCTAGGTCCCGGCCACTACCACCTCTTTCTCGCCTATAGGATTTCTGAGAACTTGGTTGTCAAAGCCGGCGAGCAGCACCACCCCGCCGAGGCCACAATGATGGACTTCGTCCGTGCCCACACCAACATCCCCGTCCCTACCGTGCACCTTGTCTTCACCCGCATCGAGGACATGGATATCCCTCGGCATGTAACGACATACATCGTCATGGACTACATCTCCGGCCCCACCCTCCAGTACCTTTGGGAGACGCTCGACGCGCCCACCAAGACGTCGGTGCTCGCGCAGCTGCAGGGCTACATCCGCGAGCTGCGCAGCATTCCTCCAGCACCGGACACTGCTCCTGGTCCTCTCGACGGGGGCAAGTGCGAGGGGATGTGGTTCGGGGAAGACGGCGTCGGCCCGTTCCCGACGCACCAGGCCCTTGTCGACTGGTGGAACCGCTGTTTTGCTCGCCCCGGCGAGTTCTACTACAACCCTGCCAAAACATACGATCGGTTCGACACAGAACACCCACTCGTGTTCACGCACGGGGACTTCAATCCGCGAAACCTCATTCTGCACGAGGGCGTGGTCTGGGTGATCGACTGGCAGCTCGCTGGCTGGTATCCGTGGTTTATTGAACCGACGCGGATCGTGAGGGACACGGGCCTACCCGACTGGGAGACACCGAGGGATTGGGCTGTGTCGGTGCTGCCGTTCTTCCCGGACATCTCGCGCGAGCTCCGGATGTATGACGGGATCTACGGGAACGTCAGTACGTATTGGTATGTGTCCAAGCAAAGGCCGTCACGGTTATACCACACCACCACGCCGGCAAGCGAGGAGACATCGAAGGTTTGATTACGCTCCGCCCGTCCGGCTGTGATCTTGGGCCACGGCCCCAATCTTCGTCGAAGTGCTATCGTGTTTTTGTAAAGGACTACATTGCTGATCTCCATGATATACGCTGTCCCGTTACGTGCACAAACCAGTATGTGATGTGCATCGTTTGTCTTCAAGTCGTACTACAAGCAACACGAGTTCGCCTCTTTGACATCGGACTCCATTCGATTCCACAAAGTCCGCCATGACCGGAGGAGCCACGTATACCAGCGGATGGTGTCACCGTCCTCATCTGGCTGCGCTCCTGCTGCAATACGGTTCACAAGGGATCGCGAGAGCTGTCGCTCCCGCCGGCGGGATGGACATGCTTCGACTCTGAGTCCGCTGCCAGTGGGGCAAAACTCGAACCAACTCGGCACGTCGTACATTGAATTTATGGGGCCATATTTTGCTGTACAGTTTACACTCATTAACGCGTACGTGAGTCACACATCGCGGGTGATCGTGTATGAAAATACCTGGTATCTGAACCCATGGCCGACTCCAATCATGGCGGCACTGGCGCCGGAGTGTATCAATCAAAACACCGCCACCGACTACTGGCCTCCTCAGTCCTGGCGATCCTTCCTCTCTCTTGTCTTCGACGTTCGCTCAAGCAACGTTCACGTTACCATTTTCCACTAGGCTCGCATTTTTGAAGCATTCACATCTGACTCCTTTGACACCCCTTAGCCGACTTCCCATTCTGGATTTAAGTTACCAGCTGCGTTCAACACCCAAACGAAACACCACGGTGACCGCGTTAGCCAGGGCTCACGCTTGGTTTCAGGATTTGAGGAAGGAGTCTGACCTGCAGGACCACACCCACTCACACAAATCGCACAACTCGAGCAACCCAGCGCCGTTGGGACGCCCTGCGACCCTCCAGAGTCGTAAACATGTGCGGGCGATTTTCGCTGGGCGTTCCCGTATGGCCACTTTCTTCTCAGCTGCGCTGATAGCACACTGCGACTGACCGCCATATCTCTCTTACAGCACGACGAGATCGAACAGCTACACGGATACAACGTCCATGTCGGTGAATGGGTTGGCCGCGCCAACTTCGTCCCCAGGTATGCCCAGCTCCACTGTAGACCTGCTATTTGACATTTGAACCAGGGGTATCTCGTCTCACTTTCATGCAGGCATAACGTTGCACCTCGCTCACAAGCCCCTGTGATCCGCCGACGGGATGATGAAGGGAGCTCAGGCCCCGCAGCAGGACCCTCGCGCTCCCAAGGCCAATCCGCCGAGGACGATACTACCACAAAACCCCATATGTTGGAGACGAATGCGTCTGCCTCGCCGTCACCTACGCAAGCATCTCATGCCCAACGAGAGGCTGGGGCCACGTCCTCGCAACCAGACGACGCTATGATCCTGCACACGATGAAATGGGGACTCGTCCCGCACTTCAACAAACACGAGGACAAGTCGCTTAACACGATCAACGCGCGGAGCGAGGCGCTTGTCGAAGGCCATAGCGGTATGTGGGCGAGCATCAAGGGGAAGAAACGCTGCGCTGTGGTCTGCGAAGGGTGCGTTCTTAAGCCGTCTTTGGGGCTCTGCGCATCGGTAATGACCAAGGCCGTGCGCGCGGGGTCGATAGGTACTACGAATGGCTGAAGAAGGGCAAGGAGCGGTTACCCCACTTCACGAAGCATAAGGACGGTAGACTTATGCTCCTCGCCGGGCTCTGGGACTGTGCCGTGCTCGAAGGTCAGTGCGGCGTTGATACATGCGCACATGCTCAAAATCTGACAGTTCTCTGAACATCGGAACAGGCAGTACGGAACCGCTGTGGACGTTCACTATCGTCACAACGGACGCGTGTAAGGAGTTTAGTTGGTTGCACGATCGCCAGCCGGTCATCCTTCCCGACGAGGCCGCGCTCGCTACATGGCTCGACACATCCCCCGGGAAGTGGACCCCGGAGCTGACGAAACTCTGCGAGCCGTACCACTCGTCTGCGGATCATCCTCTCGTGTGGTGCGTGTTCCTCTCCGAGCTCAAGCTGTACAGCGGGGCGGACTGCGATTGCGGGACAGCTACCAGGTGCCAAAGGAAGTCGGCAAGATAGGCACCGAGTCGCCTACATTCATACAACCAGTCCAAGACCGCAAGGACGGCATCCAGGCCATGTTTGCCAAGCAGCAGAAGCAACAATCCCAACCCACGGCGTCGAGTACGGATCCCACGCCCGCCAGACGCCAGAAGCGCAGCGCATCCCCTGCAGACCTCAAATCGACCGCCACAGCAGGCGGGAGTGTAACGAAGAAGCCGAAGGTGGAGAAACTGAATACGTGGGAAGATGATTCGGATATCGAGTACGTCGACGATCCACCAACAGCTGGGCATGGTAGGACCGATGTCGAGGACCACAAGGCGAGGCTTCATATTTGCACTCCGCATAGACATCCGTTGATCTTAACCGTGCCATGTTCGCAGCAATCCGCAACGTCCTCCTCAACACGAGGCAATAATCATCCTGCGAAGGATGCTCATAGCGAGCCTACTCCGCCCAAGGTAAGCAGCCTGCCCTACCGGGCCACAATCTACACCTCTTAGAGCAGAACACTTACCTCCAAGTCTTGGATGACAGGTACGCAACGCGGGGTTCAACAAAACGCCGAAGGTACTATACCTATCACCAGTGATGGTATGAACATACGTTCTGACGCGGCACATCTTGCAGCCATCAACACCACGTAAATCCAAAACCGCTCAGCAGACAGACTCTTCCCCAAAGATTACTTCCTTCTTTACCAAGAAGTAGCGCATGCCTGTCGGCTGTACCATTTATTGTACCTTATGTCAGTGCGCCATAATGGCATTATACATGTTCGCATGTGCTCGTATCTTGACTATGTATCTAGTATCTTCGCCGGTGTTGTGCAGGCAGGTATTGCGAAGCATGGTCAGTGGTTGAGGCACACTATGTGAAGGTCCAACGCAAAAAGCACTGTCTTTTACGCGGCATTCTTTGCATCAGCTCGCGGGTCGTCGCGGCCAATTACATCGTAACGTACAGAGCGCGACGAGAGTGGAGGAGAGACACGACAGAGGAGATAACAGAACAGAACAGTCAGAAAAAAATGGACACGAAAAAAGAGACGGAGATGAGAGTGAGGAGTGAGACAGACACAGACAGACACGGCGTATCGAGAGAGAACAAGCTGCACAGGGATAGAGCGAGACACGAGTCGGCGGAAGGAGCAGCGGCGCAGCGGAGCATCGGGGGGTAGGAGTCTTAGGAAACTACCAGTTACTTTGTATCGTACTTGTTCATGCACCTGCGTCCGCACCACAACCAGCATTAATCAGCGCCCGCTCACTGCCAGTACCCCTGCTGCTGGCGGGGCTGGTACGAGTAGAACGTGCTCCCGTCCGAGCCACCCTGGGGGTAGCCTAGGTGTCCTTGCGGGCCTTGGCCCTGCGGCTGCTGGCCCTGCGCGCCTTGCGGTCCACCTGCCTGGCTAGCCGCAAAGCGTTGCGCGTAGAAGCTGCCTTGGCCCGGCTGCTGCACGCCGCCGCGGCCCTGCGGGCCCTGGCCGACGCCGACGCCCGCCTGGCCAACACCGACACCGACACCCGCACCGACGTCCTTGACGCCGCCGACGTTCCCGCCATACGGCTTGTACGCAGCCTCGGGCGATCCACCAGTCGCGCGCTGCCCGAGCGGAGGGCCAGTCGATGGGCCGGTCGACTGTCCAAGCCCCATGAAGCCCTGGATGCCCTGCGAGCCGGAACCGTAGAGCGACTGGTGCTTGCCGTACTCGGACGACGGCAGCCCGCTTCCGACGTTCACGTTCTGCCCGACCGAGTGCTGCGCGTGGTGCTGGTACCCGAGATCGTCATACGTGTTGGGCTGGTGCTGCTGCTGCTGGCCATACAACCCTTGTCCGTAGGGCGACTGCGGCTGCACGGCACTGGGGCCTTGCTTCGCCGCCGGGGAAGGGGCAGACTGCGGGCCGGGAGGTCCCTGGAACACGGTGGGGTACTTGACGAACGGCTGGGGCACTGTGTAGCCGGAGCTGTATGGCGAGCCGTAGTACTGGTTCTGGGGGTAGGGGTAGTAGTAGGGGAGCGGGGGAGGGTAGCCTTGCTGGGGGCCCTGGCCCGCGGTGGGCTGTCCCTGGCTGCCGGCCTGGGAGGAGGGAGGGTGCTGCTGCGAAGACTGAGCGCCTGCGGGGGGAAGGCCGGGGGCGGCGTGAGGCTGTTGGGAGCCGGGCAGGCCCTTCAGGTCATCATGGCCGAGAACGCTGCGGTTGGCGAAGCCGGTGGGACCCGAGTAGGAGTCGTAGAAGTTCTGCTGCTGCTGTTGTTGCTGTTGCTGCTGCTGCTACAATTATATAGCGTGAGTAAAATGGATATATGCCATCGAAGTGCAAAGTACACACCCTCTGGCTATCGCCGTAGCCGTAGTCCGCACCACCGAAGTTGCCGAGGTGTGAGCCCTGAGCCTGGTGCTGCACCTGCTGGTTCAGCTGTCCAAACGAGCCGTAAGGGCTGTCCTGACTCTGACCGGCAGGCGGCGTCGGCGCGTGGAAGTACGGTGCCTCGGGCTGGCGGAAGTACGATGACGGGCCGCCCCCAAGGTTCTGCGCCTGCGTGGCCTGGGGCTGCTGGGGCTGGGGTGCCACGTGCTGCTGCTGTTGTTGTTGCTGCTCGAGGTGAGCACCGAGGCCGTGCTGGGCATAGGCGTGGTGCGACTGTGCTGGCGGTTGCTGACTCTGGTGGCTGGCGAGCGACTGCTGCGAGATAGCCTGAGACTGCTGGGAGTATGGGGAGATTGCGGACGTTGAGGTAGAGGAAGGGAGGGAGGGTTGGGTGAGGGACGAGGTGAGTGTTGATTGCTGGGGGAGAGCAGCGAGGTGAGGAGGTTGAGCCGGCTGCTGAAGCTGCTGGGGTTGTTGCTGCTGCTGTTGGGGGAGAGAATTCTGAAACAGAGAGCCAGATGTAAGAGGTGTTTGAGCAGGGGGGGAGGCGATGGGGGCAGCAGGCTCCTGAGGCGGAGGCGCGGGCGCGGCTACGTGCTCCGGAGCAGCCGGCGGAGCAGGCTTCTGCTCAACGGGTGTGGGTTCGTGGCTACACGGATGTAAGTAAGTGATCAATAATGATATTGAAGATAGACGCACGAGTCGATGTCCTCGCCGCCGAGGCTCAAGCTTCCGAACTGCATGCCGATCCTCTCGAGGCCGGAACCGAAGCTCGCAGGCATGACGACCGGTTGATCCGTCGTCTTGAACTTGGGCGCACGGTGCGAAACGGGCGTCGCGCGAGCCTGGATCGACGGCGTTTGAGGCTTGGGCGGAAGCGCCGCAGGAATCTCAGGAGATAGTTGCTGCGGCACAGCGGGTGAAGCCACAGGAGCGGGCTCCTCGACGACCGTCGGCTCAGGTTGAGCAGGCTTTGCCTCTTCCAGGACAGGAGCCGGCTCTACTGCTTGGGCCGCACGAGGCTCGTCATCCCATATCGGCTCTTGGACGGTGGTTGGTTCCTCCCAGCCGGTCGAGGTGGTGGGTGCCTCTGGTGTCTCCACAGGAGGTGCAGGCTCATGATGTTGCGCCTGGGGCGCAGGCGGGGAGGGGGCCGAAGGGGCGGTGGGTGGCGGTGCAGCAACGGGAGCAGGAGGGGGAGCGGGTTTCTCCTGAGGTTTGCTGTAGAAAGGTTAGATAATGTATGCAAGACAGTGACTTTTTACGTACCGTGCAATCTGCGCCCATGAAAGCTTGGAGGTGGCAGGCGTAACGCCTGCTTTGTTCGCCGATGGCCCTGGCGCAGGAACTTGCGCAGGAGTGTGTGCAGAAGCCACGGGAGCGGGGGCAGGGGTAGGGTGGGAAGTCGCGCCATTGACAGCCGTCGTGTCTCCTCCCCAAGTGGTAGGAGTGCTCGAGTTCCACGCAGAGGTCGCGTCGCCGTCAACATCAGCCGCCTCACCGTTCGTGACGGGAGCATCGACAGCGGTCGCGTCCTTGACAGCTTCCGCAGACTGGGAGGGCTTCGCTCTGTGGCCGTTTACGTCGTGATGACCACCACGAGCCGAGACACCACCGCGTGCGCCGCCACGGACAGCACCACCCCTCGCACCGCGTCCACCTCGACCACCGCGGAAGTCACCGCGCCCCCCGCCAGCAGCTGAGTCCTTGTTGTACGAGGAGGTAGGAGCTGACGATTTCTTGTCCTTCTTGCGAGTGACGTTACCCCATTGCTCCGCGTGGCCTAAGGTGTTGCTATTGGCCACATGACCACAACGCGGAGAAAAGGAGAGACTTACCCTCGATGATCCGCATGGAGGCAAGCTCAATATCACCGTTCACTTCGACGAGAAGGGACTCGAGGTCTGAGGGATGGGGATGAGCGGTGGTCGGGCATGTCTCGAATGTGCGTGACGTACCTAGCTCTGTCCATGCGGGGAACGCCTCCTTGAGCTGCTTGACCTGGGGGCCATGTCTGGTGGAGGTAGAGTCTTGCTGAGGCTGGGCCTTGCGGAAATTGGAGGACTTGTACATGATGGGAGGGAGCAGGACGACAACGGACGCTTTTTTTCTGCTGGACGGGAGGAGGAACGCGGTGAAGGTGTGTGGGCGTCTATTTTGCGCGTGTGGTCGTCATTTTCAGCTGCATTTGCACTTTAGACTAAAGTAACCAAACTTTAGAGTTATCACTTTGTCTGGTTTGCCCAGATTACCTTATTTGTTGAGATAAGTCCCCGGCCCCTGCGTCCCGCCCGATCGCGAATCCCGCCATCACTGCTCAACGCCCTGCCCCGCCCCCGCCCATTCTGTTCTCCTCCTCCCCCCATCTTCCCGTCGTCTTTCAAACACTCGACAAGCCCAGAGTCGTATATCTGGTATGCCTAAAGGACGACCACCCAACCTCCGCCTCCAGACTGCGTCCGCGAAGCATCCCTCTCAATCCAATACCATCATCGAACTTGAGACCCCCATCGACCCTCCTAATGACGACGACCTACTACCACTCTCCTCGCCCTCATCGACGTCCTCAGACTCTCCCCCAGAGTCTCCCATTGACTCTCAGTCTACTTTGGAGACCGACTCAGATCCCAACTCGGACGATATCTCTCGAGACTTGGCTGCTCTCGAGAAACTTCGCAGAAGCGTCCACCGCAATCTGAAACTGCGTCCTATACGCTCATCTACGTCCAGCTTGCGTGCCCAGGCTGCCTCTCCATACAACGGCTCCCCAGTCAGCATACGAGACAACCGCTCACCCAGTCCCGCTTCCAGTCTCAGTCCAGCCAGCGTGTACTACACCCCCACATCTGCGCTGTACAGCGAGCCTGACGATTGGCGTTCCTCCTCTTCCTCTTCCTCAATCGCTGGCGGTATTGAACCCGCTCTCCTCATCTCAAGGCTGAACGCCCCGACGCGCCCCATACTAATAGATACCCGTCCGACTCATGCATTCCTCGCCGACCATCTCGAGCACAGCGTCAATATCCACACTATCCCGAGCCTAATCCTGAAGCGGTCCAAACGGCCAAACGGTGGGTTGCAGGATATCACAGCCCTCCGCCAGTGGATAACTACAGACGAGGGCAAGCACTGCTGGGACGATATGATGAACAGTGGGGACTGGGATGGAGACGTGATCGTCTACGACGAGACGATGGACGAGCAAGATAGGCTCAATCCACAAGCAACCGCCTGGATACTGCTAAACCTCGTAGAGCCTCTTCTGGAGCACGGTACAATCGACTACCTCCATGGCGGGTTCTCTGCGGCGCGACATCACCCCTACCTGCGGCAACATATCCTGTCCAATCACGCCCGGTCCGACACGTTCCCGTCGATGAAAGCCCAAAAAGCTAATGGAAAGCTCGGCGGCGGGCTGTTCCAACTGGATATCTCTGTCGCAACACGGCCTCGAGACCTTCCTGAACTCGAGTTTTCCGCCGTCTCCCCAAAACCCATGATGCCGTCCGCCATCGGTACTCCCTGGCACGACTCGTCAGATCGCGTCGCCCCCTCCCCTGCGCCTTCACAGCTGAGCTTCTCACGCCCACCACCACCACGCCGACCTAGTATTCCCGCGCTCCGCAAGCTGGATACTACATCTACAGAGCGTCTCAACGCCGGCCTCCCCAGGTTACAGATGCCTCAGAAAGCAGCCACGCTCGCAGCCCCTCCCTCAGGTCTCCGATCGCGCTCGCGCTCGCGATCACCCTCGCACCTACGTCTCAACCTACCACCGCCGTCTCCACCAGGATCTGCGCGCCTCCTCTCAGCGAGCTCCTCGTGGGGACCAGACTATCTTCCGCCACCATCACCATCTTGGGCGCAACCTAGTACACCTAGGACGCCTCACACGCCACATACGCCCGTCTCCCGCTCACCCTCTACCGCCCGTCCAGACTCGTCACAGCCACCCACCACAGAGGAGCCGTTCCCCATGTTCACCGTTTCGACTATTCTCCCCAATTTCCTATTCCTCGGGCCAGAACTCACCAAGGAGGAGCATGTCGACGAATTACAGTCCCTCGGCGTCAAGCGCATCCTCAACCTTGCTATCGAGTGTGATGATGACCAGGGGCTGAATCTGCGCGAGCGCTTCGACCGGTATATCCGCATACCTATGCGCGACACCGTCGAAGAAGACAACATCACGCGCGGCGTTCGCGAAGTCTGCGAGATCCTAGGTCAGTCTTCCCCTCGTCCCCGCGCGCCCCGCTCACCGCTCACATGACCCCTGCGCCACCAGACGATGCGCGTCTACACTCATCGCCCACATACGTACACTGCAAGGCCGGCAAGTCGCGCTCGGTGACCGCCGTCATGGCATACCTCATCCACGCGAACCACTGGACGCTGTCGCGTGCATACTCCTTCGTGCTCGAGCGCCGGAAAGGCATCTCGCCGAACATCGGCTTCGTCTCGGAGCTCATGACCTTCGAGGAGCAGGAGCTCGGCGGCAAGTCTGTCGGCGTCGTCAAGATGTCCTCCTCTGCAGGCGCCGAGCCAAGCAACGGGGACCCAGACGGCCCCCATAATCCCGGGGCCGGTGGCGGTGGTGGAGGAAACGGCGGGACCAACTACGGCGTTGCGCTCGGTGGACGACGTCCGCAGCATATCCGCGAGAGTCTCCCGCCACTCTTCTCCATCCCGGCCTCGTTCGCGGAAATGTCGGGCCCGCCAGTCATGGACGCGGCGCAGATCGGCGACTCGGGGCAGGAGGTGGAGATCAAGGACGCGACGGGGCGCTACCGCCACGCGCGGCGCGCGCCCGTGGACGAGGCCACGCTCCAACCGATGCGCCGCGTGAGCAAGGCAGGCCTCGAGAGCGCGGCGTACGTATGATTACGCGGGGGCGGACACGCCCCGCCCCGCGATGGGTTCGCTATCCACGGCTCGTCGTGCCCGCCCATCTACGATCTCCCGTGTTTCCCGCTGTTGTCATTCCCTAGGGTACGCACTCGCTCTTTTACTATAGTTTACTCTCCAAGCCGTCGCATCTCCCGGGATTTGTTCATGGTATTATTAACACATTCATTTCGCGTCTCTGCCTCGGTGCATCTCCTATCATATCCGATCGGTCCACGCTCACTGTCATGCTTGCACACTGGAACTCGTGTCTCTCTTTCCCATCTTGTCTGCGCTGCGCCTCTGTGTACATACATACCTACGTGCTCTCTGAGGCCAATCATATCTGGGGTCCTATCCGAAGTACAACACTACACTTCGGGGAGTGTGGACGCTATCTGCGTCAGCGTAGGGTCGACGTCCGTACTTGGTAACGTAACGCGGTCAGCACGAGCATAGCTAGTGACCAGCTATGCCTCATGTAGGAACCTCATCGGCACTGTGTATGCACATAGCCTCGCTCGTGCAATAGTAAGGAAGAGCGCCTTCCCAGCTACTATACGAATGTGACTGGAAGGTCAGACTGGATAGAAGTTAAAACCAATTCCGATGTCGCCGGGGCGTGTTTGTACGACAAGGCGAACCTGTAGTATACACGTCAATAGCACAGAGTGATAAAGGAAACAAGATAGCACATAACATTGATATCAGCGATGCGGGCGTGTAACACATACGGTAAGTAGTACTCGTCAAAGAAGCGGGGTGCGCTGGCACAAGATCATCGACGGATGCGCGAAGCACAATCAGACCTTCGATGTCTCCTCGCTGGCCGGCGCAGTGCTGGCATGGTAGTACCAGCAGGACACAAAGAAAGCGCACGATCTCGTGCCGTTCTGCTATGCGCGCCACGGCCACACCCTCTATACTTTCTCGCAAGCCGCTGGGGTCGCGGTATTGTAGTTCCGATCGGCGAACCGCGCGTCGATGTAGTAGAAGTTGAGTCTGTAGGCGACGGAATTGAACATCCGGAGCTCGCGCGAGCTATCCGGGAAGAACGGCAGCACAGACGGCGCCCAGTCCTCCGGCGTAGGGAACTCCATGGTGCCCCAGTCTGTGGCGATCTGCGTGGGGTCCACGTACCACGGGTACCAGCCCGCGTGCTGCCAGTCGACGAGCCACACAACGCCTTCGTGTACGATGATGTTGCGTGAATTGAGATCGCCGTGGCTGAACACGAGAGGTTGGTCCGCGTGGAACCGGTCGTCGACGCCGTTGTAACCCCGCTCACCGGGGAGGTAGAAGAAGCGATTCCACCACGCCACGAGAGCCTCATGCGTCGGGAACAGGCCTGCACCGTTTTCCGAGAACCAGCGCCCCTCGCAGATTCCCCCGCCGATGGGGCCAGGCGGCGTGTCGATATCGACAGGAATGTTGCGCAACTCGCGGATGTAGCCCTGGATCTGTGCGAGCACTGACGTCTTGGTGGGCTCGTCGAGCGTTCCCCAGATTTGCTGCAGACACGAGCCAGGAACACAGTCCATGACGATGAATGTTGTAACGCGGGTAGGGGTGGTGGTACCGACGCGGGTAAACACAAGGTGCACCGTAGGAATTGGAATCTTGGTGTGGGTGCGGACAAACTCCATCATCGTGGCTTCAACCGGGTTATGGAACATGCCGCGTTTAACAACAAGGTCTTCTGTGATCCGATGGACGAGTTGAGGATGGTCGAAATGGCCAGGAAGAGGGAGTGCAGGCTTGAGTAGCAGCTGGAGTACGGTCTCCGGGGTGATCGAAGGTGGCGACGATTTGGAGTAAATGACCTGAACGTCACCGGGACTCGGTTTTGAGCTTAAATAAGCACGTTGGGGGGGCTCTGTGTGAGCTATCACGTCTGCGTCCTCGTTGTCGAGCTCGAGCGGCGCTCCTTGAGTCGCGTGCAGTGTCGCAGATGCGAGATCGGTGGGTTGCGTGTTGGCTGTGGACATTTCGGCACCCTACAAGAATATGCGTTGACGAGAACGTAGCGTTCGGACTTGGACCCTCAGGCTGTAGTTGGCGGCTGTGGAATGATCTGGTGCAAACCTCGGCCGTCGACGGCGTGGCCAACGACAACAATGATATTCAACCGTGGGAAGCCTACCTACGCACCCGGTGGCAGTGCAACTTTGCACCTTCGCCTAAGATGTCGGAGCGCGTCGTTACTGCCCACCACCACCGCCATTGCCGTTCACCTTCGAGAAATTGTCAAGAACTAGTGAAAATAAGGCCATGACTATGGCCGAATGTCAGCGCCTGTCTAGAACTGAAGTCAAGTGTTTGAGCAAGTGCACGGCGTCGAGACTCAGGGCGTACATAGTATCGCCGCGTACATGGCCACTGCTATCTGCGGAAGCGATAGCACCAGCCAGTGACAGCCGTCCCCACCTAATGTCCGTCTTATAATAACCCTGCAAATGACTGTGTCTGACGCATACTTCCTCCCAGAGAGCCCTAAGAAACGCCGCACTCGATTGCCGCGTACGGTACCAGACAGGCACGACCGTGACAAAGCGCTGCACCTGGCCTACGTAATTACGGTACTTCGGACTCTTGAAGGCTCACCAAGGACACACAGGTTAGCTGCGGCATGTCAATGACTATGATTATTTAAGTCTGTTTATTCTAGAAGTCCAAACCTCGAGGCCAGATTGCTGCAAAGTCGTCCAGACCTGGGCCAGCAGGCCTCAAAGCCTCAGGCTACTACAGAAATACGTGCAGCGACTGCTCCGCCTGCCGCCACCTAGTTTGCGTATGAAAGGGACTGTCAGATGGGCTCGAGTCTTCAGTAACCAGGTATCGAAACACCTGGCCTGACCCCCTCGCCAGCATGTTCCCCGCTCAGTCCCTCCTCGCTACTGTCTTCATCACCTTAGACCTGGTCAGCTCAACAGCGTACGCGCTGTCTCTGCGCTCGGCCCAGCTCATGGCCCACGACAGCACGATTTCCAGCCCCCTCTTCCCGGCCACCCCGCAAGTCGAGTATTGAACCACGGCTACCGACCTTCCGGACCCGAGCCCTCTATCCGATGCCACGTTCAACATACAGAACGACAAGGACAGCACAGTGGCACATCCGTATGTCGACGCGCCGGCCGGCGAGCTCTCGATGCAGGCGGCTACCCCGCCGGGTCGTACAACCTGACGAGCACCCCGCCCGGCGGTATCTCATTCTACGCCCTGGGTCCCGCAAGCGTAAATCTCACCACTGCCAAAGAGGTGACGTTTGGCTACTAGGTCTACTTCCAATCAGGGTTCCAGTTCGCAAAGGGCAGCCAGCTCCCAGGACTTGGCATGTGCCGCACCTCTTCCCGCTCACCATCCGACCCAGACATATTGATAATCGCAAATTTTCCAGTTGGCGGAGAAAAAGACGTTGCAAATATGGGCTGTGATTGGGCTCCCCCCATTAACCGCCAATTCTGCCTCTCCTCTGGCCTCCTGTGGGGCGCCGACGGCGCCGGGTGCTCACCGCGTATGTCCCGCCAGGGGCTCAGCCTCTCGAACCAGTCGCTCCCCTGCGGCACCCCACCGTACTCGGAGTGCCTGATTCAGGTCGGTGGCTCAAAGGATATTGGTGTGTTAAAATAGGACGAAGGGGAAGGGCCGACACGAGAGAGCTGGAGGATCTGGTGCGATCCGACGACTCCAGCACACATGACGCCCTCCCCGGGGCGTGATGGAAGTTGGACACCGACCACCTTGGCAGCGTCCTCTTGTGTTCTTTGAATAGTACTCTATCTCGGTCGTCAATGTGATAGCAACGGTTAGGTGCGGCTGATGTTGGGCAGGTCTCGGCCCTCGGAGTTGAGACACGCGGTAGCAGAGAAACTCCTTGCAGAAGGAGATGTTTGAACTTCATTGCGACGTGTCGGTCAGAATCTACGAACCTGATGTTGAAGGCCATGCACGCCGCACGGAGATGACCTTCTGCAACTTTTGCTGACTGTGAGCGCTGAAAAGCAGTTGATATATGTGGCGGTGCCACACCGGCGCACATTTTGGAACCCTTCGGCAGCCAGTATCAGCGCTAACGGCATCGAGGGCTCATCAAGAGCACTCTTCCGCAGCACACTCATGATTCCGTTTCCCATAGGATTCAACCGTATGAGGCAGCAAACATCGATCGAGGGGGAAGGCCCTGCGAATGGCGCAGTACACACTGCCCGGGAAACCGGAAGACTTTCACAACGGTCACCCGAGTGCCGCAACAAGAACGGCGTGCGGCGAGTGAAACCGAGCCTGGGTCCGTCTATCCTCTACATCCATGTTCGATCGAAAGCTGCAGCAACGAGAGTTCCTCAGAATAACACAACGAATGGCATCAAGTAGATTTGAACCATTGGAATTTATTCAGGTCCGTCACGGACCTTGAGAAGACACTGATTCCTATTGGCGACTCGAGGTCGCTCTTGCTCATAACTGGCTTCTTTGCGGGAAGGGATCTCTCATAACTTTCCCAGGCATATCTCAGGACTCGCCGGCGACGTACGCTTTCGTAGTGAGCCTGGTACGTTACCTTTGCATGGCGTATTCAACCCAGTTTTTGCCTTCTTACCCTGTCGAAGGAAATGGCCGTCGAAGACATACGCTGACGAGATTCATATAGCATTCGAAAGGCCTAGTCGTCTTCCTCGTTGAGGAAGTACTCGTATCGCCGCGGGTTTAGGGCCAGCATATCATCAAGTCAGGCACAAGTATCAGCCTGAAAACGCCGCGCAGTTATGCACTCCCTAGTATAGCCTGTGAGGCACGGCGGTTCGCAGAGCCGGTGGAAGTTCGCCTGTACGCCTTAGAGACTTGAGAATACCGTCCTGCGTGTGATCTGTGCCTAATCTGTTCGCCATGTATGTGTCTCTTCTTCCATGCTCGGACGCTGTCGCAGCATCTTCTGATTTCGTTTATCAGGTTGAATAGTTCCTGCCGCGAAGGAATATGTACTCTATGCACCAAGGCGGTGTGGTACTGCAGATGCCCATCGCCTTCTCCGGCGCCCAAACCACAAGCATGCTTCGAATCGATGGGCTAAGCTCAATATCGAAACCACATCCAGGGCTCGATGGCTGGCCCCTTCGGATCCTTAATTTTCGAGGGCCTCCGGTTTTCTCATCTATCAGCGCGTCTTCTGACCCACGCTGCAGTGTGCGCACCAGTGTGTACGCTAGGCTTCGATCTTTCACCGCCCTTCGATCGAGCATGCCCTCTGTAGCATATAAACCGCTTACGTTGCTGCCGTCACTCACACTCGAGTAGGGCACCTCCCCACACCACGAACAATGTCTCTCATCAACCAAAATGCGCCGCAAGTACCGTCCCTCGACAACACCTTAGGCGTTTGGCTCATAGGGACGTTCCTGGGAACGCTGTAAGCAATCCTTTATCTATAGCCATCCGACAACTCCTCATGACGTTTACCACGAGCCAGCCTGCAAGGTCTAGTTGTGTTCCAAACATACAGGTACTTCTGCTTGTATCCCAAGGATCCCCTTTACTTGAAGTTATGGGTATGTACAAGATGCTTCGTCGATCATGCTGCCTCCTCAGACTCACACTATGGCTTAGGTCTTCGCGGTGCTGTGAGTTACGGGGTCCGAGCTGGGCCGAGCTCTCAGGACTCAGTATTTCCCTCCTGATTGCGACAGGATTCTTGAAATGCTGAATTCGGCGTTAACCATGCACACTTCGTGAGCATGCCCCTCGCCTATCCCTATATGACATCATTCGATAGATGTTTTTCACCAGCTATGTCTACCTGGTGTCCAACTTCTTCAACCCCGCCATACTTCAAGGGCCCATTGTCCGGTACGTCTTCCAATACCCGTACCCTACCGCAAAAAAAATCCTGACAGATGCGATAACTGTAGCTCGTTGGCAGTATGTATTCTCGTATTTGCATCGTGCGGAGCTAATGCATAAGTCTTTTGTTCGGTAGATTTATCCCATACCGGCCGTAAGTCTGCTTCATATATCTACGTCTCGGGCGGGGGTTCACATTGGCTCAATCCACGCTGCCTGATACAATCAGGCGCTGGCCGGCTTAGTATCACAGTGGTGAGCAAAATTAATAGTAGAACTTGTCTTGAAACTTACTATAGAAATAGCTTCTTTGTTCGACGAGTGTATATGCGTAAGCTCCATCTCTTTCGGAGGCACTGGTGCTAAAAGCAATTCGGTCTCGATCAGTCGGACGCCGATTCAGATTTCTCGCCGCAATCACAGTAAGTGCCGTCTATAATACATTGATATAGCATGCTCACTCCAGAGGTCCACCTAGATGCCGTGTTACGTTCTATTCCTAGGTATGTGTTCATCGAGGGATACTCGCCGCAGCCGTTATAAGCTCATTACAATCGTTTTATGCAGGGTTTTGTACGGGTGAGTCAGCGGCCCAGTGACCATACGTAGACTCGTTGCTGACTGAGGGCTCGGAAACATTCCAGCACTCTCAATCAAAGGGTACGCCGTCCTTGAAAGTATCATCGAGCCGCATTATAACGGGAGCACGTGGGTCACTCCGGGAATGCTGCAGTCTGCAGGTCGCCAACCTCGATGAATTCCGGAAGTATTCTGTACGTCCAGTACTTACTAGTCGTCACTTGTGCTTGCTTAACTGATCACATGTTCTTCGCAGTGGCTCGCGTCTGCAGCCTCATGCGTGCTATTGGTCGCAGATTTCCTAATCACCGCTGTTCTCATCCGCTTCTTGCGTGGGAGCCGCACCGGGCTCACTCGGTACGTCCATTGACTCGCTTGCGAGATATAGACTTCGCAGCACCAGTCGCTAAGTTCGGGTGCGTCATAGTACGGATTCACTCCTGGACACATTGATCATCTACGCTGTTGGTACCGGTGCGTGCATCTTCGTCTGCGTTCTAACCGCACCTGTGCTGATTTGAAAATTAGGATTGTTAATCTGGTATGATAACTATCCTCATCATGATGCTCAGTTTCTTGTCGCTAATCACATAGGCCCATCTCAAGCGTGTTCAATATCCTCAACGTTGTGTTCGTGAGTGACTTGTTGGCACCCATGGCAAATGTATTTGACTTTAATCGACTTGCTCAAGGCACTTGCGTGCCCGAACAACCTGATCTACACGGCGATCTCAATGATCCTCACCAAGCGTACGTTCCTTCCGGTTGTAGAGATCAACCCCGGTTTAGCTGACTATCTGCGCTGATACAGTATATGCGAACTCATTTTTGGTCGCGTGAGTACCGTCACACACGCGAGTTTCCGCCGTCGTACACATTGCTTAAATATGATATAGCCTCAATTTGCGAGACTCGCTAGGCAACATTGGGTCCATTGGTGCAACCGACACGAGCCCCTTCGGATCGACATTGCTACGGGGCAACAGGGCGCCTGGCGGCCGCACTGGGTTAGGAACGTTGCGGGTATGTCTATACAGCGCTGTTGTGGTTGGTGAGCAATTGACATCTGGAACGTTCGTGCAGTTTGGCTTCTCAGGCCCGTCGTCGGAGCCGGCCTCTGCCATTGAGCTCAAGATGGCGCCCGGCATTTCGCGAGACACCACAAGTGACGTGAGCAAGGGAGAGCATCATGGCGAGGAAGATTCGGCGAAGTTCGTTGCTGTGTAGTTGCGAGCATGCAAAAAAGGGCGGCGGCGGCGCCTGTCATGATACTGGACCGACCATTGCTGTAGAGAGCCATCGACCGTCGTTCGTCTTTGTGCTTGGCTGTTCTGAGTTGTATAATGCCTTCCTGACTGTGTATCTATCTAAGAGGTTACCGGATGACCGTCATGCCGTACCATGGCGAATGGCGGAACGCTAAAGGATCGGCGCACGAATGTCGACAAGACACCACGACGGAATAACTGACTGCAGTATGTACATGTCGAGCTTATGATACATCGATACTTCCGCCAATGGCCTCAACGGCTGCCTTGAGCCTGTGGGCCTCCTGGACGACCAAGTCGTTGTCGTCTTCCGCAGCTTCAGCAATGAATGTAGCGGTCTCCGCCACGAAGCCTGCCATGAAAGTCAGCACTCTGTGACTCGGTACTAGACAACAAAGTCGTACCAAGCAGCTTCTCGCCGTGAGCGCGCCACAACTGCTCTGCACAGGTGACGCTCAGCAGCCGCACCCGCGCATCCTCGGAGCGGCTGTGCATGAGAATGTCGAGGTTGAGCGATTTTGTCAGCACATCGTCATCGAGGATACCCAGCAGAGCTTCGAGGAAATCTGCGAGGGCGTCCTTGCCGTCCGGTAGGTTCACGCGCACAGCCACGGGAACCTGTTGAGCGGCCAAGGGCGCGAGTAGTCGAAGCTTGTCGCTGCGCCAGAAGACTGAAACTACGATCAGCAAGTGTGTCAGGTCCAGTACATGGCTCAACAAACCTTTGTCCTCGTCGGCGGACATCGCCTTCGAGAGCGTCTGAATAAGGGCCAACCAAAGCTGCCCGTCTACGGCCACGGGCGAGGTGTAGCTGCGAAGGAGCTCGGTGAAGGATTGCCACGTGAAGGACATGTACGGGACCATGAGCGCCTATAGAAAGGATCAGCACTATCGACTGCGAGACGGCTATCTGAGTACCGACCTTGAAGAAGTCGAGCAAAGTGGAATACACATGGCAGAATACAACTCGTCGGTTGTCTGATACGCGCCGGAAGGTGGTCGACTCAGTACTGCATGAAGGCGCTGAAAGGTTCAAGGTGCGCACCGTGAGATTGGTTGAAGGCCCAGTCAAACATCTTGCGGAAGATGGGTCGGAAGGCGGTCTCGTTCAGCTTCACAACGACCTCCAAGAACGCTGAGGTGATATTGCTTTCCACCTAGACGCTTATTAGACGGATGTCTATGATGTAGGAGGTTATCGGGCTTACATCTGCATCCTGATGAGTTGCGCAGATATCGAACATAGAGAGGAAGGCCTTGAACAGTTCGCGCAGGTTCTCCAAGACGGCAGGTCGTGATGCCGCTTTGACGGACACCTTGACAACCTGGACGAACGCTACAACCCTTCCGGCACGATTCTGGCGGGCTCTTATGTGAGCTATACGAACTCAAGAAAGGAAATGAGAATACGTACTTGGGCCTGAGCAGCGAGCGTCCGTTCCCACATGTTGCAGAGGGCAGGAAGCAGAACGGTGGGGGATGCGCGCTTTGCAACGGTCTTGACCAGCAGCGACATCTCAGTGGACTGGGCCGCGGAGGCTTCGGAACCGTCCAGGTAGAGCTCGACGACCTGGAGCACCTCTGCCTCACCCCAGAACGTAGGAATGGAGGTGAGGAGGTTGCGCAGAACTTGCGCTGCAGTGGCGACGAGCGTGGAGTCTGCCAGATGTGGTGTCAGTACCATTCGCCTTCTGGGATGAAATAGGTTACTCCTACCTCCGCCGGATACTGCTGCTTCCCGAGCTCGCGCGACACACTCTTTGACGATGCCCTTGAGGTACGGGATGGCCCGCGGCCCCAGCTTAGAGGAGAAAGAGAGCAGCGCGTGCAATGCCGGAGCCCGCACGCTCTCGCGCTGCACGGACTCTAAGATGAGCGGAACTGTGTTTGTGATCGAACTCTCCTCGCCAGGAGAAAGCGTGTCGCTGATGATAGAGAGAGCGCGCAAGGCAGACCGCGCAAGAGCGTCCTCTGCACCAGTAAGGACCGAGCGAATATTGTCCACAATTTGGACGACTGTTGGAGTGAGGGTGCGACGAGCCTTATCCGCGACATCGGTCAGACGATCACTGAGCAGCTCTAGTGCGGCAGCTTGAACCTGAAGCACGTGTTAGCACAGATGTTGGTCAAGAAGTAGTGGTCGGACCGCACGTACACTTGGTGACGAGGAGTGGAGGATGGTGAGGATACCCTCAACGAAGTCAGGTGCAGACATAATGCCCAGAGTGCTATTCATGGCGGAGCGAGCCGCGGCGGTGACCTCTGCGTAGCTAGCGTCGCCTGCATGGGAGGTGGAAACAGCGAGTAGCAGAGCCAGCAATGTCTTGCTGGATGCGCGTTCCTGCTGAGACGTGGCAAGAGCAGTAACATGGAGACGCCGTAAAGCGTGGTCAGAGAACACAAGAAGAGCAGCCGCCCGACGCTTAGACGACGTCTCAGCGTGCGGATGCTCATCGTCCCTGTAGCCGTCATGAGCAATTCGTCCGCAGAGGAAAATGAAAGATACTCACGGGGCATCCTCTAAGAACGGCGGGGCGGATGAGCCATCAGGCCGCGCAAGTCTCTCCACTTCGTGTGCGAGCTCGACAAAGAGCTAAGAAAATATAAGCTTCGAGTACGCATGCTAGATATATGGACACTTACAGGAAGCTGAAGTGCAGCAGGATAACGCTCGCACACTGCGAGAGGGAGGAAGAGGGACCCGGAGGATTCAGTGGAGGTCTGGCGTGCCACACGATTGGCTACACGGTCGACCAAGAGCATGGTGACGGGGGCGAGGAAATCCGCAGGACCGAGGGTGTCCACGAGATGTGAGAAGAAGCTGTGAAATCGATCAGCAAACGGCGAAAACTAAAGGTACAGACAGTACGCACTTGACGCGCCGATGGCGGGGGATGTGGTTCGCAGCGCTTGTGAACACACGCAGGAATTCTCGGGCGGCACGATAGAGATCCATTCCTGTCCCGTGCTTCTCCTTGAGCGAGGCAACCATGACCGGCACAATGCTGTCGACAGTCTGTCGAAGAGTCAGTCTTGCAGTAGCGGCGTTCAATTCGGGTGTCCTAACCTTCTGTACCACTTGGAAGCTGTAGGTATCGTCTCGGTGAAAGACGTTTGAGCCCATGAACGTGAAGATCGGCATGACGTTGTGCAGTACGGCATCCGGTGCGATCCGGGCAAGGCTTGCCATGAGTAACGACGCCTGGTGGAAGGACTGCGGGTTCTCCGATGCTATGACATCGTCAGTACACTGAATACATGGGTCTACAACTGAGCACGTACTGCGGAGGATTTCGACGAGGGTGTCTACACGGATCGAACCCGGAGGGACAATGGTCGCCGCCTAACATGATGAGTTAGATTGAAACTTGCGCATGTGACTTTTGGACTTACCGGGAATTGTTGTACCACGTTCTCGACTGCGGACATGATGAGCTGCTCGACATATCGCTTATCTGCAGCGTCGGGTGCAACGGTGTGCGTGACCTTGCTGAGTGTCTCGAGCAGGCAAGACACAAGCTCCAGGGAGCCGACGATCTGGACGGAACTCAGGACTTCCGCAAGGGCAGCAAGTGCTGCGATCTCTTCAGTCTGCGCACTAGTAGCAGATCTGCGAGATATTTGTAAGCATGGAGGTCGTCCTTTCGAGGTGTTCACTTACTTCTCAACACGAGCCCGTTTTGTTGCGGGTTGCGTCGTATCCTCACCGCTCGGCTGGAGTGCGACAAGCAAGCGGATGATGAGAGACACGTCCGTCAACATGCTTGCAAGAAGCTTCTTGCAGACGAGGCCCTGAAATAATGCTGTCAGCGACGTTGCTGAAGAAGGTCCAAGGAAGTTGCTCACCGAGGTCTCATTCTCGACTGCGGCACGCAGTAGGCTTTGGCAAAGCTGCACCTTGCGCTCTACAGAGAGCTTGACAAACAAGCCGTGTTGCAAGCGGTGGAGTAATGCTGCGCGAGGCCGTTCCCAGTTACCTGATTATACTCATTAGAGACTTTCGCTGACCAAATGATCGAGATCGCCATACCATTTCTGAGTGACGCGAGCAACACCTTCTCGTAAAGAGCCCAAACAGGCTTTTCCTGGTCGTTGATATCGGCGGTCGCTGACGCATCGAACGCGGACACAGCGTAGGTCGCCAGGTCTTGGTAGGCTTTGACAGCTGCAACATCTTGCAATCCTTGCTCACTGATTAGGCCTTCGATGGTCGGCATCAATATCTGCGCCTTCACTTCGTTCGAGACGCTGTCAAGGCTTCGCAACAAAGCGACCTTGACACTGGGAAGCGGACAGCTGTTGACGTGGGATAAAAGGTAGCACAGCACGCGCTGCCTGTAGCTACATAGGGAGTGAGCACAACCGTGTCCGCCCGTTAGATTGTTCGTAGGCACGTACCCAGCGTTCTTCTTGGTGTCAGTCTTCGAGTGGCTAAGGTGCCCCTTGTGGAACGTCTGCAGGTAATCAGGATCGTGCTCCAAGTTTGCCCTGGTCTCCCCAATCGCGTAGACATAGCGTTGGAAGTCCGTCCAATCGAGGTACTGCAGTTTGGCTAGACACACTGTTAGCCTTGTCCATTTATCTTCATAAGGGGTCAATCCCGTGCACACTCACCGGAGTCTGCACCGTAGATAGCGTCGAATGCGTAAACCGCCTCTGCCTCCTTCTCCGAAGAGAGCCTGACAACAACCGCGATGCAGCGCGCGACAGCCTCGCGCACACTCGCGTCAGGGCTCTGTAGCATGACGAGCATCGCGGGGAACACAGTCTGGAAGTCAATCGTGCGCTGTGTTACGACATGCGCTTCGAGGAAGGCTGCCGCGTGCTTGAGAGCCGCATACTGGATGTGCGACTGCGCGTCCTCGTCCTGGGAACCGGCGTTGAGCCACACGCCAGTGAGGAACGCGAGGGCGTCGTCGCCGAGGTTGGCGAAGAGCATGCAGAGGAGATGGGTGGAGAGAACCGCGAGGTGTGCCGACGAGTTGCTCAGGCGGTATACATCCCGTAGAACTGTCACATAGCGCGCTGCCGGTGCGCCGGCCGTCTGCTGAAGAATGAGATTGATGCAAAGTTTGTCGTCTGATTGCACCTACCGAACCCGAGTACTCCGCCAACCAGTCCATACGCGCACCATTCGGACGAGAAATGTTGGGGAACACCGAAAGCAATGCGACTTGCAGACGATGAAGGGTGTTCAAGCTGCTTGGCTTGAGCGCCACGGCAGTTCCCACGCTGGTGTCGCTCAGATACTGCGACAAATTTGCTGTCAGTGAGGGTAAAGAGCGGCAGGGTGGTTGGAAGGCTTACAACTGCGACGTCGTCGATGCCGCGCATGAAGTCTCCCATACCCTCCAATGTCTCGAGCTGCATTGCATGTAGGACGCGATATGCAGTGTCCACGCGCTGTTCGCCTCCTACACGACTAAGTAGCACTCGAGCAACCAGGTAAACAAGGGCGCGTGCATGGTGGTTGTCGTCGCGCAGCTTCGCGAGCAAGCTGTCCAGATGCTGCTGATAGTAGTTCGAGGCAATGATATTGTCTGTGCAGAACGTCAAACGATGCCGCCGGTGCTAACGATAAAACACGCACCTGCGATCTTCGCAGCCACTGCGATGTTGATCTTGGTCAGGAGGCCCACGTTGATGCTCTCCTTGTCGCCGCTCTTCTCTTTCGCGTCCAACCCAGCACGCTGCTGTTCCCACCGGACAGCTTCCACGCATCCACCGAGAAGCTCGAATATCGCTGGATCGGTCCCAGCGTCCTCAGCTGCTTGTAGAATCTCCCACACGGCCTGTGCGGTCTTCATCCGTGGTTTCGTGTAGAGGAGAAAGGGAAGGAGAATGTCGACCGAAGCGTGCCGCAAGGTTTCGCGGCTAGCCTCCGCATCTTGCCCCCGGGCAATGAATGCGGGCAGGAAACGGGTGAGCAGGAAAGAGAGGTGGGCACGAATGACATCGCGAGATGGCTTCGCGCTGGATCCGTGCAAGGCTTGCTTCAGTGCGTCAAGATAGCCTGCCGGTGACGGTGTGGCAGCGAGAAACACCCTGAGAGCAACCTCTGGAGCACTCGTGTAGAGCGCATTCAGAACGGAAGCGTCTGTGTCCTGTATGCGAAGCAAGAGCGCTGAAGAAATAGACCGCTGTATATCTAGTAAGCATGGGAGCGCCACAGGAATCCGAAATGGACATACCAGCTCTGCCTCTGCCGGTGTATCATTGGATAGACGTGCCAAGAGATCCCGCACTGAACGTGTACGGATGGCGGAATCCGCATTGGTGGATCCAACGAGCAAGGTAGCAGCCTCGGTATCAACGCTGGAAGGCCCCGCTGCGGACTGCACGAGTGTAAGCGACTGGCATGCGCCGATGCTGTGAACAACTTACGACGGACAAGGAGAGGATAAGCTGTTCAACCGCATCAGTCTTGGAGTCGTCTTCCTCGATAATGAGAGCAGAAGCCGCTTCCACCGCTTTCGGATGGCGCTGGTGGAGATGCGAGAGCAGCTGACGTATTTTGGAGGACACATCAGTAACCGCATCCTCGTCCTCCGAGAATTGCTGGATGAGTGTTGAAGCAGTAGAGCGTGCAATAACGCTGATAAGGACGGGCGATGTGACTACGGCCTCCACGATACCGAAAGCATCAAAGTCGTCAGGCCTGGCTCGGTATCAGTTATATGTAGCGCGACGGTAACGGCTCAAAACTCACTGAGTCAGGAGACTGTCGAGCAGCGGAATGAGGAGCTTTTCTGCTCCGACCCATGCCATTGCACTGATCAGTTCAGACTCGATGTTGCTAACGTGCATTTCGTATTAGCTTTACGACACGAACATTTGAAAAAACATTTTTGCTTACGGGATAGCGACCAGGGTCTTGATGACACTGCTCGACATACGATCGAGCTGCTCTTGTGGCGCGCAGACAGAGACCAGTGTCCGGACCAGCTGCTTCGGCAAGACACGCTCCGCACATTCCGCGACTGCAACCAGAATAGACTTCACAGCGTTGGCAGTGAGGTGCGTCTTCTGCGAAATGGCTGCCAGAACGAGATAACTCCCGAGCTGTATTACATGAGCAAAGATTGACGACCTGTAGCAAATGGACACGCACTATAGACTCCTGCAGAAGTGTAGGTTTCACCGCTGCGTCCGGGTTGCTCGCAGTCTGAAGAGGCTCCAACGCTGCGGGCAGAAGGACTGCCATCGCATTTTCATCGAGTGCCTTACTCCTGGCTACAAACTCTAGCAGCAGGCCAGTGTGGAATGCGATCAGAGCACGATGAATACCCGCACAGTGGCTTTGCAGAGTAGTAGGGAGGATGCGGGACACGAAGCGTGCCACTTCCAGCGTTTTGAGCATCTCCGTGATGAGGAGAGAGCGGTGAAGAGGCGTGGCGGTGGTCTTGTATGCTTGTAGGAACCGGAGGGGGGAGCGGTCTCTGGTGAAGTTGTTCAGCAAGGGAAAATGAGCGCGAGGTGGTAGAAGTACATACTTGATGTTCAAGATGGACACCATTTTGATGAAATGCGGTGTCTCGTGGTATGGCAGGAACAAGGACACAATAGCGTCTACATTGAACTCGTGTATCCTGCGACGCAATGTCAATCGCATCACAAAGTTAAGAGTACATGTTCTACTCACCTGAATCTACGCACAAGCCACTCCAAAACCTTCCCCGTTGGCGCGTCTAGCAAGAACGGCCCCAGCAGCGGCAAGAACGCAGTAATAGCCGCATCGAGCTTCGCATTTTGCTCCGCAGACTGCAGCGTCCTGTCCAAAGCTTTCGCGGCGTCCGAGAAAAGCTGCTGCTCGAACGGCGCGATAGTCGGCTGCAGAGACCTGAGCTGGAGAAAGCCGTTGACCCCTAGCGCGTGGAGAGACTCGAGGTCGTGTTGCCTCGCCTCCTTCGGGGAGAAGAGGTAGGACTCGGACTGGACTAACTTGCGGGCCTTTTCGTTGAGCAGGTTCGCGTTCAGCGACGCGCTCTTGGCGAGCTGCTCGGCCAAAGAAGAGACCATTTTTGCGAGGCCTATTCCTGTATCCCAGAGCAGAATCTAGAGGAAACAGAGGTCCCGGAGAGTGTGAGGAGAGAGGTAAAGCGTAAAGCTGAGGAAGGCGAGTGATGCCTTCACAAATTTGGACTTTTGGGCGTCTAGCATGCTCGATCACTCGAATCTCAGATCTGTCAGATCATTAACCAAACGCTCATCCGGGCCGCTTCTCCCGGTCGATCTGAGCACACAAGCGCTTACACGCTCAACGCCACGCAAATAGAGCAGTTTAGCGGTCTAAACGACACACAGCACGCCTCTAGTAGGAGTCGCAGAAGCAAAGCATAGCTGTACTACACTAAACACGAACGATCGACAATGTCCACAGAGCGAGCGAGGGGGATAATTAGCCGGGTGGGGTATATAGAAAATAGGTTATGCTATGACCGCGACACCGTCCCCGTCGAGTCGGCGCTCTGCCGCCGGGACATGCGCTCCTCGATCGCCCGACAGTCGCCCAGCAAGTCCGCGATGGCCTGGCGCCCGCTGGCGTTGCGTATAAAGGATGTCTGAAGCCGAAGTGAGCAGTTGCGCGGGGAAACGGAGGATAAAGGGAACTCACGTTGAGCAGTTCGTGGGGTTCCGGTCGTGAAGAGCTTGGTTTGGAGCATAAATTCAAGAAATCGTGGAAAGATCGTGAGTATATCTCAGGTTGGCTGAGCTCGGGCCACTGGTCTCCGAACTGCCTCGGGTCAGTGAGGTCACTGAAGGGAGGTTCCGCCTGCGCGAGCTCCCAGATAGTTGCCCCGAGGGACCAGACGTCGACCTTGAGCGCGTTGTACGGACCACTGTCGCCAAGGCGCATGATAAGCAACATCTCGTGATATGAGAACTCTAAAGCTTACCTCCGGGCTTCGGGAGCTTGCCAGTATGCAACACCTGCGGGGTCGGTCCGCATGGGTGACTGCCGGCTCACTTGCACCGCACTCGAGAAGTCCGCAAGCTTGACCTCCCCCTCCACATTCACCAAAAGGTTGTCCGAGCGTACGTCCCTGTGTGCGATACCCTCGGACTGTAGGTAGTCCAACGCCTCCAAAACCTACGCAGACATCGTCAATAAAAACACCACATTCGAAGAACAGAAGAACGCACGTCTCGGGCGATCCGCGCGATCGACTTCTCGTGAATCACCACACCCTCATCCACATACGCGATCACGTCTGCCAGGCTGCGCTCCATGAGGTCCATGCGGATCCACAGCGAATCCTCCACAAGGTCCACATACAGCGCGTCCAGTGTCAGGACGTGCACATGAGACAATCCCTTCAGCATCGTCAGCTCCCGGCGCAGGTCGTCGATCTTCGGTGAGCCCGACGGGAGAATAGGCACATTCTTGATCGCCACAAACGAGCCGGGTTGGAGCTTCTCCGGCGACCATGCGGTGTCCAGAACGCGCGCCGCGAATACGGAGCCGCTCTCGCCCTCCGCGATCTCGCGCAAGTCTGCGTACAAGTCTCGCGGGTCGACCTGATCGTTAATGAAGGACTTGAGCGGCGCGACAACGGCAGACAGCCAACCGGGATAGCGTGGAGCGGGCGACATTGGCGAGGGTGACTTGGCTGAGGCTGGTGACACGGGGGATACAGGCTTGTTGTCGGGAGCAGCCGTCGCCGAGAGGAAGTGGTCTATCACAATAGACGGGCGGCGGCCCGCCGCAATCTCGACATCCTGTTCCCGCCCTTCACTAGTGACAGACACCGTGAAGACGTCGCGCTCCGCGAAGGACGCCGCCCTCGGGGACGGCTCGGGCGACTCGGTGTACGCCAAGCTTCGTGGCTTCCCACCCGGTAACCGCCAGTCTTGCGTCTCCGTCGTGAGCGTCTGCGGCCGTGAGTCCGAGGATGCGGACTCGGTGCCAATGGACATAGAAAGGGACGCTGTCGTGGAAGTGCTTGAGGCACTGGAGTGCGACTCTGCGCTATTCGGGGAGTGCGGCCGCGTGTCCTCCACGTCCTGCGCAAGCGGCGTAGTTTTCGCGCGGCCGTCGTCTGTAGCGTGGACAGGCGAGACGATCACATTCCCGCGAGCGCTGCGCGCGACCGCCGCTGTGGCAATGGTGGCAGGCGTGACTGTGACTGTCGACAGCCCCGAGTCGCGGTTCTCCTTGTCGCGTGCGAGCGCCATGCCATGCAGGTCGAACTGCTCCGGGTCGTTTGTGTGCGGAATGGGCGGAAACTCGTCCAGAACCGGCGACCACAACGTTGAGTCCGTCGAGAAGTCCGCAGATGAGTCTGGGGTCGCCGAAGACACGGATAGCCTGGGGGCGTCTACAATTGACATCAATCCCGCAGGCTCCTGTCGAAGCGTACTCCTACTTTCCACTGGTGGCGGAGGGAGAGCGCCTGTGGGAGCGGCCCGTGAAGGCGGCTCCTGTCGTGGCGGCGGTTTCTGCGGAGGGAGTTGTCGCAGCGCAGGAGACGGGGAGTCACGCCTGCGGGCTGAGGCCACGCGGGGAGGTGTGCTGTTGCCTGCAGCAACGACCTTCGACAGCGAAGGCGACGTGAAGGACCTGGTTGGTACAGGCTTCGGGGTTGGCTTCGGTGGTGTGAGCGTAACCGAAGTTGGTATCGAGGAAAACAGAGACTCTGTCCAGGAAGAGAGGTCGTCCTGGTGGAACGAGAGACGTGGAGGTATCGGCAGTACCGGAGAGGTGGAGCCTTGACCGTGCGAGCCAGAGCTAGAAGAATCGGTGGACGGTCTTCGGTGCTGACTTACTGTGATACTTGGTCCAGAAGTAGGCTGAACAATGGCGGGTGGGAGGCTAAAGTCTTCGTCCGGTCGCGACATCGAAGTCTCCTTCTTCGGCGACATATAGGCCGGCGGTGGCGAGTGTGCACCCGCGGAATCAAGGGACTCGTTAGCGACATGGAATGAGCGTTGCGGAGCATTTCGGGCCATGAGTTGTTTCTCTGAAAGGGCCGAGCTAGAGGAGCTGTCTGAGGATGTTACGGAGATAGCAGGTGGCGGCGGCACTGGGGGTGGTAGCCTGGTCATAGAGCCTCCATGATGATGTGTCGGGAGATGGGGTGTACTCTGCGAGTGCAGCTGAGGATATGTGAAAGCATGTGAGGGTGGTGGAGGTCGGGTGTTAGGAGCCCCTCGTCGTGAATCAGTCTCAACATGTGATGAGTATTCTGAGTGGTCGCGTGAGGATGCAGAGACCTTGCGGAGATGAGATCGCGAGCTGAACGAACGCTGACTGCTCGCTAGCGAGACCTGGGAGAGAGATGCTTCAGACTGGTCTCGGCGGAGAGAGCCTGCGCGTGGTTGGTTCCCATATCCAGGATATCGGGTGGTGCCAGATGGGGAGGAGGAACGACCAGCATTGAGAGAGTAGATTGACCGCGTACTGCGTGACCGAGACTCTGCCCTCTTTGCTTGGATCGACGCAATCTCCTCTTCAGTGAACCCAGCCGCGGCCAAGGACGCGGACCATGTTGGCGGTAGACCTACAAAGCTGCAAAGAGGTCAGAACGCGTCAATTGGTTGGTCCCCAAAACCCGAGTCGACTGCTGCCGGTTCTACCCCTTCATTAAAAGCGTGGCACGAATCCCCGTAACGAAACCGAGACACTGCTCCCCGACTTTTGTCAGGGATCTGTCCACACGAACAATAATTTGATCGCCTAATGGGTACGCTTTCGTAGACAAATTTGCCCATGAGTGTTGGATACGTGACTCTCATGTCGCCAAACGCGTGTGCCACATCAAATCTGAGATGTTCCCAGCTCCGCAGGCTTCCTACGAGCGGATACCACGGAGATAGTCTACTGGCAGAAGGACAGCCAGCAGTGTGCACTCACCCTTCGTCAACATGTATGTTGTGCTACGAGAAGTTCTTTGAGCCGTAATACGCGGTAAACGGACAGCGGTGCTCACCTGAAAGTTCCATGGCATGGATATGGAGGGGTCATCTGATGGCTCCGGTGGATGAGGCTCCGGGGGGTGAGAGGACTCGGACGCTGCAGAGTAGCCTGACTCGGCGGTTTTGGGAGTCTTGGGACGCTTGCTGAACGAGGAGAACTTGAAGAGACCCTTGCGAGAGCCAGCGGACTCGGGAGAGGCGGAGAGGGATGGAGGGGAGACGGTGGTGTTAGTGCTGGGAGCGTAGGACGGTGATGGGGATGGGCTCCTGAGCAGAGTCGCATACTGGGCCGATAGCGGCGTAGCAGGTTGAGAGGGAAGAGAGTCTGGAGAGAGAGAGTTGCCGAGGGAAGGAAGGGAAGGATTGGGGAGGCGAAAGGGGTCTTTCGGAGGGAGCGGGGGTGGTTTCGAGCCAGCAGCGAACTTGAACACCCGCAGGGACGAGAACCGTGAGTTCTGCTTGCTCGACGTCGCCATCGGTGAGCACGGCGTCCGCGACGGCGGAGGGAGCGGAAACAAGACGAGAGCGGGGGAAGGAAGAGGCGGAGTTCAAGTCGTTCACATTCGAGCGCGGAGATCTAGGCCCGAATTGTAAGTCTCATTACACTGCTTTACTATGCTCTTTGTTATGCTACTGATATTTAATACCTACGTCTTAGTGCCTTGCCTAAGGTGTCTACGACCTCAGCTTACAACTTATACGCGACGCCACTAGTTGTCACTCTGAGCGCAGCTGCCTTCTCCTTCGTAATCCACTCTACCGTCCCTCTGCTGTCCGTTCGGTACCCCAGTGTATCCTTGTGGCTCCTTGGATGGCAAGATTTGCTATAAAACATCTCTGGGAAGCTCAAGACTGATCTCTCCAGTCTTCCCGTCATTCATATCGGACGTCGGTGCGCTGTACATCAGGGAGCAAGAACAACGTCGGAAGTCAAGAGATGCGCCATATCATCCTTCTGACATTGTACATCGCATCTAACAGATCGCCATGACCGGTGCTGTCCATTCATATATTCTTGTTCTCAATTTTTGGGAGGGTAGGGGAGGTAGAGAGGCTCCACATTGGGCCCGTACCTGGGCAATGGGTATATGTGTGCACTATCGGTATATGCATGTCTGCTACCGCGTCTTTGTGCCTCATATTCATGGATCTATGCTCGTGTAGAGAAGATGAGTCTCCTACACGATTTCGTCCACGCACGCCAGAGAACACTAATTTTCAAGTTCTCTCTAGACGCGAGCGTCGCACATCTGCACGACAACATCTCAAGGCGACCGTATGCGCATACAAGTCCTCAGTCAAAATGCATTAGCCTGGAGGAGGAGGAGTTGGCAAACGTTGATTCTTTTAGGAATCGCAACGCGCGAGGCATCGCCGCTCGTGGATGCTTGCGTGGTTCCATCGTCCGACTAGTGCTACGCCGTGGTAGCTCGCAGGCTACACTACCAAAACACACGCCTGCAACTCACATGCAGCTGGAAGCACGACATATCCCACCGGTTTTTCCACACAACGCCCGTACTGCGAACTATCGGAAAAGTCGCCAAACGATTTTGACTATGTGGCTGTACCCAGCTGAACAGTCTCAGTTCGACTACAGCGTGCAGCATGCCAAAGCTAAAGCACATCTCTTGCTCTTCCTTAGCCTTTGCCGTAGATCGAATCGCGAGGAACCTTGTACTGTAGAGATCAGACCGTAGCGGCGGCGGGTCTGGGTGTGACAGGTTTGCTACGATGCGGCGGAGCGGCGGGGTCCACGGCGACCTGTGACGGCGCCGTCCGTAGCGGCGAATGTGACACCCAAACCCGCCGCCGCGCCAGCGGCGGCCGGCGCTACGGTGTACGGTACCTTGGTCACAAGCGGCGGCGGTCTCGGTGACCAGTGACCGAGGGGCCAATAGCGGCGAGGCGGAGGTCCCTGTGACCTGTGACGCGCCGCTACGGTCTGATCTCTACAGTATTTCCTCCGCAATGTGATGAGACCCGGAAATCCGGGTTAGGTATGCTTCACCGAGTTTATGTTATGCGTCGTTCCCGAAGTCATAGTGGTGCTATCTGCTTAGATTGAGGGTGAGTCGCTTCTACGGATACCGACTGCACGAGTATGAAAATTTGCTAACCCTTTTTCCTGGTCCTCACAGTTTCTGTCGTACGCATACGTTTTGTGGGGCCCTTGTACAATACATATTCGCACGAGGACGCGCCGATTACGGCCGCACGTTCGAATCACCTGGACGGCTCGAATGAACGTCCTGCGAGTGTCCATCGACGACGTATTCAGCAGGATTACAGCATGCAGCCTCTCCACTACGTCAAAGTGTTTCGCGCGCCGAACCACGGTCATGTTTCGACTTCTTCCGACGAAAGATGGATCAACCTAGAAACCCGTACCCGGCCGACTCCTCAGAGGATGATCTACGTCGACGGGCTTCTTCTCCGCCTGGGGCCAACACGTGCGCTACTGCTTCTGCTTAGGTATTGCTGGTCGGGACCGACACCTCGACCGCCCCGTTGACCGCAGTGCAGGCACCCTAAACATGATGTGCGTAACATGCCCTTCACGTACTCTTCACTTCCGTAAGTGTGCATCGTGCGCGTTGTCCGCTCAGGTCGCGCGCGCGATGCGCACATCTCTGTAGACCCTGACGAGCGCTCGAATGACGCTCCATATGTGGGCTCACGCGGTGCGCTACCGATATGGCTCCGCGTGGGTTGCGACGAACTCGGAGTATTCGAACAAGGCGTCCGTTCGCTAACAGAACTCGCGGCCGCCGCTATGGGCGAAAGCCGTGGTGTCACCATATGCCGGACCTCATCAGATTTAGCGTTTCACCAGGCTATCATTGTCTCGTCATTGAGGGTAGCTCACCTTCTTTCAGGGCTATGCACACCTATCTCCGTGACGGCATCACATTCCCGATCCGTTCAGGCCTCTCGGAGGCTTTTCAGGTTCTGGTTTTGCCAGACGCCAGCTGCGTCAAGCACCTAACCGTGCAATGCGATGACTGCCCCGGCCCACCTTATAAATACCGGCACGACATGACAGATTGTCAGTGCACTCTCCCTCATCATTCCACCGTCGCCCCAACCCTCTACTTTCCTCATGACCCAAGCCACGTATGACATTATCATCGCGGGAGGCGAGTACCTTCTCACTGTGGCTTCTACGATTCCCACTCACTGACCGTGTCTCATCCTCCCCCAGGTGGCACCTGTGGCTGTATTATCGCCGGACGTTTGGCCGCTGCCGATCCTTCTCTCAGCATACTGGTCATCGAATCTGGCCCACCCACCCGCGGCGACCCCCTCCACATCCAACCCGCACACTACCTCCACCACCTGCGTCCAGACAGTACGACGGTCAAGTTCCAGGTCGGTAGGGAGAGCGCTGCGCTTGGCGGTCGCGCGCCCATCGTGCCCTGCGGTCAGTGCTTGGGCGGCGGATCGAGCGTGAACTGTGCGTCGCCCTGCTTCTTTTCTCACCTCACGTATCCCTGATAGCAGTCGCGCTTAGTCACAATGTATACCCGCGCTTCGGCCTCCGATTACGACGACTGGGAGAACGTATACGGCAACCCAGGCTGGGGCTCCGCGGATCTTCTCCCGCTGCTTCGCAAGGTGCGTCGTCGGCGGAACAGGGCTCGGTGCCGCTTGAATGCGCTTACGCGTGGTTCTATGTGCTGTGCAGTGCGAGACGTATCAAGTCGAACCGGGAAAGCCCACGCACGGCTACTCCGGTCCGCTCAAGATCTCGCAGGGCGGGTTCTTCACCGAAACGGGGAAGGAGTTCCTTGATGTCGCGGCGCAGTACGACAAGACGCGTGGTCAGACGGACGATGTGAATGGCTTGTTCGAGTGCGACAAGTATGGCGTGGGTACCTCTTGGCTGGTGGTCATTTCAATCCGTAGGCTGACTGGCGGCGTCTTATCTGCACAGCGCTGGCAGAAGTAAGCACCGAGTGCTTCTATCCGTCCTGCGCTTGAGCTAGAACAATTACTTGCAGATGGATAGATGCGAAGACCGGGACGCGCTCGGACGTTCCGCATCATTACATCTACAACCAGGACTTCCGGGAAGACCAAGTCCGGATTCTCACCGGGTATGATGTGAAGAAGATTCTCTTCGAGTGAGTGTTGCGCGTTCTGGTCCCGCCTTCCAGTGCTGAGTAGTCTACAGAGGGAAACGCGCAGTGGGTGTGGAGTACATTGCGAACAGCCGCTTCAATCCCGATGCCAAACCGGAGGTACTTACGGCCACAGCACGGCGGTTGGTCGTCATCTCTGCTGGGGCGTTCGGATCACCTGCCATTCTCGAGCGCTCTGGCGTAGGCTCCAAAGAAGCGCTTGCGAAGGTAGGAGTCGAGCAGATCATCGATCTGCCTGGGGTGGGCGAGAGTTATCAAGGTCAGATGTGCAGGTTTGCGGGACGAAATCACAGGCTGATACACGATGGTCAGACCACCAGGTTATCTTCGGTCCATATGTTGCGGCGGACGACGTTCACACCCTGGATGGTATTGTGACCGATGACAAGGCGGAGATCGCGAGTGAGTGATCTTGAACGACACCGCTCACACATTCTCATCACGTTGTAGAATGGACGAAAGAGTGGAAGGAGACGGGCAGCGGGTTGATAGCTCACAAGTAAGAATATGGCACTGCTTCTTGTTGTACTGTTCGCTTACTGGCCTTTTTCAGCGGCCTCGATGCTGGTGTGAAAATGCGCCCCAATGAGGCTGAACTGAGCCAACTGGGGGAGAAGTTCCGCCAGCGTTGGCAGGAGTTCTACGTCCCGGCTCCGGACAAACCTGTGCTCTGGATGGGGACGATGTCGATGTAAGCCTGCGCTGCATCACATACTCGTCGCGGCATCCACGATCTGATGCATACTGTCCCTGCGCAGGTTCCTGGGCGACCGCTCTCAATCATCAGTCAAGAAAGGCTATAGCATTGGGTGGTATATCCAATATCCCATGTCCCTCGGACACGTTCACATCACGTCCGCGGATGATGTGCAGTCCCCGCTGGACTTCCATCCCGGGTACCTGGACTCGTGCGTCATTCCGCAGACCCGACGTGTGTACTGCGCTCACGTCTCACCCGCAGGCCCGAAGAGATGACCTTGCACAAGTGGGGTTACAAGCGCTCTCGCGAGTTCGCTCGCCGCCTGCCGTCGTACCGGGGTGAGGTCGTAGCAAGCCACCCGGTATTCGCGCCTTCGAGCAAAGCAGCTACTGGGCCGAGAAGTGGACCCGTACCTGTGACCGCACCCGACATCGAGTACACCGCCGAGGATGAGGTGGCACTCGAAGCGTTTATAAGACGGGTTGTGGCCACCGCATGGCACTCCGTAAGTCGACGCCAGCTGGGGCTGTGGCTTTTCGATGGTCTACACCCTGCTGATGACGATTATATGATGGCAGATCGGGACGTGTGCCATGAAGAAGCGCGAGGACGGCGGCGTTGTAGATTCGAAGCTGAACGTATATGGCGTGGAAGGCCTGAAAGTCACGGGTATGTACTAGCCGGACATCGGTTCGCCCAGTTGACAGGTCTGACATGCCGCTTTTTGTGCAGACGCATCTATCTGTCCCGGGAACGTCGGCGCGGTGAGTTTGCACTGAGCACGTCGTGGGATGATGAACATATCTGACGCCGCCATTGCCAACAGAACGTGTACTCTACCGCGGTGCTCATCGGGGAGAAGGCAGCGATGATCATTGCAGAGGAGTTGGGCATCACTTTGCAGGACGATTAGGTCAACTCTTTCCCTAGCAAGCCGATGTTCCCCTTCTTGATTATAGCGTGAGGTAGAGCTTAGACTGAATATTCAGAGCTTCCGTAATGCAATCGTTAGCCTTAGCAACACTGGACGGATGCACATGTGTGGCATGAGGGCCGTACACCCTGGCATCCATAAGCCGTGCATTGGTAAAAGTCTTGGGCACACGGCGATTCGTCCCTCCGATATGGCCGTTGTGATACACGCGCTGACTTACATATGCTAGGGCTCCCATCCATCCCGCCGCCTTGGGTATTCGGCGGGCCAGGAGCGGATTTGACTGCAACTTGGCGCCACCCCCTCCCAGTAAGTACACTTCTGTTTCGGCTCCATCACAAATTCTCATGCGCCTACAATTCCAGGTCACGGTAGGTCGCACATGTCGTGTGCGAAGGTGTTCATGCTCGGACGCGTATTCCATCATGGGCGGCAGGCACTGTGCTGCGGCCTGGCGCATTTTATTGATCCGCTTTACAGTATCCGCCATCTCCGAATGGTGCCCAAGTCGACAACCCGTCAGCGCTCAAGGTATCAAGTGCCTGATACTTACTACATGCTGCTACGAGGCCAACATAAGTGTCGCTGGAGCGTCGTGCTATGTTGGGAATCGGACACTGCTCACTCACCGCCGACAAACGTGGTCTCTGCGCTCTTACCTTCAATCTGTGAGTACTTAGGCTTCACCATTAGCTCTCGAAACGTCACGTACATATTTATACGCGGCTTTTGAATCTAATCTAGTGATGGTTTCAGTCGATAGCGGTGACGCTCAAGGCCTAGGCGAAGCGCCTCGGACACACATCCGCCCATAAGACGGCCATCGTGGGATGTTGCGTTGTGCGCCCATGTTCCCATCCTTCAACCGACTTCGGTAGCGGAGCACCGAACCAGGCACTGGCCACGACCACCCTCAGGATCCTCTCCCACGACAGCGACTCTGTGCTGTTGGCCGACTTCAAATACTATGGGTCATACGTCATCCAAGTACCTCGTCACCAACCCTTCATCTTTTGCCACACCACACAATCCCGGCGCATCCAGTCTGGTCGCTGGTGATGACACGACGCGGTGGCGCACGTACGACTACGTGATCGTCGGAGGGGGTAAGTACATTCCTTCGCGTATTGTAACGCATTCCTCCAACACCAATCTCCTTCTAGGGACTGCAGGGTGTGTTCTAGCGTCAAGGCTTTCTGAGAACCCGGAAACGACAGTTCTCCTCATCGAGGCAGGGCAAAGGTATGTCTCAGAATGTGTATCTGTTATCTTGAATGGTTGATCAGCAACTGTACATGCAGCCATGAGCAGAACCTATTCACGCGTATTCCTCTTGCCTTCGCCAAGCTGTTTAAGACGGTGTTGGATTGGAACTACCAAACCACGTTGGTACCATTTCGCTCAAGCTGCGCTGAATGACTGATAATCGAATCACGTAGGCCACAGAAAGCGTTTAATGGGCGTTCTATATACTGGCCTCGGGGAAAGATGCTTGGAGGTACCAGGTAGGCGATTCGTCAAACTTCCGCGCATGCCTCGGACGCTTACTGCTCATAGCTCAATGAATGCTATGATCTATCACCGCTGTGATCCCGCAGGTGCGCTGACGTTTCACGAACCTGCGTACTGCGTGTACGTGCTCATCCGCGACCCGTGTAGACTTCGATGACTGGGAGCGTCAAGGTGCACAGGGCTGGGGGTACGAATCATTGAAAAAGTGAGTTCCAACTTCTTCCACCTCGCATCGTACGGAATGTCCCTTAACTCATATTGTTATCATGCAGATACTTCCTGAAGGCGCAGAGATACGTACCTCGCGCAGCCCACGCGATAGACGCCTCGCACCAGGGAAGCGATGGCCCGTGGGTCCATACACACGTGCCCACTGCTGTAAGTGCTAAGCGATGCGTTCCCCCACAACACTTCCTCACACTTCCGCTTCTGCGCAGCCTATTTGTTCCAAGATTCTCGAAGCTGCGGAGAACCTGGGCCTTCCCCTGCCCGAGTGAGTGGAACTTGGCGCTAATTATTTGTAAGCTTCTGAGTATTGAGCATCTCGCAGTGACTTCAACGCACCTGATAGCAGCATCGGAGCTGGGCCATTCGTTGCGGCCGTTGACGAGAAGCACGAAAGTAAGCCTTCGTAATACTACAGATCACGGAGAACGATATGAACCTTCTATCTGCAGGAAGCTCATCTGCCACCGCCTATCTCACATCCGAAGTGCTCAAACGGCCGAACCTGACGGTAGCCATATCAGTGACCACGGAGAAGGTACTGTTCGAGCGAACCCCAGAGGGAACCCCCAAGGCGGTAGGCGTTCAGCTGTCGGCGAGCCGGAAGGGTCCGCGCTTCGCTGTCGGTGCTTCCCGAGAGGTCATCATATGCGCAGGCGCCGTTGGATCGCCCCAGATACTCCAACTCTCTGGCGTAGGGCCGTCGGCCCATCTCACAAAACTCGGCATTCCCATTGTTCGAGACCTCCCTGCTGTCGGCGATAACCTTCGTGACGTATGTTCACTCACCGCCCATTACGGTGCCGGTGCCGATTGTTGACCAAGGATACATTGTTGGCAGCACGTCTCCGCAGGCGCGATTGTTTTCCGGGCGCGCAAAGGCTGGACTTGGGATCACCTTACGCAGAACCCTTTCCATGCGGCCGTTGCGATCCTGCGTTGGCTACTCTGGGGCACCGGGCCTATGGCTTCGCTGTCTTTCCAGCTCGGCATGTTCATCCGTTCGGACGACGAAGGGTGAGTCACACTCTTGGCGGAAGGGGCACTGTCCGCATGTACCGTGCTGAACACGATTCCGCAGCCTGCCCCTTGGCCCTCCACTTCCTACGAAGGACATGAGCTCCTCACCCCGCTCCCCGGATCTCGAGTTCATGTTTGTCCCACTCACGGTAATCAACCAGGGTCTTGGCTTTCCTCCCTTAGGGACATACGGTATCACAGTGGTACGCTCACATCCTCCATGATGGACATTGGCTAACTCGGACTCTGTTTCCAGGGCTCCCTTTTGCTTAAACCCTCCAGCTCCGGCGCGGTCCGCCTCCGTACTTCGAACCCGTATGACCACCCCTTGATTGATGGAAAGTGAGTACGGCCACGCATCACAGAGCCCGAAGAGCAAACATAACGCTGGCTGACGACGCCTCACGTACTCGCAGCTACCTCGCGGATGAGAGCGACTTGAATATCTTGATCAAGTCCGTGCGCTTCCTGCTGCACTTGGCGCGTACGAAGCCACTGTCGGATGTCCTCGACCTCCGCTCCACCACCACCAAAGACAGTCTTTTCTGGCCCGGGGACGCAGACCCCGACAAGGTACGTCCACACGCTCTCGGTGTCGCCATTCAACTAACGTCCACATAGATCACCGACGAGGAGATCAAGGAATTCATCAAGAACTCCGGGCAGTCCGCCTTACACCCGGTGAGTCTTCACACCGCTCAAACCCATCCCGGTCCATCGCTCACGCAGCCCCAGACGTCCTCGGTTAGGATGGGCACCGATCCACAGACGAGCGCGGTCGACTCCGAGCTCCGTGTCCATGGGGTACAGGCGCTCCGCGTCGTCGATGCGTCCGTCTTCCCGGACCAGGTCTCCGGGCATCCCTGTGCCGTTGTGATCGCCATCGCGGAGAGGGCGGCGGACTTGATCAAATCGGCGAGCATCGGCTACTAATATGGCTTGTCGTAGTGATGCTCGTGTGAAGCCTTGTTCGAGCCATTCCCTCGCTTGCACTTCTAGTTACCGGCGACATGGAAAGCTGTGTAGAGAGAAATAAGATGATCCCGCGCACAACGCGCGCTGAGTTCGCGAAAAGTCCAGAAACGAAGCCAATATATACATCAAGAGCAAACGTTCCGCATTCGCCGGGGGCCCATACCATCAGGCAGACAACAACGCCTCTCGGTCTCCACGCGGCTTATCGCCCTCTTCAACGCGTACACCTTCCCGCTGGACATTCTCGGTGGCTGGCGACAAGGTCTTCAGCTCGATCCCGCTCGAGCGAGACGCTGTGCCCAGGGTAGGATCCGTCTCAGCGGTCAACTAAATACTCGTCAGTGTCACGCTACGGGTGATGTGCGCGAGAGAACTACAGACCTCGGTAGTATGTGAGAGCGACAGGCGGTGCGGCGCGAAGGCTAGAGTGGACAGCTTGAGGCGCGGCGCGTTGCTCCGCCTGTACCCGGCCGACATCGTGTCTCCGACGAGCCCGCGGTCGACGAAGGATTGGCGCGTGTTCAGCCTGTACGTGCAGCGCTATGAATAGGGCCATCGAGGTGCGTTCTTTCAAGACTACTCACGCAGTCAAGAACGAGTTTCCGTATACTGTAACTGTAATTGAGTAGCCGTCCATACAAACCGGGATCGAACTCACATTTAGTCAGCGCGATTGAGAACGACGTGTAGATCATGGTAGTTGGGAAACATAGTGCCTGCAAATGCGACCATGCTCATTAGTAGCATACTCTTGCAACAAATAAACGACCACTTACAAATGCGAGATCGAGTACGTTCACTAGGCTGTAGAGCGAAGCTATAAGGCGCACACTGGAAGCGTCGGAACAAAGCTGTCCTACCAGTTCAATAGCCCTGCGACATATCAGTGTGCGCTTTCGGAGGGATAGAAGCAGTACACACCAGTGCTGACGGCATACAGAACGAGTAAGTCGATCAGCGAGTCCGTACTGTGATCACTACTATCAGCCACCGCAGGCCTCCCGGGATCGCAGGCGAGAACACTCGCCGCCGCAGACCAGTACGGCTACGCCGCAGGACGTGAATGAGTACAGCCGTGAGCTGTATGTCTGCCGCCATAATGCAGACCACTCCTGCAGCGACATATCCCTGTACACGCCGGTTATATCGGGAAAGCACGACACATGCAACTCAGAAACATACAGAGAATGGAAGTGACTGCGCAAAGAAGTTCTTGGCCTTGAAACTGTTCGCAGGCGATGTCAGCTTCCTACAGGCGTTCCGGTGGACGGAGTGAAGATGGCATTACGCTTCGACTGCCAACGCTGATGGTAGACAAAGGTTTCAGCATCGTCTACTCGTACACATCATTTCAGGCTTACCTAGGAAACAACCTGCGCGAATCGGCCAATTCTAATGATAAGTGCATATCAAGTTTGCAACCGTGTGGTACTCATACCGCAGAATCCTAGCAGCAGGACGGTCTGCGGGAGTCAAGCTCTGGGAGGAGGTTATTTCGATTGATCACTCACCACGACATACACCACCATTCTAAATCGTGGTGCCACTACCCAGAGTTTCAATCTCGGAAGCACGGAGCAACACGTCGAATCGACTAACTGATGTATACGCGGCGAGCGAAGAACCTGATGCGATCCGACTTATTGGTAGATGCCCAGGAAAACAAGACCGGTACACATTACCCCTGCGATATAGTAATGGCTAGAGGCTATGGCGGAGAACGGAGTCAATAAAGAGCTGCGATAATACAAGCCCGGAATGACGCACCCCGGTGAGCGCTATCGACTGAACAATGTGGCGTTAGTGTAGCGGTTTTGCTGTCGATCTCGTTCGCTATAATGGTAGAGGCCTACGTTCATAGTCCTGAAGGGTCAAGCGTTTTCAGTAGTCGCTACACTGCCTGACCACGACGTCACTCACCATATTGGAGGTTTGTTGAATATTATCGAGCGCCCTCCCCAGGTAACGAGATAGTAGTACCTTCGCTGTCGCGTAAATCTGCCACAGATTTCGGGCATGAAGATTCATGAACTCACGAAGAATGAACGGTGAACACCGTGTTGAGAGTCTCCACAAGCCTAGATAAGTGGGTATTGGATAGCGATCCCAACAGATGCCCGTTGTGTCTCACAGTATTGCCGAGACCTGAACAGATATGAGTAACCTTGTCCAGTTCCCTATTCACATACATCCTACTTACCCATATCTTGAGGATTGCTGGGTCTTTAGGATAGAGGCTGAGATATTGATAAATCTGATAAACGAGGAGTCCGTAGAGACTGTCAAATCGTACCCGTCAGAAAATGGGCCAACGTCGAATATCGTCTAGACAGACTTACACCAAACCACAGTAGGTGCCCAAGAGCCACGCCCCCAGGGATGAATCGAGTGTGCCATGCCAAATATAAGGAGTCGAGGAATCCGACGAAATCGGTGAAGGGATGTCGGGGAGTAGAGTGGACATTGAAGTGGAGGGGTGCGCCTAGAATCAGGGGACATTGCGTACATATAGCGGCCTCGCTACTGCTACGCTGATACTTGCAAAGGGCTGCTTAGGCACTGAATGAGCGGGTCACACGAGGGCGCCCAGCTGCCAGAGCTGGAGCATATCAGCTTCGCTGTCAGGGGCAAAAGGAATGCGCGACTCGGTCCATCGGGATTCGGCACGCAATCCATATGTGGATACATCCCAGTAGTCACGGTAATCCTGCGGCCTATATTGAGCACAGACGAGATATCCACATGAGCAGGGTACTAACTTACGACTATGACTCTGCCGGCGACACATCGGCAAGGGACGACTGAGCAGCCTGAGAAGGCTATTGAGCCTCATGTCCGAGGGCGGAACGCTAGCCTCTGCCGCCATAATGCGCCTGCATTTTGAGTTGAGCTGCGACCTGAGGGCCGCAGTGATATTGGAAGGTCCCAGATACCGCGCCTTGTTAGGATGTTTTATGTGACTCCAAACGTTCGACCGTCGCCATTCGCGGTAGTTATGAGTCGGGACCAGGAGGCTTGCATTCAGTAGCGCCGAAACGCCACTGATGTTGTGGCGGTGCCACGCCCGGCACGATTCGGCTTCCTCAGTCCCTCCAAGTTGTTGCAGTTACGCCGAGCCAGCGCGTCTTTCTCGACCATCATCTTTACCAGGACAGCATCAGATTCAACTCTCTCGGTTTGTCTGATACAGTGTAGTGGAAGCGCGATATCTTTGGCAACTTGCGCCCTCGGTGAGACCGCAGAAGCGTTCAGTGTACAAACGCGATGAATAAGCCGACCTATGCTTCTGAACACACGCGGTGGGGTCCATCGTGCGAGCGGCCCGCCGAGGGCAAACTGAGAAGATCATCGCGTTATGTCCATCCTCTTCCGAAGAGAAGAGCTAATGGAGGCCTGCCGTGAGTACTACAGCCTCATTTGTTCAATTTGTTCCTGGCAGTGAACGCCGTCACCGGATGCGATATTCACGATCTCCAATGATGACTTTGCGTTCGGAGTGGCGTCATCGCGCTGGGCAGCATGGAAGCTGTCGAGCCCTGAGAACACTCAGGCAGGCCGCCGAGGTATCATTGCTGGCGTGATTATACTGTGGATGCCCTGCATAGCGGCCTCGCTGGAGCAGTCTCATATGCTTACATCCTAGTCTAAATAACAACATTGACACATTTCCCCCCGCTCTAGGTATATTTGAACGTTGAAGGTAGGCTATTTTCAAACACGACCTTTACCTTTCGTTCGGCATGAGACCAGTGCTTTCACGTCGGAGAGCCGTTCCCCGCCGTCTACGAGTCTACGACCCTCGACTCGGCAAGCCACCTCGGCCATGTGAATGCACATGCATTAGCTCCAAGGAGTGTGGTTCAAATAAGGAGAGCGACGAGCATTTCAAAGACAAGAATACCACCATATCACGCGACATGCACTTCCTTGACGTAGCGGCCATAAGGCGGCACAAAGAGCCGAAGGCCATGTACTCCCATGCCTCTCAACACCCCCCCCCCTTGACGGCGAACGATACAAGAAAGTCCCCATCGTCAGTTATGCATGCTCGCTACTGGACGGCACCCATCCACCTACTCTACTCGCAGTGGCGCGGCCAAAACACTACTTTAGAGGGCCAATATTTCAAGATGCCCTGCGGAAGGGCGGGGTAGCACTACCGTAGTATCACCAGCGTGTTTGACCTGCAAAATCTGGTACGTTCTCGTCGTTTTCGAAATCGACTGTGCGCGGCCGTGTAGATCCAGATGTGCCTACAGCTTTTTGCGGCGGCACACATGAAGCACGAAGCCGAGTCGCAAACACAGCTCCTGATTGACGGCGTTCCCCAAGAGATTTGAGTATCCGAGCAACAGGCATGTACATCGGTAAGCATCTGTTCACACTTTCCCCCCACCACGCCCCTCCTCGCCCTCTTCAATACGCAAGGGGGTCCAAACCCCAATATCCCCGTAGGCGTCGTCAGTAACCGGCGACGGGCGTCGCAGCACCTTCAGCTCGATCGCGCTGGACCGGGACGCCGCATCTTGGTCGCGACCGTCATCCGTATCCGAGGTCAACTATGAGAGTCATCAGTTCAAACACAACAAGCGCGAGTGAGGGTGGGATACCGACCTCGGTGCGCGTGAACGAGAGGCGGCGTGGCGTGAATCGCAGTGTGTTGGTGTTCCTGTACGTGCTCGACACGACGCTCCCGACGAGTCCACGGTCGACGAAGGAGTGCCTCAGGTTTAATCTGTGTACGTCGCAGCGTAAGGATGTCCACTGCAAAGCAGCAGCGCAGGCCGACTTACGCAGTTAGAAACGAGTTTGCGTATGCTTCACGGATAGTTCACATCACGGAGAACGTAGTGGGAGTCAGCGAGCACCTGAAGTAGTCCGAATGGTGCTTACACATTGTCAGCACGATTGAAAAAGAGGTGTATATCATGGTGGTCGGAAAGCACAAGGCCTAGCAATTCGATCGCGTTTAGTACGCAGCGTGCTGACACCACGTTGGGACTCACGAAGGCCATATCGAGTACGTTCACGAGGCTACATGTCGCGGGGAAATTCATATCAGGTCAATGTTGCATGCGGCGCCATGTACTGAATGGCGATCGTACCAGTTCAACAGCCCTGCAATAAATCAGTACGCCCAGCGCATTACTGCGATTGAGAATTCAGCCATACTGACCTGTACTGATGGCGTATAAAACAAGTATGTCGACGATAGAATCCGTTCTGTAGTAGCCAAAATCAGCCCCTAACAAGGGAGTCCGCGGCCTAGGGCGCCCACATACCGTCGCAGGCCAGTGCGGTTCTTCCGCAAAACGTAGATGAGCACGGCAGTAAGCTGTATGTCTGCTCCCATGATGCACACGACCCCTGCCGCGACGTATCCCTGGACGCGTCGGGTACTGTTTTAGTGTAAGCCCAGTGAATGTCCATACGAGACTTACGGAGAGCGGAAGCGATTTGGCGAAGAAGTCCGGAGCTCTGAAACTGCACATGCGCCGTTCTATGTTAGTGACCGAAGCAACATTGGCACTCGGTGGAAAGACGCTCTTACGCATGCGCTGAAAGCCCTGTTAAACGAGAGGGTGGGTAAATACTGCGTCAACACATCACCGTACGACACTTACCGAGAAAGCATCCTACATCGCACGATCGTTTAGTAATGTAAATGCACATCGAAGGTCTATCACGGGAGAAAGGTGGCAGCAACATACCGCAAAATCCTATCAACAGGGCCGTCTGTACGTTTCAGGAACGAGGATGATAGTGTCTCAAATGAGTACTCACCACGACGTAGACTACTATTCTGAAGCGAGGGGCGACTTTTCATTGATCAATACATGTCGAACATTATGGGCACGTCTAGACGGCGTACTTATGTACACACGACGAGCGAAGAACCTAGGATAAACAATTGTCAAGGATATATCAGGAGCACAAAGCCAAGATACGACTCACAGCTGACATAAAGTGATGGCTAGAGGCTTTAAAAAGGGCTAGAACAAGGTATGTTTGAGTATATCACTGACACGATGACGCACCCCGGTAATCGCGACGGACTGTTAGCAGCGCGCCGTCAGCATAACAGCCTGGAGGCTTTCGGTCCCCTCATTCAAGAAAATATAGACGTACATTCATAGTCCTAGGTGATCAACGTGTATTCAGGATCCGCGAACTCGTTACCAAATGCGTAACTCACCATATTGGGGGTTTGTTAAATATTATAGAGCGGCCGCCATAGGTGACAAGGTAGTAGTACCTGCATCTTGATGTAGGCCTGCATGGAACATAGCAGCATGATCGACTCACGAGGAATGCACGGTGAACACGACGGTCATGCATCAGGAATGACCTCAGGAACCAGGGGCCCTATATGGTAACAGGTGGTTGGATTGAGCGCTGGAGACTCCCCCCCAATATGCGGAGACGCCCTGTCTCCATCCGCGGCCATATGGAGCCTATGGAGGCGTTCCCACGGCTTCCCCGCGCGACTCACCAACGACGCCCTCCCCGCTCACAATTAAAATCATTGCGGCCGGCCTACGGAAGGCCAGATCTATGAGCTCGTACGTCGAAGCAAGCGCGAGATGAGGTTTGTCGCTGGGATGGAGAACGTGTCTCCATATGGAGGCCCCTGGAGCGCTGGAGTCGGGCGTCTCCGTCTGGAGGATTTGGCTTTTCCTGATGTGGTCTCCACAAGTCTGGCCATGTATATATAAGCGGCAAATCGAGAGTCGCTAGCATCACGGCATCTCACAGCACCGCAAACACCTATAATGTATTCGAGAAGGTAAGCCGCAAAGTCTGATTTATTGAAACATGTCCTACGTACCCAGATTTTGAGAATTGCTGGGTCTCTGGGATAGAGACAGAGGTATCGGTATATCTGGTATAGCAAGACGCCATATAAACTTCGTACCAGTCAAAATTCGGTCCTGAGAATATATGAGAGGGTGAGCTTACAGAAGACCGCAGTACGTTCCCAGCAGCCACGCCCCAAGAGAGGCATCAAGTGCGCCGTACCAGATGAACGGGGTGGAAGAATTCGACGTAGTTGGCGCTTGGGTGGTGAGGAGGTTCGTGGGCATCGCAACTCAGTGGGGCTACAACTAGCGGCTGTGAGCTCGAGAACATATAGCACAGCGGCCTCTCTACGGTCAAATCTTAACATCGAGGCTTTGAACGAATTGGTCACACGAGCTCTTCAGCTGCCAGGGGGTATCAGCTTCCAAAGATGTCAGCCGACCACTGGTAGTCCCCTCGGCAACTCATCAATACGGCGACCAGAAGTGAGTCTCACCGCGGTCCTACATTAAGCATTCAGGGCAAAAAAATAGACACTCGGTTCCAGTGCTTATGTTTTGAGTATCCTGGGCTCGGACTTCGCGCCGCGACACGATATTCAAGTAGGACCTATTATTGGGCAGGCCCTGATGAAAAACCAACATCGGGGCTGGAGGGTGCTCGCTCGATCGCGCTTACTCGACGTCGCCGAGGACGCACCTTGTCGAAGCTATCCCTGCCGCGAGTATCCATGTTTTTGGCGATGCGTTTGCTCCGTACTCGGCCTCTTTGGATACTTACCATGGTCACGTCAGTGAAGTTCAGTTTGTCGATCGAGATGTATCCGTCCTAGTCCAGTCACCTTGGTCAAGGGACCCGGCCAGTGGGTTATTTAGCGGCCTCTGCGACAGTCAAGATGCCACCTAGAACTTAGCTAGATTGAAGCCATAGCGCTAGATGTGGACGATGAAAGGGAGTGCACCGACTAGGCACCTGTGGCAGAGGCCGCCCGAAAGCCCCCGCTGTCCGGCCGGCTAGCGCCGGGTGTACTGTATACGGCACGCTGCGGTCTGCGTCCGCCCAACCACTGTCTTCGTTCAGTGCCCGTCCGCCAGACTACGTAACTCCTGGTTTCAGATCTCCACCATATATTCACGTCCGCTCTCGTGGCAGCTCACTAGATCAGCTTCACCGAGAACGGTTCAAGCTTACACCCTCAAGAGGCGAAGAAGCAAAGCAAGCTCCTGAAGCTCACAAGGACCTAAACGTATACTGAGGGGCATCATTCTTTACGACTCCCTTTGGAAATTCTTCAATCCTCCACTCCTGGCTACTGCTCTATACACATATACTGCGGGAAATGCCATATCTCTTGCAGGGTACTTATTCAAGGTTTCGCCAGAGCCATCGGTGGTATACTGCTTCCAAAGGCCTTCCCCGCAGCCTTGGCCACTCTGCGGACGAATGACGACTTCCCTCTCGTTTTAGAAAAAGCATACTCTTCGGATAGTTGCTCCCCGCTCATGGTCGTCGCACGGCGTTCCGAAAACGGCATCTGCCGGGGAAACATCCGCACCGACTCAAGAGGCATGCGCTGGCGGAGAAAAGAAGAACGATGAGCACGTCACCGTCTGAATAGGTAACGCGACACGCACCTCCCACGCATAGTGGCCATATGGCGGCTCAAAGAACCGGAACTCAATCCCCGCTGCCTTGCACGACTCGAACAGGGCTAGTGCGTCACTCCTCCTCGCTGCCTTTTCCGGTTCTCCCCGACGGCAATGGAAGCTCAGCACGCGTAGCGATGTCCCAGCATTGGCATAATGCGCGGCAAGGGCGTCGACGTCCTCCAGGCAGCGGTCGTTGAGGGTGAGGTCCTGTATGGCGAGATGCACAAGACTGGCGGGAAATCGCTGCACGAGGGATACGGTGATGGGAAACGAGGCCAGTACGACGAGCTCCTCCAGCGCAGGCGCCACCGCGGCCACGTCGTCATTCCCGCCCAACCCTGCAATGGCGAGCGAACGGAGGCGTGGGCCCACGCCGGCGAGCATCTCCAGCTGTATCCCAGAACACCGCAGCTCCAACACCTCCAGCGTCTTCTGCGACGGGCCGGAGAGAGTCCACTTGACGAGGGGGTGCGTGCGGTGAAGCTGATCGAAGTAGCGCAGCTCCCGGAGCTGCGTAAGGGGCGGCAGCAAGTCCGGTTCTTCTGCAAACTCCTCCCGGACGCTGTTGAAGTCGATTTCGAGGTACTGCACCGTCCCATAGACAGAGAGCAGCTGTACAAGCGGCCAGAGGTGGTATGTCTTGACGCGTATGGCCTCCACCCGGGGTCCGCGGACGAGACGAGCGAGGACGTCGGGTCGGAAAGACGCGTGGTAAAGGGACAGGTGGAGCTCCCGGAGGTTCGGGCACAGCTCGATGACCTCCGCGTATACTTCCTGATGGTCGACGGCCATGGCGAGCGTCTTGACCGACTCGCGCAGGTAGTCCAGGTGCGCGGGGTCCGCCGACGAGAGGTCTGTGACGGCGTCCTTGAACGCCTTGCATTGGGCGGCCCCACGGAGGAGCGCGACGTGCGAGAAGAGGAGCCGCTGAGCGGGCGCCCGCCAGGCGTGACATACGCGAGAGTATCTCTTGAGCCACTTGTAGCGCGGTAGGAGGTCCTCGTACTGCGCTTCCTCCAGGATCGCGATGACCAGTTCGGTGGGCAGTGTCTTCATCTGTGCCATGTCTGCGTTGGAAACCCTTGTCAGCGGGTTGAACTCCTGCACGGACGAGCGGCGCCATCCTAGAATGAGATTACACTTACGACAGAAGGATCCTTCAAATTGAAGATAATGCCAAGACCAGAACGAACTGCCTCGCCGTCTCCCGTTTATGTGGGATGGTAGAAAGGAGCTCGAGTGCTGCTGCGGTCACCGTCGAAACAGGGGTTGCCAGGGACACCATCTGACCGTGACAGACGTGGGATCCGCATGCGGGTCTGATCGTGTCCCCGAGAGCGCCACAGATTGGTCTATTATATAGCTACGGGCCCAAAGCCGTTCGGGTAAGTCAGACAGACCGGATCACAAGGCTAGAGACTCCGGGCTGGCTGGCGATGGCTGTTTGGTACTATTTGGGGGTATGGGAGGGCCATCATGTGTAGTTCGCATGCGCACATGTGGATGCACGGTTGCCCGAAACATCTCAGGGGCCGCGCCGTCGCGCAATCAAGGACACAACACGTTGGGACATAGGCATGCGCCCGCGAGGACGCTGGCTTCGTTACTCGTGAGTACTCCTACTCGTGCTCGTACAAATCATGATCGTGAGGGTCGTGATACAATACTGCATGTTCTCGTAAGTGGGCTCGCAAGGTCTCCGGGCAGACCTGCGTTCGTCGTTTCTCGCGTACTTGCTCAGGCGAAGGCGTTGCCCTTGACGGTCGAGATCCAGGTCTTATCTGCGTGCGGGAACTGGAACGCCATGACGCCGGCGTTCCAGCCACCCGCAACCGCGGTCTGGATGCACTGGTTGAGGGTTGCAGGGTCGATGAAGCCGCCGTTCGTGATGTCGGCCGTGGTTCCAGGTTTGCCGATGACCAGCTTGTTCACGTCGACACCCGACTTCTGGATCGCGAAGACGGAGGAGGGCGTGCTGTTCAGGAGCGAGTCGCAGTCATCGTACCCGGGGGAGGGCGATTCTGTGAGGGTACATGTTAGGGCGCAGTGTATTTTTGACGTACAATTCAGAGAACTTACGGTTGTAAAACTGGATGTTATACTGCCATTGTCGAATGGTCAGTACGAAGGGCAATGCGATGGCGGAAGACCGTACATACCCAATCAATCAGAGCACCGACATTCTTGTCAACCGTGAGGTAGCAACCCCCAGGGCAGAAGCCCGGAGAGAACCAAGGGCCAACAGCTGTCGCACACAGTCAATCCTTCTGACGAAACCCCAAGCATACGACTATAACACTCACGAGCATGGCTCAGGATGAACTGCCCCTGAGGTAGCTGCTGGCGCAACGTCTGCGTCAGCGTCGTGAGCCACGCCTCGCCAACACCAGGCTTCTGGAGGACGAGGTCGAACTCCTCGTAGTCGATATCGATCCCATCGAGGTTCGTGTTGAGCACAAACTGCGCGAGGTTGTTCGCGACCGTCGTCGGGTCCTGCGACGTCGGGTGCTCCGTCTCGCCGAACGCGGACACCACGAGCGACACGCCCGCGGCGTTGTACTGCCGTTTCAGCGTCGCGCGCTGACCCGCCGGGAGCGCGGCCCAGTTTGCGGCCTGGTCAGCGGGGCCGGTGGTCAGGAGAAAGGCCAGGTTGCTGTAGCGAATCGTGAGCGCTGTAACATGAAATGCACCGAACGGGACTTACACGACATTGAAGCCCGTGATCTGGTCGAGCGGCGGCAGGACGCTGCCACTGATCGCGGCGTCGGTGTACACGACAAACTTGGGACCAGTGGGCACCGACCCAGACGGGGCTTTGGGGGTGCAGCGGCCGGCTGGAGCAGCGTAGCTCGCGCTCAAGGACGCCAGCGCCGAGCAAAGGGTGAAAAGACGCGAGAAAGACGTGGAGAACATCCCTGACCAGAGGGTAAGTAGTATGTGAAAGTGAAGTGTAAAAGGGGAAGTAGGAGAGGAAGACGAAGTACCGGCCAAGCGGGGTGAGGAGCCACCGCCGCGCTGCTTCGTCCTTTATACTGCGGGCTACAGGGCCAACCTCAACTACAGGGCCGACCTCAACGTACCAGTCGCCGGACGCGCTGAACTCGGGGCGCCCTGATACAATCAGAGGATGGGCGAACCGCCGTCTGTTGCGCAGGTGTGGTGGTCGCACCAGGCGTTATCATGAGAGACAAGTGCGGTGTAGTAGCTACCACTCGAACGCGAGGCACTGTGATGTAAAAGGACCGGTTAAAGCAGGAACAGACAATCAGGATAGGCAACATACTTGCGGGCCGCCGTAACTGCGATCGATGCCGGAGCATCTGACAGCGCTGCATCGTATGCCAAGCTTTCTTGTGTCATTGCGCGCCCACCGACAAGTGAGAAGGAAATCTGCGTCTCTGCGTATACGTCTCGCGAAATCGGCCAAGGACGGAAATATTTTGGGTCTGTATCTTGAGCAAAAGACTTGTGAGGCCTTCTACCTCGCGGCGCCCGACCCTAGACCGTCCAAATAGTTCGGATGCAGGGCGCGAGAATCCGTAGAAAGGCATGTGGATGCTGTGCGCGAAAGATGGAGAATGGGCGCTCCATTGAGATGTGGCAAGGTACTTCAGGCGCCAGGCGCCGCTCCATAATAAGAGGGCCGCGTACGGTCAGGTCGGAGAGAGCCCGTGTTCACATTCATATTCTATATATACTCTGAGTGAGTCACAACACTATGATACACTGCAGGGACCCACCTCGCTCCGAGTAATGCTGGGGCTATCGAGACGCGAAGTGTCAGGCATGCTTGGGGAGCCTTTATAGCAGAATTCAGTACAGCTCTCTTAGGAGGGGGGTCGGATCATGGGCAGAGTCCAATGGAACAGACAGCGCGAAAAGATGAGGAAGGCGGCACGCAAAGTGAGTACTCAGGAGCTGCATGCCATACTAGAGGTGGTCATGTTGCGATACTACGGGCGCATGCGATAGTGGCGCGCTATAAACTATCGCCGACGTCGGACCAATAGTCGCAGCTGAAAGTGGATGCATCAACGCGAGAGGTAGAGACATGGCCAAGGATATCGCAACGCCCGCACGACCAATCAATTCCGCGCGCGCTTGACCCTGTTCTTCGGGAACTCCAGTGGCACCTTGAGGACGGCCCGCTTGGTCTCCGCTGCGCTGTCCGGCAAGCCGCGTTCCTTGAGCTCGTTGGGTCCGAGCTTCTTGATGACGCAGCCTACAAAACACATCCAGGGTCAAAGGCTGCGAGGAGAGAAGCACGAGGGCCACGTACCGAGAGACTTGAACAGACCGCTCACTCTGATTTGATCAAGACGAAGACGCGTCAACATGTAGCCGCGGGCACGGAGAGGGCGCGCAAAGTACTCACTTCGTGGGTGCCATGCTCAAGTCATGGGCGATGGTGTCTACGTCCGCCGCGTAGTCTTCCACCTGCAGACACAAGGAGAGCATGTATGCTAGCAGCATTGTCTCGGTCTGGGGTGTCATTTTGGGCCTGCACCTGTGTTTAGCTGCCGTACATCAGAGACGCATGACAATACGCACTTATTCGTACTCCGCTCGATCTCTGTGAACCTGGAGATGAGGCCATCAAGTACGATTGGGGGGACACCAGGTAGGCGCTGCTGCAAAGCGTCCTTGTCGCCGACACTTCGCGAGCTTTTGTTGAAAGCCATCATAGTCGAAATATAGTAGACGATTTTCCTGAGTTATTCGGTGAGGATGGTAGCAGCACGGTAGTGGGCAGTGTAAACGTACAGGTCGGTTTTGTTGGCTTTGGGCGCGCTGTAGATGAGCTTGAGCTGCAGCTTTAGCCAGTCGGACCGGTTGAAGGGCAACAGTGCTATCCGATCCCGGTCGGACTTGGCGGACTTGAACGCGGAGATCGGGAGTGCGTTGAACTCAACCTCCGGGATGATGTCGTGCAGGGCGTAAACGTCCTTCGCACTCAGCGCATCGGCGTTATATGGAGGAATGAGACGACTGCTATCTGCTGTGGCCTTCGCCTCGTCTGGATGCCATACGATTAGCCGCGCGGCGTGCGAATGGTGCAGAAAAGTACGTGCCGGCTGTGGGAAGAGTTTCGGTGTTTTGCATGATCGTGTCCTGTAGGTGACCCGTGACATTCTTCATCGCGTCGATGTCCACCCTGTTCCGCTCGCGAGCGCGAATTTGCGCCTTCGCCTTTTTGGTACCGAACGCCTCCCCGAGGGTGTTACGTTGGGCCATACGCTCCTCCGTCGAGACTTCGATCGGCCGCAGGTTCTTGAGCGCCTTCACCTGCCTCGTGAGGACATGAAGGGGTACAGGGCGCAAGGTCGTGGTGTTCGTGCGCTTGTCATGAACACCGATCATATAGCTTCATATAGAGTTAAAGAGGTGAAGATCATGAGATGAGCGGGGATACGCACCTGCAACCGGTTGACGTCAACGGGCCGTCTGCGGTGAAGAACTCCACGGTCTCCGCCTCTCCCGCAACGATGGTAGACTGCGTCTCGAATGGCGCATTTTTGTCCGCTCCTTTCTGGACGTAGCACTTGAAGGCAGTGGACTTGGGTGGCTCTAGCGAGGGGAAGCTGGCTATATGTTAGGTGAGCCTCCCCGCAGATGAGCGTCCCGGATTTGCCAGATTCACCTAGTACAGGTCCGACTTGGCTTGCAGGCTGCGTGCTGAACACTAGACTAGCCTTGTCAACATCCTCGGCTCCTCTTTTGCGTTTCTTGTTGGCTGCGGCAGCAGACATGAGAGTTGTCGACGAGCGACAAGTTTTGTGGCGAAGAAGTGTTGGTGGTGAAACGAAGAGCAGCACGGGCGCCTATGCATTGAGCGTCCTTTGGATTCGGACCACGACCTCCGGAACGGACTCAGCCTCGGACTCTTGCTTTCCTCTCTCTGTCTGCTCGGCTCGTCTATCTGCTGCTTTGAAACAACCGCAAGCTTTGGGACTCCTGCTCTGCTCTGACAGCCTAATTTATACGTCGCCGAACCGCTGCGAGCGCGTCCACCTCCGAGGCGCGCCATCCGTGCACATAACATCTCACGACCCCGCAGGTACTCTGCCTGTACCAATAACAGTTGTACTGCGCTGGCTGTTCTGGGAATGTCCACCATGACGGAAGTCCACGTCGACAGCCAAACGTCCGCGGCTCTCCTGTTCGAGTCAGACGCCGTAAAGGTCGAATCTACGGAGGCCTACGTAAAGGAGGAGGAAATGGTCGATTCTTTCGGTTCGGTCACTGTCAAGGAAGACAGCTCTGAGCCAGACATGTCGCGAAGCGCATCCGTCGAGGCCAAGATGGAGCACGCATCTCTCAAGTCCACGCCATCCGCAACCCCGCCTCTGTCGAACAAGACGAAGGGCAAAGCCCCCAAGGGGCCCGCTCAGTTGATTGGACACCTGCCTCGGGCGGAGGAAGATGCTATGAAGACCTTCACAGAGATCCCGGGCAACCATTACCAGTACGGAACGCTGGGCAAATCCAGGGAGGCCTTGGAAAGCATGATGTGTGATTGCCAGTACGAGCACGGTCAGTTCAGTCTCCTCCACATCCTTCTCGCACCCTGTAGGCCCTAGTCTATCTTTCATTTTCTCTTGGCCATCGACTAGTATGTTAGTCTCTGTCTCGCCGTGGTCGGGCTCAAGAGCAGGGCGTAGTGAGCTCTACAGTGCCCCCCACACTGCGCGCTATTCACACGTCGCCGCGCTAAAGGCGGGTGGTCGCAGTTGGCTTTTGTCAGGCAATTCACCCGCCAGGGCCTCCTCCGCCACGCTCGTATCATGACTCGACGTACTCTACACAGGGTGTTGGACTCTTGCGTGCCATTGGCTCGTACGGCGCGCCCGGCACTCGTACAGGCTTCACTCTGACGATGATTTTCGTCTTGTCTTCCGCTGAAACATCGTCTTACTCATACTAACCACCCCCTACACGGATCCCCAGGCATTGACGACCCGGACACTGCTTGCGGCCATGATTCCGACTGTATCAACCGACTCACCCAGGTGGAATGCCTTCCGGAAGACTGTCGATGTCGCTCTTACTGCCGAAACCAGCGGTACGCTCACTAGTTGTCGAGTTCGGTGCATCCCTGATCTGTTTACAGCTTCCAGCGCAAACAGTATGCTCCGATAGAGATTGTCAAGACGGAGATGAAAGGTTTTGGCCTCAGAGCAGGGGAAAACATTCCGAAGTAAGTGTTGCACGCTCTGTTCGTCTATTATCAGCGCTTACGGTCGATATAGGGATGCATTCATCTACGAGTATGTTGGCGACGTCGTGAGCCAGCCATCCTTCCTCAAACGAATGCGGCAATATGCAGAAGAGGGCATCCGTCACTTCTACTTCATGATGCTTCAGAAAGACGAGGTACGACTTCATGTTGCCGTCTACGCGCGTCTCTGCTGACGGGCTCCTAGTACATCGACGCCACGAAGCGTGGCGGTATCGGTCGATTCGCTAACCATAGCTGTAATCCCAACTGCTATGTCGCGAAGTGGACTGTCGGGGACCACGTCCGGATGGGCATCTTCGCCAACCGTACGATCAAGCAGCACGAAGAGTTGACGTTCAACTACAACGTCGACCGCTATGGGTAAGACATTCTTCCGGCGATTGTATGCTGTGCATTCTGACATTCTGGTCGTCTTCAGCCACGATGCGCAAATATGTTACTGTGGAGAGCCCAATTGTGTTGGGTTCATCGGTGGCAAGACCCAGACGGACCTCGCGGCGATGGACGACCTCTACCTGGACGGTGAGTCTCATAACGCCCACTCTGTTAACAGGCGCCTGACTCTCCGTACCAGCACTTGGTATCACCGAGGAGGTGGAGAGGTTTGGCCTGAAAGGGTCAAAGAAGAAGAAGGGCCGGAAGCTGGACGAGGACTTCATCGTATGTAATCCCGGCATGCTGGTTGGCTACCGTGCTGACAGGAAGTTTCCCAGCCGGACCTCAAGCCGATTATACTCAGAGATGTGCCGAAGGTGGTGCAGGCGATGCGTCAAACGCAGAGCAGAAAGGTTCTTGTCAAGCTGCTTATGCGCATCAAGGTACGATTTTGGTGCATGGTTCCCTCCTGTGACTTACTGACACCGCGGAATAATCATAGCTCACAGAAGAGTTGGCTGCTCTGCGGCAGATCATGCGATTGCGAGGCTTTAGCGTTATGACGAATATCCTCGAGGACTACAGCAGCGATGTGGAGGTTCAGACCCTCGTACGTCTGCGTTCATACAAGTCGCTGGGCACTTCGCTCATGTTCAATCTTCTAGGCCATCGAGTGCATGGCAACCTGGCCCCTCATCCAGCGCAACAAAGTTGAGGACTCCAAGGTCAACGTTCCTGTCAAACTATGCGCGGAGTCGGAGAACGAGGTAGTGGCAGAACTCGCGAAGAAGGTACGTGAATATCCCGACTGTAGCCCGAAGCCATGTTCTAACGTATCTCCTTAGCTTCTGGAGCAATGGGAGAGCCTCGAGTATGCGTACCGGATACCGAAGCGCGTGAAAGGGGTGAGTGCCGGTACGTTCTACATTCCTCCCGGCGTAGCTAACGTTCCGTTAGGAAACAACAGAAGAGGTCTCTGCACCTATTCTCAACTTCAATCATGACTCCGACGACGAGCGACCATCGAAGCGGGTTCGCCCTGAAGACGATTTCCCCGAGTTCAAGTTCTCCCGTTCGAAGACGCCGCCGAAACACGATATCAAATACGAATCCGCGCCCGTCGCATATGTGCCCGATCTCTACCAGCGGGAGCAGAACCGCCGCGCTGCGGAGGCGCAACGCCAGCAGGACGTTGCCAAGATCATCGCCGCCGCTGCTGCCGCCGCGACTGCGGAGGCCAACAAGCCCAAGCCGGAGCCCAAGGCCAGCTCGAGCCGCAAGTCGCATCGGGACCGTGCGGAGCGCGAGCGAGAACGGGAGGCGCGCAAGGCGGCGAAGGCCAGACATAAGAAGCTATCGAAGGAGGAGAGGGAGGCGAACAAGGAGAAGCGGTTGTTGAAGCTCATCGGGGCGGTCGTGGTCCGGTGCATGTCCAAGTACAAGGACCAGATGGACCACGACTTGTTCAAGAAGTATGCGAAAGAGGTACGTCGTCTCGCAGTGTATGCTGTTGATTCTGCGATGCTGACGCCGGGTGTGCAGCTGACGCAGACTATCGCGGAGAAGGAGAAGAAATCGTCGAGTTACAAGGAGGGTCGACTGGAGACGCTCTCGGAGGAGAAGACGACGAAGATCAAGAAGTTTGCGAAGGAGTACATCGCAAAAATACTGCGCAAGCTCGAGAAGTCCGGCCAGCGGCGAAAACCGTCGTCCACCACGGCGTCGTCGTCAACGCCGGACGGAGCAGGTGCAGATGACTCCGTTGCGTCTGCAGCGGCGGTGGCGGACGTCATGGATCTCGACCCGGACGAGACCTACGAGGACCATGACGACCAAGGGGACGACGATCACGACGAACAAGGGGATGAAGACGACGGAGCGTCCGGGTCGGGGAGCCCAGAAGACGGCGGCTCGGGCGAGACGTCGCCGACTGTCGTGGCGGACCCCAGGATACGACATCCAGCATCGTCCACATCCAAGGACGATGATGGCTCATGGGACACGGATCTGCAGAAGCCGATATCCTCGAGCTGGAGTGCAGTTCCTGTAGGGTCGTAGGGGGTTGCACGGCCTCCCTGTCTGGACCTTTCTGTCGTTATACCGAGGCTTGTTCCGACGCAGCCCCTTTCGTTGTTGTGATTTATCCGTCGCTAAGCTATAGCCATCCTATTCACGTATACATGGATTCATTGTACGTTGCTTCGCATCATTCGCCTCCGGATCAGCGATCCTGCGGACATGCTTGAAGCCGGGAGGCCCTGTGCAAATCCCGATCAATCATCCCGGGCTCCATCCTCTTCATCGCTCGAGTCAACCTCAGCCTCGCACTCCGAACCGAGTGTCACAGTATGGTTGCCCCTGCTTCGATGGTCCTTGAGACAGACGGTGATTGACTGGAGTGAACCAGACGACTCAGTTCCCCGCCGGATATGATTCGCGTATGCGTTCATGTCCCACCCCGCGAGGACCTCCTCGACCGGGTAAAGCGGGCGGTATTCTGCAGACCGAAGCGGACGACGACCGCTGCTAATCTGGGAGCAGTCTATCGTGAGCTTGAATGAGCGGAGGTCCCGCAGCGGCGCGACGATGTGTGGGGCGATCGCAGCCTACAAACAGGTAGCATGAGCACTCGCACGAAGACAGTGATGTGCAAGGTCAAGGAGAAAGCTAAACTCACCAATGCGGCTGAGATGTCCAACGAGCTACGCTCAACGACGCTCAGTCTGACGTCCAGTGCAAAGTGTTCCACCGCTTCGACACATGGGTGGGAGAACGTGTGCCAGAAGCCTGCATCGGGATCGGCCAGCAAGTATCCCCCGTCTATGCAGAGATGCAGACGGTGGGGCCGGGCATCGTCAAGGACAGCACGGAGCACGGCGGGTGAGAGCAGTGCTTCGCCTTCGGTGTCGATATTGACCGCGCGGATCGGACAGCGGATGCCGAGCAGGTACAGACTGAGGACAGACCCGCGGAAGCTCCTGAGCGAGGGCCACGCGCCGAAGTGCTCCTGCTCAGACTGATTCCTGGCGCGGCGCTTTTCTATCTCTCCAAGGTTACAGCGGTGGTGGTAAGATATCTGCGTCGTAAGGTGCCGCAGGTGCGGGAATGCCCGAACGTAGTGATGCGTCCACGGGGCCTTTTGGGTGCAGCCGAGGTGGAAGGTGGTGACATGGGGATACTGAGGGGTATCGGGAACGCCGACGAAAGACTTCGCGACAAGTTCTCGCAAGGAGCCTTGGGAGCCTTGCAGAAGGCGTATCGGATTCTTGTCTTCGGGAGGAAGCACGGTGTCCTTCATAGTGATGTCAGCATAGAGCAAAGAGGCACGCAATGCCTTCAGCATCCGGATGGCCCGTGGTCCTGCGTCGACAATCATGAGATATCGAATTGTGTGCAGACCGGCGATTGCTTCGGGAAGGTCGGGATGCCAGCCCAGAATTCTCTCCGAAAAATAGATCGACAAGCGGCGGAGAGACCCTGAGGAAGCCAGTGCGACGAAAAGCTTATGAAGCAACTTCCCAAGTTGACCCTCTGGCGCACTCGAGCGTTCATTTATGAATAGCGCCAATATGTGAAGCAGCCTGATACGGTGGTGCCAGTCGCTGCCGCCGACTAGGAAATGCGCGAAAGAGACGAACTGCTCCTTGGACTTGAGGAAGACGCCGTCCTGGAGGATGTACTTTGAGCAGTACTGGTGAATGATGTGGCACGTCTGTGCAAGAGTGCAGAGTGTTTCTCGGTCGGAAAATGCGAGGATGTTTAAAAGGACGTCGTTATTGAGTTGAAGGCCTTGAACGGCGCTCGCCGCGATCTGCTACATGTATCGTACTGAGCTGCGGGCACATCATAGATCATTCAACAGTGCAGGCTTACTTTTTGACATGTCGAGTCCATCGTCTTTCGTGATAGGGAATAGGAGAACAACGGATCTGGTGAGTTCAAGCTGTCCCGTACAATAGCGTTCACAGTGGTACGTACCCAGGTACAAAAACACCTCGCGCGCGATACTGAACGCTTCGGCAAGTGCCGACGAGCAGACGCTCACTCGCTCGAGACCAAAATCCAACACGTAGGATCCATGTGTTTATGGCATCGTGGCTCACTCAAGGTGCTGAAGCAGCATTTTTCGCCACGCGCAACAATGTTGATTCTACTGGTAAGTCAACAGTCGTCACAACGACCGGATGGTGAAGTGAAAACAGGACATCGATAACAATTCGGACGGCTGTAGTGGCGACACCGCGCGTTGCGTACTGCAACCCGGCCTAAGCTGAAGTGAGTGTACCGGCCTACTCGGCGCTCCATTCGTCGTGGACGTCAGGCTCGTATTTCATACCGAGAGTGACGGTCGTATCCTCCAGCGAACGATGGTTCCACAGGGAGACGGTGATAGAGCGGAGTGCTGTGGCGGACCCGCCGACTTCGTCTTGTATCCGTTGCGCATAGGCGTCCATATCCCATTCCACTAGCGCCTCCTCGACGTGTACTAGTAGCGGATCACCTTCGGCCGACAGCGGACCGTCGTCATTGAAGTACCAGGAGAAGTCGACGGTAATCCAGACCGCCACAAGGGACTGGAGAGGTTTGAGGACATGTACGATGACTGCCTCCTGCGAAATATGTATGGTCAGAAGACTGCTTGAGAAACCATCGAAGCGTTCCGAGCAAGGACACTCACCAAAACTGCCAAGATGTCCGTCGTCTCATCCAGTGTGCTCAGCATGAGTTCGAGCTTGAAGTACCGCAGCCCATCAACACCGTCGTAAGTGAACGTGGGCCAGAAGTCAGGATCGAGTACCCAAAAGACACTATCGAGGGAGAACTCGAACCGTCGCGGACGAGTATCCCCCAAGACCGTGCGAAGCATCTCGGGCTCCAGATCATTTTCGGCATGGTCGATTACGAGCGTAGGGATGCACTGCGTAATCCCGAGCAGGTAGAGAGTCAGGAAGGAGCCGTGGTAGCTGCTGAGAGACGTCCACATCCCGAACTCGGCCTGCTCCATGATGTTGCAAGCACGCCGTGGCTCGTACTCCTCGCGACGCTTGAACACGTTGCAGTCATCAGTGGATAGGACTTGCAGATTGGGGAATGCCTGAACGTAATGACATGTGTGGAGGAGGTCGGCGAAGCTGAGGTGGAGACTGGTGACGTGAGGGTACCATGGATCGACGAGTGCAGATGTGGAAAATGTGACGGAGACCCGATACAAGGTGTCACTAAAATTGCGCAAAAACCACATTGGATTCCTAGCGTAAGCTGATAGCATCCTGCCCTCCTCGTCGCCGGGGGGCGCCAGTACGACCGTGGCCTTCTCCAAAGGGCAATGCAGCTTGCCCAGCATCCTGACGGTGCATAGCCCGGCTTGCGTGACACTCAGCCATTCGAGTGTCGTTATCCTGGAGATAGCATCTGGCACGGAAGGGTGTAGCCGCAGAAACCGCTCAGAGTCGACGATGCACAGGCTGCGCAGATCGCCGGAGACTGCAAGGGACTGAAACAGTGTCGCGAGCGCCATACCGGTAATCCGGGAGAGCATCGGGGGGCGGGATGGGCAATAAGATGGTGATATCAACCTCAAGGATTGGAGTACCTTGAGTCGGTATGAGTGGTGTTTGTTGAGCATGAAAGTTACGAAGGACCAGATACGCTTGTCGTCGTTGAGGGAAACACCATCCTGGAGCAGACGTCTCCCGCCGTAGTAGAGAAGTAACGGGCATGTCTGCATCAGGGTAGGCAGCGCGTCCTCATCCACAAAAGATGCGATGTGTAAAAGCACATCGTCGTCGAGCTGTGTGTGGCTCATCTGGGGGCCGTGGTACTGTGAGGTTAGACAGCAAGGATTGCATTGAGACTCAATGACTCACAGTTCAATGCGAGATCGCGCAAATTTTCCAAGTAGACAATAATTATCTTTTTGGAGTCTCTGTACTAATGTATCAGGATGCACAGGAGGAGGTGTTTGGAGGCCTTGAAATGACACTATTGGGAGGGTCATATATACGTTGTCGGGGACTCGGCGTCGTCCCCGTAAGTTCAAGACTTTTGTGTTTGAAGCCAGATCTGTTTTCTAGCCTACGCCAAGGCTCTCGCATAGATAGAAAGAGGGGAATAGAAAGTTGCGCCTACGCAGTGTAGACATTAGCACGATGGTTGTAGTCAAAGGCAGAAAGGAGACGTGTCAATATTGACGCACAGATTAGACTTTTTAGCGCCGGTCTCCCTCGGCGTGATAATCGCGAGTGAGTCCAACGGAAGTGCGACTGGCAACTCTTTGCACGCCTCAACGCCAGATATCCGCGCTCATAAATCACCATGGACGCTGTTCAAGAAAATAGCTGAACTTTGTCATGTACAAACGCCATTGCATCAATTGAGGCGTTCGGAGGGCCCGGTAACTTGAAAGGATACGGTGAAGGATAGTCGATTTACGCGTTCAACAATCGACCCCATGAGCCTGCACTGCTGGCGTAGTTTAAACTACAAGACACACCGGTACAGCCGTCGCTACGCCTGGCCCTCGAGATACGCCTTCAGCTCCTCCGCCTGCGCGATGTCGATGAAGCTCTCCTCCAGATCGCCAGAGATGAACAACTTAGTCGCGTACGCGCCCGGGCCCACGAAAATCCGGCACAACTCATACAGCGTTTTTCCGTCCACGGTCGCACTCGCCGCCTACAAGCGCTCGGCCTTCACGAACCAGCTGGGGAGTGTGCTGTTCTACGCGATGCGGTGAGGTCCGGCTGGACGTGCGTGATCTGCTCGGACACGCGCGTACTGCTACGCTGGACGCTAACATGCCGACTTTATAAACTGTATCTCTCATTTGCGGTTCTGCAGGACTCGGTTGGTAGATGCCGCGAGCAGTGGTCTTGTTCAATAGAAATAGGGGGTTGAGCGGACACGCTGGAATTGGCTGCTGGCCCGGCTACGCTATGGCTGACAAGCAAATACACTGGCGCAGTCAGCTCCAGGTTAGGACGGTACAACTACTACCACCCCTGCGCACCGACTGCAAAGCCTTCTTCAGCACTAGGCATTTCTCCGAGCTTATACACGGGGCCGAGCTGCACAGTCTGCTCAGCTCGCGTCCGATGTCCACAGATGCGGACCGCGACAGACTTCAGAGGCCCGGACGCGCCAGCCGCGCGCACACGGGTTGCAAACCTGTCCATGTCCCACTCCTCCAGCGTCCATTCGAGCGCACCGAGCGGGCGCACAGCAACCGGGGACGGGTCCCCGCTCCCCGCAGGCGCGGCATCCAGAGACAGGCTGAACGAGCGCAGCGAGTACACCGCCGACACGACATGAGCCACGAGATTGTCCTGCAGCACGATGTCAGCGAAGCGTGCATTGGGGAGCGCGTGCCACGTACCAAACCGCGCGCGAGGTCGACCTCCGGTCCGGGTTCCTGGTCGTCGCCGTAGTTCGGATGGAGCGGGAACACGAGCTGGAGGTGGACGAGAGACTGCAGGGCGGGGCGGGTCCAGGCGGACAGGAAGGCGGGGTCGAACAGCCAGCGTCCGTTGTAGGAGGTGAGGGAGATGTGCCGCGGGTGGGCGACGTCGACGCACGAGAGCAGCATGTCCAATGCCTTGGAGGGAACCTCGCGCAGGTCGTAGTCGTCAGTGATCTCGAGCGCATGGATATGACACGGAGGCGCGAGGAGGAAGAGCGTCGGAATCGAGCCATCGAATTTCCAGAGGGAAGACCAAGCCCCGTACTGCGCCTGCTCGCGCTCGTTCTTGCTTCGAAGCTCATCCAAGTCGTCTGGGGAAGACAAGTCGTCACTGTCGATCCAATGCATCACCTTGAGGATCCGTAGGTTGGGGAATGCGTGGACGTAGTTGCGTGTGCGAAGCGTGTCGGGAAACAGATGGGCCAGGTTAGCCATACGTGGATAACGCGGGCCGACATGCGCCCCTCTGAGTCCGCTGCCGGACACCGTCAGCGAATGGAGCGAGTGCTGAGAGCCGTGGAGGATGTGGCTCAGCGTCATGTCATCGAGGCGGAATGGCTCGCTATCTTCCTCATCCTCGGAGTCTTCATCGTCCTCGTAGAGGCCGTCCATGGAGAGGTCGGCATCACCGAGGGTCGACCGCGACATCATGAGCATGTTCGCCCCCCGTGATGCTATAAGGGCCAGATGAATGTCTTTGAGAGTTCCCACCATAGAGATGGCACTAGAGAGGTCTGTTTTCAGGTCCAAGACGACCTCTATATCATCGATGGTCAAAATTTGAAGGCTGCCATGGCGGGCGAGCAGCAAGAACAAACTCTCCAGAAGGGGCCCGACCTCCTCCGCTTGCATTGTTGGCCACTGGGTGTCTTTGCTTCTTGTCAATTCCAGCCAATGGAAGTGGGAAAGGCGGTAGAAGGGATCACGCGCAAGGAACTGCAAGAAAGACAAGACAGCCTGCTTGGACTCGGTGTCGAGACACACCGGGCCCCATGCGAGGAGAGCCTTAGCGCCATAGTGGTTGAGTGTACGACAAGTTTGCATGAGCTGACAGATTGTCCTTTTATCGGCGAAGGACAAGACACGTAGTAGGACGTCGAGGATGAGCTTGGCGTCGTCCATCTGCAAGTGTTGATTACTTCAGTGTTTGGGATGAGAGCGATGGGAGCATACTCACAGCTGGCAATCTCAAGTTGATTGCTTCGCCCACAGAGATCGTTGACCAAGACTTCTCGCGTAGCGGCCTATATAAGTGATGGAGGCCTGTCCGAATTCTACAAAGGAGCACATACACGGGTGAAGGATTCCGTAACAACGATACCGGCCAACCGGCGCCCGAAGTCCTAACACTACATCGAGATTTGTGTCGAGACTGACGTTGACAGAGGTCGTATAGACCCTAGGCGCACTCGCGGTAGGTAGAAGGGATCACCAGAATACCCAGTAACAGATGACGGAGAGTACTACTTCAAAGAGACGCAAGATCAAGTAGGCGCCAATGAGCGGTGGTGGGCGCTTACATCGCTCTGTTTAAGGCTATTTGCGTTCCGTGGCTGCGGAGGCGTCTCGCTGCGCTGGGCGTCTACGAGTGGCCATTGTTCTTCTCGATGGATACTTTTGTTGTGCAAGTACAATGAGGCCCGCACGGCGACGTCCGCTTGGAGCACAAAGAGAGAATTTTATTCCTCGTGTGAGCTGATGCCACGCGTGCGCGGGCCGCGCGCGCCAACGCTCGCTCATAAGACCCGCCCTCCTTCCCAACACGTTCTGCATTCTACTCATCCTACCTGCCTTCTCAGCAGCTCTCCGCCTCCCCTCCTCCGCGCTCCGCGTTCCATCTCGCCTTCGGGCTTCTGCTTACAATCTTCCAGGGTGCAGGCACACCAAAATCCTTGATACACGTTCTTTCTTTGTCTTAAGACGCCCACCGCATCCTTCCGCTTCTTGAACACTACCACCTCCTACACGAACTCAAGATGTCTACCAAGAAAGGATGTGAGTCTCCTGGTCATGTATTTTCCCCAAGTCAATGACTGACGTGCATAATCAGACACATTCCTCGCTCTCAACGCCGTCCGCGCCTTGAGCATCATCGCCCTCTTGCTCCTCTTCGCGAGCAGCATCGTCACCATGGTCCAAGACGTCAAGTCAGTCAACGCATTCATCGCCGCTGGCAAAGCGGACTCGAACATACGCGTCGCCGAGGGCAACAGCACGGACGTCGATTGTATAAGCACCGACACCGACTACATCGAGTATGTTCCCCTTTATCCGCGCATAGCGCTTCGCTGACACACATCCTCGCATAGCGGAAGCACGGTCCCCAACCAGCCCGCGGGTGCCTTCTGGGCCGTCCTCAACAGGCTCCTGATCATCTTCCAAGTCATTGTCCTCATCATGTCCGAGGTCGGCTGGCCTGCCGCCTTCTTCTCCCGCTTCTTCCCCATCCTCGGGAACGAGTTCGGCCTCGGCGCGCTCGGTGTCATTCAGTGCCTGTACGTCTCCTTTCCCTTTGCGTAGTGCTCCTTTGTTGACCTTTCACGCACAGACTCGGCGCAGCCGTCCTCTCGCACCACGTCGACGAGTTCTCGCTCGTCTCCGCCTTCTTCCTCTTCTCCATCGGCTGCCTCAACATCCTCCTCGGGCTCATCTACCGCGAGTCTGCGAAGACGCGCCGTTCGGTCACCGCGTGGCGCGAGCGATACCAGGACGTGCTCCCCACCACCGCCCCGCTCGGGCCCCCGCGCACGCTCGTCATGCGCTCCGCGTGGGAGAAGGAGGGCGCGGAGGCGTCGCGCTCGGGCAGCCTCAGCAGCCAGAAGAGCGGGATGGGCTTTGGGCGCCAGGGCGAGAAGGCCGCGCTCGGGCGCGGGTACACGGTGACGCGCCCCGAGGAGGCGCTGCCCACGTACGTGCCGAAGCGCACGGTGACCGTCCGCGACAGCACCGTGAGCTATGCGGAGTCGGAGACGGTTGCGTGACCGCGCTCCGACGACGGACGGATCAGGTTGAACCTGACTGACGCGATGCGACGACGATGACGATGAAGATGACGACGGTGGGACGACTTGCAGGACTCTCGTGCTCCCCTCTTGACTCTCACTCACCCCACGCACACTTGCATATACGTGTATCATTGGGCACCGCGGCGTCGGGCCCCCCTATTTGTAGCCTCTAGTCGTGCTTTGTATCATTGCTATCGTTTTCTCTGGGATAACTTGTGCTAGAAAGCGAATACCGGGTGTGAAGATTGGTATGTCGATATTCGACAGGGACGGCCCACGAGGTGGTCTCGCTATAGCCGGTCTGAATCGTTACATCTTTTAAATAGTAAGTATAGTGACTACAGGGAATGCGCCATGTCGCTGGTCACTATGTGCATATTATACGGCAGAAGGGGCGCTCACATGCTATCTATGCAAGAGATATAAGAAACAACATGCCAGTGTGGCGGAATCAACGATAACAAACATTCCGAACAATATGCGGACTGGATCGAACCCTATGAATATACCGCGTCACCTAGCCCCAACTCCCTCGATTATACACCGCAGCTGAGAAGGGCGCCCTACAAATCACAGCTGTGAGTGCCCATGATAACCTAACGACGCGCTAGAGTCGGCGTATGACGGGCCATACGGGCCTGGAGCCTGGGGAAGCGGGGCATCCGGGTCCCCTCGCGAGTTCGGCGCGGGCGTCGGCGCTGCATTGCACACCTGTAGCACTTGTTGCTCCCCTTGAGCGGGATATGGATTCGGCTGTGGCTGCGTCGTGACGAGGGGTATAGCGTCCTGTGAAGCGGAGTATCCCACGGGAACCACAGAGGCATGTCGCCCGACGACGGAGGAGGTCCATACGGGCGCACTGTGCGACCGGTTGAGCGCGAAGACGAGTAGGGTGATTGCGTAGGTGTGTACTGCGAGTGTGGGAGGGGGAGGGGTCAGCGGGACGAAGACAGAAATACACAGCGTGGCGCCGAAGATCAGAGGAGCGGGGCACTCACGGGCGATCCAGGCCGCGAACGAGATCCCCACTAACACCTGTGTTTCGTTGCACACTTGTTGAATGTTCGGGGACAGGAAGTCGGACTCGCAGGAAGCATCCCCAAAGGGAGTTCGCAGCGTTATGTGTGCGCTGAGAATGCCCTCTGCGAGCCACAAAACCCCCAAAATCGCTATGAAGGCACAGCGTAAGTCGATGAGGCAAGGGGATGTCTTGCAGCGTAACACCCACAGGTCCAGACGAGCTCGACCACCACCATTGACGTAAACGCGCCCGTGCGTAGAAAGCCGACCAGGAGCCTGAGAATAGGTTGAAGAATCAGCTATCCGCAGTTCGGCGAGGAGAGTGGGAAAGGGACGAGCATGACGATCACGGTGGAGGCGGTTATCGCCCCTACGGCAATCCCGAACACCTCGAACACCGGCGACAATGGGTGTTGAAAGAAGGCGAGCACGAGAAATTGATCAGCCTTGGAAAGCGATATCGACTTGAGTCGCACTCCGAGCGAGAGTACGGCGATTCCAGCAGCCGCGCTGAAACCTGAGGAGAAAGGGTATGTGAGTACGACACATGTCCGACTTGATCTGCTAAATTGCAGTGGGCACACACGACTCACCCAGCGTTAAGCCGCGCCAGATTTGCAACGACGATGACATTGTGTATTGCGACTCGCAGGACTCGAAGCAGTAGTATCGGAACTTGGCAGTATGAGCTAGAAGACCTTGCTCAGGGTTGACTCAGGAAGAGCGAGGGAGTCGTATAACACTTTGCTCTGAGCGGGCGATGCAGCTTAACTTATGTGTTTCTCGCTTTACGTACCTTCCTTTGTGCGCTGTACATGTATCACAGATACTTCAACATAGCACAGCACACCCAGTGCAGTGGGCGCAACTGACAGCTCACAACGACGCAGCTGGTTCGTGGCGACCTATTAAGATACCCTTTTGAGATGTGATGACAGATCGGTCGCAGCGCCGGGTAGTAGTAACGCGACGCCAAGAATCTCTCGCCCCTCGACATTCTGAGTGACTGGCAAGCTCAATAGCCTGGAGCGCAATGACCTTCATTCGAAGCATCCTGAACATTCTGCGTCAACCGGAGTGCGTCCGTATCTGTAAGAAATCACTGACCTTGTGGACGGATGCAGCTATGCTACGCCGGCGCACAAGTGCGCCGATGTCAACGGCCACGGTATATATGAGGAAAGGGCGCGGAGGCGTTGTTTGGCAACCACTCCGCTACTTGAAGAAGAGGCGTTTGTTTGTTATTAGTCGAGTAACCTGCCTGCCAGCGGGGTCGACGCCACAGGCGTCCTTGTTGGACACCTTGAAGCTCGGGATACGGAGGATGAACCTCCGATCCTGGTTATGTACTGCGGAAGACGCCAGCTGTTCACATACATTGATGCTCATGATAAAGATACAAGGAACATGGTGAAAGCGACGCATTCGAAGCCCGAGATGGTGGTGGAAGAGGATCAAGAGTGATCAAGAGTCGTGGGAATCTATATGTACAGGCGCACGAGACTATATACGAGTTCCAGAGACTATCCTCATTGCAACGAATTGACAAAATGGCAGCTTATACTTAAAATGTTCCACGACCTCCCAATACTCAAGATTCTGAACCGATGAGCGGACACCCAGCGAATACGACAATGATATCACACAAACCCCATCTCCCTCGCGCGTACACCTGATCACAGCTGTGGGTGCCCACTATAGCCTACCGTCACGCCGGGCACGTACGACGTATATCCTATCTGAGGCGTCGGCATCGCATTGTACGCATGCATCTGCCCTTGCTATACCCCGCCCCATCCCTCGATCACACACCGCAGAGAAAGGAGCCCTAATACAGCTGCGGATGCCCATGATAGCCTAGCGACGCGCTAGACCCGGTGTAGTACTACATGATGCCCATCGGGGGCTGGTAATACTGGTATGGGGGAGGCGCATCCGAGTCCCCTCGCGAGCTCGGCGCAAGGGTCGGCGCTGCATTTGACGGAGTCTGCACCATTTCAGATTGTTGCTTCCCTTGAGCGGGACATTGGTCCGGCTCGGGCTCCGGCTCGGGCTCCGACTGTGTCATAACGAGGGGCATAAAGCCCTGTATGACGGTGTGTTCTTCGGAAACCTGGGAGGCGTGTTGTTTCAGGGAGGAGGTCCATATGGACGCGCAACGCGACTTGTTGCGGAGCGCGAAGACAAGCAGGGTAATCGCGTAGATGTGCACTGTGGATGCACAGTATTAGCGGGCTGAAGACAGAAACACACAGCATGGCGCCGACTGTCAAAGGGGTGGGGCACTCACGGATGATCCAGACCCCGAACGCGATCCCCATTATCGCCTGTGTTTCGTTGCACACCTCTTGGAGGGACCCGGTGAACACGTCGCAAGAGAAATTGTCGAAGTTGAGCGCCGTCAAGTGCGCGCCGAGCACACCCTCGGCGAACCACAACACCCCCAGGATCGCTGGGTGAGTACCTGGTAAGCCCAAAGGCAAGTACAATCCTCGGAGAGGAACACGCACATGACCAGACGAGCTCGACCACCACCATGGACGTGAAGGCACCCGTGCGCAGATGGTCGACCACGAGCCTAGGATGCGTTCATAGGATCAGCTGCAGTGTAGGTCGCCGAGGCAGCGGGAAAGCGACGAACATGACAAGCGCGGTGGACGCGATGATCGCCCCTACGGCAATCCCGAACACCTCGAACCCTGGCGAGAATTGGTGTTGAAAGAACACGAGCACGCCGAGAAATGGATCAGTGTGGTCCTGGGAAAGCGATATCGACTGCAGTCGCACTCCGAGCGAAAGTACGGCGATTCCTGACGTCGCGCCGGAGGCTGGAGGAGAAAGCGTGAGTACGACGCATAGTGAGTATCCGACTTGGTCGGCCGGATTACGCCGGGCGCACGCGACTCACCTAGCACAAAGCGGCGGCAGATTTGCAGAGATGAACTCATCGCGTCTTGCGCCAGGCAGGACTAGAAAGCTGCGATATTCGAATTAGAAGGCGTTGTGAACAAGAGGACGACCTTGTGCAGAGCGGGCCCAGAAAGTACGGGGGTATCTGCGTGTCTCGAGTTGTCTTATAGACCTGAGTCGCTTGCGCGCGGTACATGTCAGTATCAAAGATACTTCCTGAGGTCAACACAACATAATCAGTGGAAGACGCCACTGGCAGCTCACAGAGACGCAGCTGCTTTGCGGTGACCTTTGAGATACCCTGCTGAGGTCCGGTGACAGATCGGCCACGCTGCGGCACCGCTGGCAGAATTGCGACAAGGAAGTGCCTCATCGGGGCTCCTACCCGGGTGGGCTCGATAACTCGGGGTGCGGTGATCTTAATTCAAGGCACGCTAAACGAACTGCGTCAACTCCAGTCCATCCAGGCGTACTTGAATGGAATCACTGACCTGGTGGGCGAACAACCCTGGTACAGAATTCCTGTGCGCAAACGTCGCCACATATGAGCCAAGGACGTGGAGGCGCTGTTCGACGACCCCACCTGCCATGACCTGCAGGACATAGGAAGTAGTGAAGAAGCTGCTCCGGGCGAGAGGCGCCCAGATGTGCACGCCACAGTCCTGTGTACACATCGCCGCCCCGATGCCAGCCAGCGGTGAACGCCTGAACACCGCCCACGCAAATGACCGGCTACCCGTGCACATCGTCCCCACTATGTGGATGAATTACATTAGCAGACAGAATAGCGAGATAGATATCCATAGCAGACGTGCCGAGCAGCCCTTCCAAGAGCCGCCCACATTGAAGAACCCAAAGAAAACTTATCACCCCACCCGATCCACTCCGTCTCCAAACCGTCACCCCGCGCACACAGCTTACACCTGCGGATGCCCATTATGCCCCGCCGTCGCGCCCGACGCGTACGTCACCGCCGGCGACCCGTGCGGCGCGGGGTACCCCTGCACGCTTGGCGGCGGCGCAGGCGCAGGCGAGGGCGACGGCGCCCCATACATCTGCATCTGGGGTTGCAGCTGCGGTTGGTGCGGCTGTGGAGCGACGAGGGGGAGCGCGGGCGCAGGGTTCGAGCTGGGCACGACGGAGGGGTGCTGCTTGACGGAGGAGGTCCACATGGGCGCGCCGCGCGAGGCGTTGATGAGCGCGACGGTGAGGAGCGTGATCGTGTATGCGAGCACTGTTCGCAGAGGGTCAGTGGGGTGTAACTGGGGAGGGAAGGGGGGAGAAGGAAGGGAGGGGAGGGAGGGGGACGTACGGACGAGCCAGGTGATGAACGCGAACGCCTCGATCGCGCGCGTCTCGTTGCACGCCTGGTTGAGGAGCGTGGACACGAAGTCGCACGTCTGGAACACGGCTGATGTGTCGTTTGCGGTGAGCGCGCCCTCCGCGAGCCACAGAACCCACAGGATCGCTAGAAAAATCGTGTCAGCTGGAAGCAAGAGGGAAACACGAGTGGGACGTACAAATCCAGATGAGCTCCACAAGCACCATGGAGGTGAACGCGCCTGTGCGTAGGTAGTCGACCACGAGCCTGTCAGGACGTCAGATATGGCGAACGCCAGAGAGCGAAAAAGATACGGACATGACGGTGACGGTGACCACGTTGAGCACGCCCACGGCGATACCGAACACCTCGAAGTTGTCGAAGCCCTGGAAGTACTTCTCGGAGAGCGCGGTGAGGTCCGCCCCGAGAGAGAGCACCAGGATACCCGAGAACACGCTGAAGCCTGCAGACGGCGTAAGCATGATGCAGGACGGACTGCGAGGTTTGCACGATGACTTGGACTCACCCAGCGCGACGAGACGGAAGATCTGCAGCCAAGTCATCATCATGTATCCCAAGTAGCAGATCTAGAGGCGGTAGAGAGAAATCCAACTAGACAGAACCCAAGACCAAGCAGGGAAGGAAGACGTCGCGCGGGGTGCCTGGGTATCCGCCATCTTAAGTACCTCCATAGACGCACTGCATCACCGAACGTACAGAACTCAAGTAGAGCCCGCATCATTAGTGTCGCCTCCCTGACGGCCAGCCAGTGCGAGGGGGCGCCACCAGCCCTCTGACAATGAGACGATACTCCGTGCTAGCCGCACGATAGAGGACATCGCGCTTCTTCTCCTTGACGTGCGATGACAGATCGACCGCGCTAGCGTGGACGGTTGCCCATATATGATCCAATTACGACACCGGCTGCATCTCGCGGGCCGTCGACGGCGGGAAAGATATACACCTCCTGGGCCTCGATAGCTGGATGGCTGGGGTATAATTAGCGGGGGGCGAGCAATGTTTAATGCCGCAGACAAGGAGCCCGTGGAGGGTTCAGGTAACTTCTTCCTAAACAAGCGATGTCAACTCTGTCTGCGCGTGCCTGATGGAGATAACTCACGTTGTACATGGCGCTGCTGCATCCGGCGACTCGCGCGCGCCTGGCCGAAGAGCAGAAGACGCGGAAGCATCTCTCGTCGACCACATAGTGACTCAAGGAAGATGTGTGTTCTTGCAGACCGCAGCGGTAGAAGACGAGGAGGAGTCAGAGACGGCAGTGATTTGACGTGTATATCAAGATGAGCTCGTCGATCAAGTGTCTCGCCGCCACAAGCGCCGTTGTCAGACAACGAAGTCGTCGGGCCACGAGCCATGGGCTGCGAGCTATTCCAGGACACCGGGCAATAAATATTGCGGAGGTCTGTCATCCATGTTTCGGCCATCTTCAAAAGTGAGTTGCCTTGAATGCCAACGCGCTGCATAGAACTTGAAGGTCCACATCTGGAATCAGTTCCAAGGATGTCCGAATTGCCAACCTCCGCATACATTGTCAGAGGTCCTGCTATTCGTGTGCCCGTGGATCGCAAGAAGAAGCCACGCCCGGATACTGGAGAGTCGCAACACCAAACGCACCCGCCGGCGGGATCATCCCAACGCGCTCACCCGTCGGCATCGGGCACGCGAACGACAACGCCTGCCAAATCGGGCCTCCAGCATGCAACGCGGTCACATGCCGCCTCCCACGCGAGCGCGACGCGTCGGGCCTCGGCGAGTCGCCACGCAACAACACCTCCCAGCGTCGCCAAGCGCGCTTCGCCGTTCCTTGTGCTCACACAGCCCGGCACCACTCCTTGTCAGTCGCGTACCTGCCTGGCTCCCCCACAGCTCCGCTTCCTGTCACCTCTGTTGGTACGAAGCATTCTTGGCGACCGCCGCGCGGCTCGACTCAACTGCAGCCCAGACTGGACTGCGACTCGATGAACAGCGAGCAGAGCTACGGTGACAGACGGACTCACCGGGGATCAAAGGGCTGCACGCCTTCCCCTCCGCCTACTCGGCACAGCGCGCGTTTCGAAACTCGGTGCGTGCGTCCTTTCCGGAGGTGGGAGCGTCCGCGGGTGCGCTGTCGCGTCGCGACTTGCGCGACAACGTTGACTGCGGCGAGGGCGATCAAGCCCGCTCCTACACTCGCTAACACCGCGACTTGGAGACGCTCCAAGGGCCCGCACAACGACGAGTCGCGGCGCAGCCCCCGCCCAACCGCTACGCGCAATTCCGATTCGAACGCGGGGCCTGGCCGTGGCAACTTCCAGGGCAGGGGACCGGGGTCATGGTGTGTATTCCTGTCCTGGCTCATTGTGCTATTCTCGTTCTCGTGCGCGCCCCCGGTTGCTGAGGAGACACGGCCACCTGCGCGCCGCGCCGCAGACCCGCACATTGATATCCCCGTAAGCGCCTGCCGCCAGGGCTGCGGGGGGCGCTGCGGGGATAGAGTACAGATCAGCCGACTTTGAGGGCGGGATCTCTCGGGGGACTCTTGGGGGAGATCCACGGGCTGTGTGTGGTGGCGTTGGGCTTCGAAGACGGGAAGCCTGCGCATCTGTGGCCTAGGCTGCGGTGTGGGTGGGAGGGCGAGGGCAGGTGGTCGACGGAGCGCTGCACGGTGTAGCCCAGGGTGCTATTTTGACATCGACATCTGGATATTATGGTCGCGATATAACGTCGGCCGAGATCACACCCAGGTGTGGACATAGCCGGCAGGTGTATGATGAGTGTGTACGCCGATACGCGTACATATGTGGCCGCGCCGTTTCGCAAAAGGATATGTTTTGAACGGTTCTGCGGGACAACGTGTCGGGGTGCGGTGGAAGCTACGATCAAAAAAGGCCGCGGTGAGAAGAGGCCGAGGAGGACCGGAACACGTTGCTGCAGGGTGGCAGACCTTCGCGCAACCGCGGTGTTTTGGCATCTGTCAGCGCCGGATGGGTGATACTACGCGGGCCCGCGCGGGAGGCTCTGGCCCTGGATGGACGCGCCTTCTGCGGTCGGGCGGCGTTGCGGGTGCACATGGGGGCGACGTGCAATGTCTCAAGCTCGGCGGGGAGAGGATCGCGCGCTGATAGATTGGTGGGCGCGGTGTTGAATAACGTTGGGGGCTCAAATAGAGTTGACAGACTGCCTGCGTACACTCGGCCTCGGAGTGCTCCTCGGTGCCCGGCCGACGCCGCACAGCATTGTACGTTGTGCACGTGATGGTCGTCCAGTCCTCGAGCCGAGCATCGCGTGCGCAGTGTTCGCCGTCCTGTGTGCCCTCTGCGCACCGCAGCGCATGAAAAAAGAGGCTTCGGACGACGGTGCGCCCCGAGAGCGCGACGGCGAGCGGGAGGGGCAGGATCGAGGGCGGATCCGCGTCGGCGAGGGCGCGGGACGGAGGCCGGGCGCTGGGCCGGACGGCGGCGTGCAGGGAGTGACGCGGGGTGTGACGGCATGGGGGATGGGAACGTGCGAAGGGGAAGGCGCCCTGACTCATCGCCTCCGTCCGCTCATTTCGATTTGGCAACAGGGGCGACTCCTCCTCCGACATATATTAGTCCTCCACCCGTCCCCATGCCCTCTCCACCCTCGCCTCCGCGTGAGCCCCCTCCCTATCGCCCCCTCCTCGCCCCTCCCTCGTCCGGCCCTCCTCGCTCTCCCGATCGTCGTGCCCGTCCCCGATCATCTTGCACCCGCTGAGCTCGGCTTTCTGCACCATGGCCTCCTCCTCCAGTGCGATCCAGTTTCCGCGTCTCGCGTCGGCCCCGGACATCTGGAACACCACGCCCGACGAGCTCCTCTACCTCCCCGCACGCCCGCAGAACACGCGCGACGGCCGCAAGCTCAAGCAGAGCAAGTCCGCGGAGAGCCTCACCCAGCGCAAGGACCGCGTCGAGTTCCTCCGTCGGAGAGAGTGGACGCGCAGAGTGTCGTCCGGCGGCGACCAGCCTGCCTCCATCCCCGTAAGTCCCTTCAAGTTCTTGTTCCCCATCCCGCCAAGCTGTGCCCGAGGCACGCGGACTCTCCCACGTCGAACAAGCAATGCTGACTCTGCGCGCCTGCCCCCTAGAAACGCGCCCGTACGTACTCCTGGGAGGACATCATCGCCGCAGCGGACGCCGCCGCCGCCTCGTGGGACTACCCCCCTCCCCAAGGCGGCTACGCGCGCCGCCCCGACACCATCGACGAACTGGACGAATCCGACGAGCCGTACGTCATCTACACCGCAAGCCCGCGCGCCGCCGCCGCCCCCGCCGCGTATACCCCGCAGCCCGCGGGCGGCGACGTGCTCTACAGCACGTCCCCCTCGCGCTCGCCGAACACCTCGCCCGCGCCCTCGACGTCGCCCGTGCGCGACCTCTCGCCCCCCGCCGTGTCCGCGGCCGCGGCGAACAACCCGTACTTCTCCCGGCGGGGCTGGCGCGGCCCGCACTCGCGGCACTCGTCGCTCTCATCGATATCGGAGGAGGACGAGGGGCTCGCGCGGTTCTGATCCCCCGCCCGCACATCCGATCTTGCCGCGGGCTCCCTCAATCACCTCCCCTCCGAAACTGAAACGTCCGGCCCCGGGCCCGGAGAGCGACGGAGCGACGGAGAGGAAGAGCACCCCTGCCCTGGCACCCCCCACGATCTGGCAGCCTGCACCCTCGGGAGGGAGGGGCGCGTCCCCCACCCGGTGCGCGTCTCGCACGGGCGTGTGTGCCCGCAGAGCGTGCCTGGCACGCCTCCCGCCTCATGCCCCCCCCCCTCCGCTCGGACTCACACATCCACCCGCTGATGATAATGAAGATGTTGTACATACCCCCTCTGTTGCGCTTTACCCCCCTTACCCCGACCCGGCGTGCTGAGTGCCGAGTGTGGTGCGGCCGGGTCGACTGTAAAGTACGATACGCGTAGACGAAAAGGCGGCGCCCGTCCGAGGCCCACGGCCAACGGGCGCGCGCGACTAATGTGTAGAGTAGGCCTGGCAGGGCTATCGATAGCTTATGGACTGTAGTACGCGCGAGGCGGCGCCGCGGCGGACGTAATGGATTGGCTGCGCCTCCCTTCCGACCGAGGGGGGGAGGTGCACGATGCTTTTCTTGCTCCATTTATTATGTGTGAGGTGTGTTGGTGCCTACAAGTTCGCGACATGAAGTCGAGCGTGTGCCTTGTACATAAATTGCTTGACATGACCCGTGCGCGTGCATATGTTCAGCTTCCCCTGGGCCTTGGTGCGGCAATATACAACGCCAAGCTCGCGAGGCAGACCCATGTGAACCGCACCGCGGCCATCAGACGTTCAGAATAAGTGTCGCGTTCGGGCGACCTAAGTACGCCGAGTCGAGTATCATCAAACAATAAGCACGGAGGCGTGCTAGCGTCCTGCCCGTGATGGCGAAGGCAAATGCCATTGCGTGCGCAGATCCCGGGCCCGCAGCGATACACACGCCCTTCCGCCGCTCAGTGATGGCAGACGTCGAGGTCGGGCTCAAACCATCTGACCCGCTGGGACTGCGACTTTCCGGCAGACTCTGGCAGCCGGCCCTCGGCGCCTCCTATATACCGGTGGCCAGATAGTAATGTAAGCGCCGTAAACGCCCTGATATGGTAATGCCTCCACTGGGCGCCTCGCGTTCATACTCCCGGCGAGAACACTGTAGTATCTACTCCTGGCTAGTTAGACTTCGTAAAACAAGCACAGTGGTGCTCGCAACCTCAAATTATAAGATTTATGCACATTTCTACAATATTTGGGACAGGTTTGAAGCCATAGAGAGGTACTAGTAGGAGTAAAACCTTACTACTAATCTTATTAACTTGTGAGGGATGCTATAACGGTGCTCATACTTGTACAGCTTCTATTTGAGAGTGATAATACTTTAAACATGTTTCTGAAGCAGTTTCTAGGGACGCGCGCGCGATAACAATGTTTGGGGGGGGGGCACGCGCATTGCGCACGAAGTCGCGCCTCGCGCGCCGCGCGTCGCGAGGTCGCAATTACCTCGTATACCTCGCGCGACCTCGCGCGAGCAACGCGGGCACTGCGCTCACCCTTATTGACGTTCAGGAGAGGATTATATACTCCCGCGCGCGTGCAGAATCTTTCTGATTATTATTTACTTGCATTTCCACCGCCCATAATGAGTTCAGTAGCGCCCGGTAGGAGGGCGCTTGATTACGGGTTTATCTCGACTTACCTGCCTCAAAAGGTAGGTGCCTCCTGTTATCTCCCTGGTTATCGCTCACGTGAGTCTGCCATCACAGTCTGGCGGACTCCGGCGGAGGATTGTCTCCCAGTGGGTCAGATGCTCTCGTCGGGCTGGGCTGGCAACGGTGGCGACGGCGAAGTCCGCTGGGTTCGGGTTCGGGCGAGATGCGGATGCGAGCCTCGAATCTGCGCAGCGCAGTTGCTAACTGGCAGCGGTCAATAGCGGGAAGGGGACACGCTTCTCAATCATAGCACTCAGCTGCGGGGGAAAAGGATGTGGAAGAAGATGAAGAGAGGAAGATTGGGGTGCGTACTACGATCTTCGGCGACTCCGAGGGTCCCCCCCCCCTAGCGCGTCTCCGGCCCATATCGACAGGGACAGGGCGCGCCGCGGAGCGCAGCCAGAGGGGCCGCACCAAGGCCCAAGAACTTCAAGAAGGTCGGGACCCCTCCGAGTCGCCGAATGCGTACCGGGCAGCGGTTGTATGCGCGTTGCGTTCGGACCCCAGATGCACGACTGAGATTCTAGATATCTCAGCTTGGCCGCGGGTGCATTGCGAGCCTCGAGAGGTTCGAGCTCAGCCTGTGGTGAAGTCATGGATGATGTCGGTGGTGGTGGTGGTGGTGGTGGTGGTGGTGCAGGCCTGGACGCAGTCGAGCCTAGGATGTCGTACACTCGTATGCTGTAGTGACCAGCGGCGTGCTACTGAATTGCACGCTCGGAAGTCAGCGGTCGAGGAAGCTGTAGCCACGACTTCCGAGCGGGACGCCTCGCACTTGGTCCAGGATCCCGGTGCCTCTCCGTAGCCAATCGCCCCAGGCAAACCTACGGAGCTCGGCGCGGTCAGTGAGTCGGAGGCACACGGAAGGCGTAGTGCTCACAGAATGATGCCCGGGAATAGGGCGGTCCGGCAAGCTACGACCTCGCCCAGAGCGCTACGGTGACAATGTGTTCAGTACGCTTCACCGACGGGGACCCGCGTCTGCCGTATACACATGGAGAAGTGCACATTACCAACCATCGTGTTCGCCTGGGAGGAGGATCCGGACGTCGATGAGACTGCTCTGTAGTGCTTTCCCGACACCATGGGAGTTCAGGAACTACTGCAATATGCGTGCACATGCGGCAGAGGCATACCCATGACTTGCGCGCAGGGAGGGAGAAGTGCCGTGTGCGGACGGCCGTGATTGAGAAAGTTGACACCAATATAATCAGGCGAGCACGAGGAGGCAAGGAACGCCAACGTGCGGCATGGTGATCTTGCTGCAAGAATGGTGAGCGTGTGTGAGTAACAGAGGGAAGACGTCGTACCTGGATCCGAACGTGTCAGTCCTCAAGGCCTCAAGCTTCACATGCACATCTATAAGCAAATCACGCGCAAAACCACAGGCAAGAAAAGGGAGAAAATGAAATTATCAGTGTATATCATACTGCCTATGCCGACTCGCAAGGGACCGCCTCCCTCGTCGACTGCCACCAGTGCTCGCCCCCACTCTTCAAAGAAACCTCTGGACCCCCGACCACGCCTTCTCGTCGACCTCATCCCACACATGGGTGGTATTCAGCTCGTCCCCATACGCAACGTGGAAGTCTCGGGTAGGCGGTCCGCACTCACCACGTCGCCATTTCTTCAGGCTCGTTGAGCAAGACGGCAGCTTGATGCAAATGGACGCCAGCGATCCAGAGGCCGCCGCGCTAGCTTGCACGAGACGTTCGGCGAAGCCGTTCAGGTCCACTTCGCGCAACACTAGCTCCAAGGGGGTTGGAGTCGCGCATATCGAGTTGGGGCCGCTAGGCAAGAAGCTGTCGCAGTCTAGAGTGAACCGGAATTCCTTCAGGCATCGAAGCGGAGCTACGATCCTGGATGCCACCGCGTTCTGTTCGTAGCGCAATCAGTCAACGCCCTCTCTGTTCAGCGACACAGCGACTTACGAGAATCCGTAGCGCATCGAGGTGCTCCTCGCCTTCATCCGCGATCACCTCGATGTGAAGCGTTTCCAGCCTCCTCGCACCCTGCTCGGCGAAGATCTCCAAGAACTCCTCGTCCCGGAACCAGTCTGTATTCCAGAACGCCAGGTCCAGATGGACGGGTCGAGCATCGTGCAGTACCTCCCCAAGCATATAAGGCTCGAACTCTCCGTCCCCGGCCTTGAGTTTCACCCAGTCGATACGGCACGAGATCCCGAGGCCGTACAGAACCTCTGGCGTGCCCTCGTAGTAGCGGAGCGCGCGCCATCTACCGTGCTCCAGCTGGTTGTCTTCGTTGCGATCGCGGCATATGTCGAACTCGTCGATATCAAACGGCTCCTGCTCAGGGTTAAAGCTGTGCGTGTCGAACTCCTGGAGGTTCGGAAAGGTGCGTGCAAGGTAACCCGTGACCGGACAATCGAGCCGGGTGACGTAGAGGGTGAGTGAGATGAGTTCGGGGAAGACGATGGCCTCCGCCTTGCTGTAATCATGGGCGCAGGTAATCAAGAGCTCCCTGAGCGAGTGGCGCGACCTGTGCAACAGAGCGATCAAGTCATCGTCGCCCTCGGTAATGGATTTATAAGGCTCAGCGATCAAGGTGTCCGCGTCGCCGTCTTCGTCTTCGCTTTCAACGACCTTCTCGTCTTCGTCTTCCGTGAAGGTCTGATACGGCAGCCGCAGATTGGCGTACACGAGCTCGGACCGCAAGTGTCGCAACAACCTCCTTGCGTGTGAACCAACGTTGTGCATGCACAGCGACTTGAGCGTCGGCAGCTTCGCGATAGCGTACGGGAGCTCGTAGTTTGAGCGCAGGACACTGTCGGCATAGTGCAACTTGAGCGAACGGAGCGCGCCTTTGGTGGCAAGCACCCGGAAGAGCTGAGCGAGACTGTAGCCTGTGTAGAAAGGGAGCGTGGTGGCGGAGATGGTGAGCGTGCGCAAGAGGCATAATCGGTAGTCGCCATCCGCGAACATGAACCTGACGAAGGAGTCGATTTGCTCGTTGTGCAGGGAGACGCCGTCCGCGAGGAGGTGCCGCGCGCCCGCGTGGTGAAAAAGGCGGCAGGTCTGCATGAGCGTACAGACCGTCTTGCGGTCCATGGTGCCGCAAAAGCCCATGATTTGAAGAAGGACGTCATCGTTGAGGAGTGGGCGGTTCATGTTTTGCAATCTCTCTATGAAAGGAAAACATTTCCAGTATCAGCCGAGGAAGCGACGAATTATACTGCAACTCACTTGTTTTCTGTCGGCTAGGAATGGCTCGCGAATGCGGGAAGATCGGGAGGGAGATCGCTACCCAAGCGAGGCGCAAATGTTCTGGGATTTAAACGCTGTCAGCGTGGAATGAACACTTTGTTAGGACCTTGTGCGCCAAAGCGTCCAGCGGTGGTCAAGGACCTGTCGACGTATATCACGCTCATGCGTGTTTATCACAAGACAAACAGGCTGAGACACAGGTGTTCTCGTGTGCGCGGGTTCAAGGCGAAAACGCTTGCGTATCACACGCTCGAAGGGCATGGTGCCGTAGTGAAGATAGCTCATTTGCCTTGATATGATATATTGGTTGCCTATGCTGTGATAATGGTGAGTAAAGGCTTATGGTAGAGGGAACACTTCGCACCTAGAACGTGGAAGTCTTCAACTTGAGGCGAATCACGCGCGAAGCCACGGGGTACATAAGTAAGAAGGTATCAACCATGAGAACTCAAACACCATTAACGTCGATCATAGCGTCGTCGTACTGCACCGACTTGATGATGATTCTCTCGACCCGCCGAACTATACCAGCTTCAACCGAAGGTAATCAGATGAACCTACGGACACCCGACCACGCCTTCTTGTCATCCTCGTCTCGCGGGTGAGTCGCGTTGACCATCGCATCATACGCGGAGTGAAACTCCCGGATTGGCGGCCCAAACACACCGCGACCGCCCCTCTTGGGTTTCTTGTAGGAAGTCGGCAGCTTGACTGAGACAGATACCAAAGACCCGGAGGCAGCCGCGCTGGCTTGCACGAGACGCTCTGCGAAGTCATCTCCATCCACTTTATGCAGCGCCCGCTTTAAGGACGTATTTCCATTTGATACGGGGCCGGGGCCATAGTACCCCAAGAAGTCGCACTCGATATCCAGCCAAAACTCCTTCAGGTAGCGCAGGGGGGCCACAATCCTAGACGTTACGGCGTCCTATTCGCGGTACATCAGTCGGAATTCATTTTATTTGCCACACTGCCACTTACAAGTATCCCCATCGCATCAAGGTGTTCCTCGCCGTCGGCGGCATATACACTGATCTCCAACGTTTCAAGCCTCTCGACGCCCTCTTCCTCGAAGATCTCCAGGAACTCCTCGTCTAGAAACGAAGAAACACCCCAGAACTCCAAGCACAGATGGACCGGTCGAGCTTCTTGCAACGCCTCCGAAAGCATGAAGGGGTCGAGCGCGCTATCCTCAGACTTGAGCTTCACCCAGTCGATGCGGCACTCAATCCCGAGGCTGAAGAGTGCCTCGAGCGTCCCGTCATAGTAGCGCAGCGTGCGCCACCTCTTACACTCCGCCTGGTTGTCCATGTTGTCGTCCCGACGGTCAGCGAAGTCTAAGATACCGAACGGTTTGTGATCCGGGTTGAAGGTGTATACCTCGAACTCCTTGAGGTTGGGGAACATGCATGAGAAGTAGCCCGTGACCGGCGCGTCGAGAAGGCCCGCGTGGAGGGTGAGCGAGGTCAGGTTGGGGAAGACGAGCGTCTGCGCCTGGCTGTAGTCGCTGGCGAACGTCATACGCAACTCCCTGAGCGACTGGCACGACTGGTGCAGCGCGGTGATCAGGTCGTCATCCCCCTGGCTAGGTCCATCGTTGTCAACGACTGCCGCGTCGGCGTCCTCGCGGTCTTCAATCTGGCCGTCATCGTCGCGTCCCATGAAAACCTGGTATGGCGTTCCCAGATTGGCGTACACAAGCTCAGACCGCAGGAGCTTCATCAACGTCCCCCCGTGCCGCCCACTCTGGTACATGCAGAGCGACTTCAGCTTTGGAAGCTCGGCGATCGCATACGGGAGCTCGGGGTGGGAGCGCAGAAGGCTTTCGGCGTCATCCAACTTGAGAGAGCAGAGGGCGCCCTTTCTGGCGAGCCGATGAAAGAGCTGTGCGAGGATATACCCCGTGAATAGCGGCAGCGTCGTGGCGGAGAGGGTGAGTGTGCGCAGGAGGGGAAACCGGTGGTCGCCGTCCGCGATCATGAATTGAATAAAGGATTCGACTTGCTCGTTGCAGAGGGAAACTCCGTCCACGAGGAGGTACCGCGCGCCCGCGTGGTGGAATAGGCGGCTCGTCCGTATGAGCGTACAGACTGTCTGGCGGTCCATGGTGTCGCAGAAGCTAATGATATGAAGCAACACATCGTCGTTGAGAAGTGGCTTATTCATGTCTACTTGCGAAAGAAGGGTGCTTCTACGTTAGTTGAAGAAGAGATAGATTACACTGGAACTCACTAGTTGTCGGAAGACTCCGAGTGGCTCGTGTGTACCGTGAGGAAGAGAGATGGAATCACGAGTGAACGTAGGCTTATATACTGGTCAGTACCAAATGAACTCTTTGTTGTGATATGCACGCTAGACATCTTAGCCGCAGCCAAGGTCGGCGCTGCGACTTGGTGTACGCAGGCAACTTGTGTTAATCACGGACCTTGGGAGGGAGGGGCATGACGCCGACTACTTGAACTAGAGATGAGCTTCTTCAATGTATTGAGAGCAAGTTCTCATAGGATATGCCCGAGCTCCCGGATGACCGTCGTAGGATGAATGCGCCGCGAACAACTCGGAAAAAGATGACACACCGTCTGCAGTCCGAGTCCACGTATTCGACACCCATCGCATAACGCGCTGTAACGCACAACGCCACTAGCACCGATGATCACGGCTTAGCCTTCTTCAGCCACCTGGTCCAAAGGACTTTATGCACCAGATATACCTTCAGCGGACTCTGCGGGCTCATATTGGAAGGCGACGAGTTGGGGAAGAGCTTCAAGATGGGGGAGCGAAGGTGAGTGTAGTAATCATAAAGCGCCCGTTCAGCGACCGCTGAGGCCTGAGGCCTCATGAGGAGGCGAAGGCGCCGCCGCGTAAGTAGAACTCAAGCTTCAGTACACTGGTGGGTCTGCTACCGTCTCCAACGATTTTGAGCAGGTCGCTATCCATCGCACTCGTCATCCTGATACTCCACATAGCACCGGGCGGGCTATATACATGACCCATCGGGCACACCGTTCAGTATATATATACACAACTAGGGACGAATGATGCTCCATAGGTGCGCAAGCTCCCGTCTCTCCTGAACCTCTATCCGCAAATCAACGCAGGGTAAGCTGCCCATCAAAGGAGCCTCCACGGCCAAACACACTGCTCATAGCCTCCGCAATGCACGGCGGTACCTTAAATGTGCACGGCTCGTCGTCTTCATGGAACAAGAGATCGCGTACATCTCTTCCGTATGGAATCTCAGGTGTGCGCACCGGACCAACCTGCGCCTTCTGGTTCCCGCGAGTCCGATGATTTAGCAATGACAGCGTGACCGACTTCGGAGGCCTCGGGTAGCGGTTGTAGCAGAGGTGTTGAGCCATGGAGTCGAGGTTCCAGCCTTCTGTCAGCTTCTCAACGAAGCGGAGGTTTGGTCTAGTTGTCGCCACAGAAAAACAGAGTGCGAAGGTGATGTCCAAGGACTCGAGCTGCGTCAAGGAAGCGGCAATCCGATCGATGAAGTCCTATCTATATATGAGCTTCAATGTTATGGGGAGAAGATGGTGAGGCGTATGCTTACCCATGCCTTCTTGGTGTCCAAGTTCTTTTCGAAGGGTCGAATATACAGCGTGAGACAGAGTGACAAGAGATGATCGCCCATCCCCGGAGCCACAAACAAAGAGAGGTAGTGTAGGTTGATGAGGGACGCGCCGGTGGACATGGATAGCTCTAGATGTAGCGGCCGCGCGTGTTGTAGAGCTACATTGAGTTTTGGGAGTTGAAAAATAGGGTGTTCGTCGTGCAACATCAGGCTTGGGATGTGGGATTGGATGGCGAGCACGAAGAGAGCCCTAGATGAGCCGCTGAACCGGCGCAGAGACGTCAATGTGCCAAAACGCCGCTGCTGCTCCTGATTGATAACGCGCTCCTCCGCGAGAGATTCGCCTGGAAGAATGTCGACGAAGAGCATGCGTAACTCGCGGAGGCTGGGGAAGCACCGCACCAGCTCCAACATCCGCGGGATGCGCCCGCGCCTGAGCGTAAGGGATGTGACGTTGGGAAATGGTACCTTGGGAGGCCAGCAGCCCGAGAACCCACTCAGGCTCATGCGCTGCATGGAATTGCGCGAACTGGACGACAGGGCCAGAGCAGGAAAACTCTCTTCCTCGTCCCAGAGTTCTTCGTTAACGGAGATATGGGCGCTGAGGAGACAAGAGGACAAGTTCTCGAGCATCAGAAAGCCTTGGGGTCCCACGGAGGTGATCTTGAGATGTTCAAGAGTCGAAAGCCGGGCGACCGTGTGGGGGAGCTCTTCCCATGAGCACAAGAGGTCCTCGCTGTATCTCACCGTCAAGGTGAGAAGGCGGCCGTGCGCGGCGAGGTTGCTGAAGAGTTTGTTGATCAACAATCCGGACCAGATAGAGTTGGTGGAATTTTTGGGGCTCCTCGCGAGGGTGAGATGACGGAGGAGAGAAAGACGAGAAGATGGGTCCGTGAGGATGAAGGCGTCGAAGGATTCTATGTGTGCGTCTGTCGTGAGGGAGACGCCATCCTGCAGGAGATACTCGACCCCCATCTTGTAAAATTCTTTGCGTGTTTGCATAAAGGCGCAGATAGTATTCGCATCCGCAAGGTGCATGATCTTCAGCAGAATGTTGACATTCAAGTAAGGCTCGGGGAGTTCCATCTAGGATGACACAGAATGAGCAGGCGCTCATGCCGACCATGTCATACTAGTGAGACTGGACGTACACTGCCGCGTAGTGATATCTAAGGACTGTTCAGTGCTCGAGAGTGAGAGAGTGTGCGAAGGACTATGAAAACGTACTTCGCCAACTGCAAATCTTATAAAGACTGGGGGAGCACCTCCCGCCACCCACGTCGACAACAGAGAAATCGCGTCGAGCTGATGGTACGCCTTATTCTTTGTTTTCGTTGTTTCTGGGACTGAATATGGATGAAGGCTGACAGACCAGACGAACAACAAACGCCCTGAACGGCGATTGCATTGGGTGGCGACGACCTTCGAGGGCCTCGCTGCAGCATGAACACAACATTGCTTGTAAAGCACGAGCTAAAAGATGCTGAAACATGGCTAGTCGTTGGTCGGATATGAGTGTCTTCATAAATGTCCTCTGTCCTACAGTTTGGTGAGTGTCGAGCGAGTGTGAAGACTATGTTATGGAGGAAGTTCCGAAAGCAACCTGGAGAGATGCGGCTATTAATTGCAAGGCGATATCGCCAAGCGCTAATCCTAGTCGTGTCGATCTTGGGCGTCTATGCAATATCGAATAATACAGCGCGAGGTACCAGAGCATCAGGTACACGATGAGCGTAGTGAGCACCATTCTATTTGCCAGGACATCGATAGAGTCAACAGTCCGTGTGTGCGGCAATGAATGGTCAAAATACGGCCCGGATGAGTTACTACGCAGCGAACTGCCTCACCGGGCTCTTCACCATCATCCAGCGCTAAGGCGATTCGCCTTCTCATTCTGCTACCGCGAGGACCATCTTGGACTCAAACTTGTTGGACAGCTCTTCCGCCTTCTCGCTGGACGACACGATATTCTGAACAGGCTACACCATCTGCGCGCCGCTTGATCTCATGTCCAGGCGAAGCTATGCTGGCTCTATGCACGAGAGACGGGCTTCCCGGTTTCGGGTGTCGGATGAGGAGCTCATGAAGTCCGTCGTTATATCTCTCCAATCTTCGTGCGCAGTACTCATGGAGATATGTAAAGCTTTGTGCTGAGGGTAGCGTGAGTCCACGATTCTAAGCCATGCACTTCGCCCCAGCACTAATCGCATAACCAGTCTACTGAGCTACGCGATGCAACCTAAACCTGCTGAGTCAACTCCTGCAGAACCTGAGCGCGAACGGGAGAGAGATTACTCCGCAAGGATACACGGCGCGCTCTCAAACTCGATCTTCTCGATAGGCGACCTCTTCCGCGATGGCCAGAAGGGCGTGCGCTTCCCGAAGGACCTGATCAAGGTGTTAGAGCAGAAGTTGCAGGACATCGCTATGGGCAGGGATCCTGCGTACGTTCAGTCCTGCGATTTCAGCCCGGAGGACAGCTAATCGTGATCACAGCTTTTCCGACCAGCTCATCCGGCGCACCATGGCCGTCTTCTACGGACAAGTCAAGGACGAGACGTTCCGGAGACAGATGAAGGAGAACCGGAAGATCGAGGAACTTATATTGATGTTCGCGACCAACGCAACCAACGTTCTCAAGAAGGAGCCGACGCTACAAGGAGACGGGTGGAAGGTTGAGCTGAACAACCACATCGCGCAGTTCGTCCGCCTTCTCCGCGACTGTCTTCGCCACATCAGCCACGTCTCGCCCGAGCTCACTGCCCGCCTGGAGATGTACATTACGAAACTTGCACCTGCCCAGCCGGCATACTCGGATTCCGGGTATGATTCTCCATCGACTTCGAACAGGGACTCTGTCGGATCCTCGAAGCGGGCCAGTATGCAGGCCAGTGATATGCCGCTGGTCCTGACCGCTGCGCGGTTATTCAAGCTGCCTGTGAATGTTGTACAAAAGGAGATCGAGGACATGGCCTCATATTGTACAGACAAGGTGCGTGTTTCTCTCTGACCGTGTCTGCACATCAACTAACTCCTCGCAGGCTGCGTTGAACGATCTCAAGGTATTTCTTGATATGACCATCTTCCAAGCACGGTACAATTGGTACTCATGATGCCCACAGACCTGCCTCAAGAACATCAACGCCGGCGCACCCTTCCCCTTCCGCCGAGAGGACTTTGACAGCGAAGCCGCGTGGCAGTACTGGCGAGCCCTCGAAACGTCGCATCTCTCGCAACTCATGGTCGCAATGGTCTCCTTCAAACCGGAACTCGCCAAATCAACACCCTCCGACGCCCAGTCGCCCACCCTGGCCAACGGCGCTCGTCCCGGGTCCTTGTACACCTCCGGTCGACCAGAGTCCGTATATTCTACCTCGGCAACACAGCGACATGCATCTATCAGCAGCCGCCACTCCGTTGCCTCTCTCGGACCGAGTACTGCCGATGACATGTTCGAAGGAGATGATGACATCCAGGTCGGCTTCCACTTCACGTTTATACCCCCTAACCCGCGGAAGTACTACAAGCGTCTCCTGGAGTACTGCATTACCGCCGACCTCGAGGCTATGTTGAGTCCTGCGGTGGGCGATGACGATGAGGTCTCACTCGGGATCCTGTCGGCGTCGCATATCGAGCTCATCAACGAGTGTGCGCTACGCTGGCGAATAGGACAGCCGTACCGCGTCGCGTGCTTCCTGGATATCGTGCGCCAGTTCTACGAGCGTAACGAAGTGCCATTGGAATGCGTTCCAGAGGCGCTTGCGAACATCACTCGTGTGACAACCGAGATCGAGTTGGAGAAGTGGCCCACACAAGACGTCGACTACCTCGCGCAAATCTATGGCGGTCTCTTCAGCACCTTCCTCTCGCAGCTATACCATTCTCTCGACGGCATCCCACATCTCAAGCAGTCCGACGTCGCGCCGTACTTGTCCGTTCTGGAGACAGTTCGGGAAAGCGGGCTATTGGAGCGATACGATGTCGATGTATCCGCACGACTGCAGGACATCCAAGTTCAGGTACGGGACGTGTCTGCACGATTCTACGGGCAGAAGATGCAAGAGCTGCAAGCGGCACCGGGGGTCAATCGTGCGCTGCCGATGCTCCTCATGACCGACGAGATCGAGAAGAACGCGAAGTTGCTCGACAAGCGCTTCCCAGAGCCTATTCTTGGGTGAGTTGACTGGAAATATGAAGCCGCGTTGGAAATCGCCAGCTACTGACGGGCGCGAAGCCACCTTGACATCGTCTCGCTGATGCTGGAGGTGCAAATACCACATTTCCTCATGGACTTGGACGACTCGAAGAAGCGACTATTCGAGGACTCGATGAACGGGCCGACACCAGACGTTCCGATTCAGGACGTGTTTGCGCTCTACCGCCGGACAAAGACCCTCCTTGGGATGTACAAGGCATTCTGTCCAAAGTACGTCTTTGTCAACTTTGCTTTATCCCGTTCTGACTTGCGGTGTGGTAGTGGGGAGATCCAGTTCGACCTCGGTGGATTCTTCGAGCCGTACGTGCGGCAGTGGCTGGTGAACACCGACAACAAGACGACGCAGTGGGTACAGGCGGCGATCGCAGCCGACAAAGTTTGTGCTACTGGCGTTCAGAACTTGACAGCGTACACTGACGAATGACCCAGTTCCAAGCAGAAGGCGAGGAAGGCCACAGCTCGTCAATCGTCGACCTGTTCGACTCGCTACGTAGTCCAATCCAGTTCTTGCAGGACTTGGAGTGGATCGACGAGTACCAAGAGGCGCGGTTCTTCACGAGTCTGTCCAAGGTATGGCACGTCCCAAACGCTACTGGGTGCGCTGCTCACCCGAATTGCAGACCATCAGTAAAGCCCTCAATCAATACTGCACCACCATCGAGGAGCTCTTCATGACGGAGATGTTCCCGCGCCCCACGGAGTACATCCAGCCGCAGAAGTCGTCCGCATGGCTCGAGAAGGCGAAGTCGCTCACGGACCGGAGCGAGAAGAAAATCGAGGCCTTCACGTTCCAGCCCGAGTCGTGCGTGAAGCTGAACAATATCGAGGCCGCGCGTCGCCTACTCGACAACATGTACGCGCAGATGGAGGCGGACAAGAAGATGGACGTGCTGGAGCAGAGCGCGCCTCCCGTCCCGGAGAAGGTTGACCGCGGCGACCGCTTCCTCTTCACCGTCAAGGTCGCAATCGCGGAGGGGCTCGTACCGCTGGACAGCAGCCCGTCGTCGAAGTTGGATACGTTCGTGACGCTCAGCGATGAGCAGGGCAACCGGCTAGCGAAGACGCGGACGATCTACGAGACGCTCAACCCTCGATGTAAGTTGATATCTCGTGCTGCTGCCTGCGCGCTTCGGCTAACGTAGGTCCTAGGGGACGAGTCGTTCGATCTCTCGGTCGAAAAGCCTTTGTGGATCATGATCAGCGTGCGCGATCGCGCATTGGTGGGCAAGCACGACACAGTGGGTCGTGCCTACCTCTGCCTGGACCCGAAGCGGTTCGGCGACTTCCTGACGCACGACCTGTGGATGGACATGGATACCCAGGGTCGCATCTTGCTCCGTGTCAGTATGGAGGGCGAGAAGGACGACCTGCAGTTCTACTTCGGACGTGCGTTCCGTTCGCTGAAGCGCGCCGAGAACGACATGGTTCGGGTGTTCATTGACAAGGCACGTCCCAGCCCGTAAGTACTACCCACACGTGAGAACTAACGCAACTGCTGTCGCCCATAGATGTCGCCATACATCCGGCAATGCTTATCAAGAATTGTGCTGAAGACGCTGATCAAGTCGACGCAGACTGGCGGGAGCATCGACTACAACAAGGCACTCGGCAACGTGACCGCGCTCTTCGGGTCTCTCGGGACCAAGGACGACGTGCAGATCCCGCTGCCGCAGGCGGAGAAGCCACGCATCAGGCCCGAGGCGCTGACGGACGTCGAGATCGAGCAGGCGATCGTGCCGCTCTTCGACTTCTTCGACGCGAACCTGTCGACGCTCAACACATACCTGAGCGAGGCGACGAAGGACATGGTCATGTCGCGCGTGTGGAAGGAGATCCTGAACGTCATTGAGGGCCTGCTCATCCCGCCACTGTCGGACGTGCAGAGCGAGATGAAGCCCTTGAGCGACAAAGAGGTCGACATCGTCTTCAAGTGGCTGAGGGTAACGTCGCTCGCTCCCCGAATGGCTCCGAGCGTTGCTGATTGTTGCGCATAGTTTTTGCGGGACTACTTCCACGCTGGTGGTGAGGGCCCAATATCTCTGGAGGCACTCCAGAACCAGAAGTATCGTGACGTGCTGTCTATTCGACTTTACTACGACTGGCATACGTGAGTCCGCTACCCTGTTTGCCTACGCGGAAGAGTCCCTGCTAACGGACTTGCTCAGCGATGCACTCATGGAGGAGTGCGTGCGTATGATGCAACACAGTTTACGTGCGTCACCCTCGGTCAAGAAACGTGCCAAGAGCGTGTATCAGCAGCGCAACCTCGGCACGATCAAGAACCGCAAGAAGGAGAAGGCGCAGGAGAAGGAAAAGGAGGTCAGCAACGGGGAGACCATCCTGAGAATCCTCCGCATGCGGTACGTCGTTGCGTACGTGCGCCTGCCTAACTACCACTGACAGCGCGCGACGCAGACCAAACACCTCGGACTTCATCGCGCAACAGCTGCAGGCGCTGAACAGCCTCGCGGCGGAGCGAGACGCGCACGCGAAGGAGGTCGAGAAGCGGAAGCTGCAGCGGCCGCGCCAACAACCGCAGGTGCCCCCCGTGCCCTCCATACCACCCGTGCCGGGACTGCCGCCCAAGTCCTCGTAGGCGCCATCTCTTTCGTGTTTATGAGTGTCTCTTTGTCGGGCAGATCCTTTGGCTTCCTGGGATGGATACCACGCATACTATACCTCTTGCCCACCTAGCTGCGCAGCTGACTCTCTTGCCCGTCTATGTTCCTTTTTCCTTATTACTGTGTTCGCTGCTTTGCCATGCAACTCACGTCTCCCTTGTATACTCGCTAATCTCCGAACAGTTGAGCCCCGGAATGCACTTACGACAACAGCGATGTATCTCGTGTGGTGTGCCCTTACACTAAGGCGACGCGGCTGACCATTAGGCATCGGTACCGGATTCAGGGATGACAATCCAACAAGCTATGAAACAACTTCAAACATGGGAATAAGTAGTAAGTCGCCTCATGTTCTACAAAGGCTATTCAGTGACATAAATAGCTTCTAGACATTGCATGCGTGCACATCGTGTGTGCCACGAGGGGCGTGTGTGCTATGCTTGAGTGAAGTCTGAACGAGGTCGCCTGCCAAAGAGGGACAGACCGTCGGCACCGTGATGGTGATGATGGGGTGCTCCGGCCTGATTGGTCGGAGGCCCCCATAAAGCCCATTCGCCGGGCGGTGTACGTCTTCTAGGGTCACACCGGACTGAGAGAGTTCACTTTCGGGCTACCCGACGGGGTGTGTACCAGGAGGTGGTCGTCGACTTGGGCAGGTTCCGCGGGCCCGCTCAAAGTCCGCCCATCTCCGACGGGGTTTGAACGGCCAGAACGGCCGGCTCCCCACGCGAGGATCCAAGATCACTGCCACCAGCCACCCCGCAAGACTCCGCCGCAGGCGCTTCCCACCGCCAAGTCCTCCGAAAGTAGGTTCGCAGACGGGCGCAGCCTCGTCACCTCCTCCGTCGCCGTTATATGGTAGTCGTCTTTCCTCCGCGGAGATTATTGAGGCTCACCTTTACAGGGTTTGCGAACCACAACTCTCCGACATGTCGCCTCGACTGTCGCAGACTCTCACCCTGCAGCATAATGACCGCATCTGCACATGTCAGAACAGCAATTCTCGCGCAGAGAGTGGCCAGGGACATACGGCGAGGCCCTCTGTGGAGCCACAGAAAGGAGCGTTAACGCATGGTGCGGGATATGTTTAGATTCACTCGGGATGTCCTGACACCGTCCAGCAGGCAACCAGCACCGGGCCAACAGGCCTTCGTGCATGTCAAGTTTTGCGAACACGGCATAGCGGTCCAATGAGGACGATCATGACTCGGGGCACATACGTCCCTGCTTTGTGGCGTAGAACGCATGTATGCTGCCGCTCCGGATTCACGAGTGGTGCTACGCTTTGAGGTACTGTCAACGTCTACTTATACGGCACCCGTCTCGGAGCCGGTTTGCCCACTCACCACAGCCATCCTACATCTCGCTACCATGGTTTCTGCAGGCGTTCTAATCTACTCTGGCTTCATGCCTCTAATCAAGACGTACGCCCTTTCGCCACTCGACTCTCACCTCCTGCTCACCTTTGTTTCTAGGTTTGCTGCGCTCATATGCGGCTACGTCCTAGTCAAAATGGACATGTTCCCACCAGCCGCTTCTCGCGGGCTGTCGATAATCAGCATGAACATTGCGCTCCCCGCGCTCATTTTTGCAAACATAGTGCCATCGTTCACGCCTCAGAATATCTCCGCGCTAGGACCCGTCATCTTAATCGCCTCGATTTACATGCTCAGCGGCTTCATCATGGGCATCATCATACGAGAAGTCTGCTACGTCCCGCGTAACTTCTGGCAGGGCATAGTGATCATGACGGGTATGAGCAATTGGGGCAACCTTCGTGAGTACCGGCTTGATCATTCTCTCACCTTCTAACGCAATCTTTGCCGCAGCAAATGCCATCGTGCTCTCGGTCATGCAACAGCCGCCATTCAACCCTCTTATTGACCCCGCTCGTACGTATCCAGTAGATATCTCGCCCACGTGGTGCTCATATTCTTGATAGTGGGCGTCTCATACGTGTCGATCTTCACTGTCTGCTACCACGTATGCTTCTGGGTCTGCGGTGGTGCCCATTCGCTTTCGTGGGACTATCTTCCGGGCGTCCCTCAGGGAGAGGATGCAGAGCGCCACGTCTCCTGGAAGGAAAAGCCCATTGGCGGCCTCATCGCACGCTACATCTTGCGCCTCCCTGCGACCCCGCCGCCTCCTCTGGTCATCGACTATGTCAAGAAAGACGAGGAGGACCCCTACTACGAAAAGGAGGCCAAGGTGTCAGTCGAGGTCTTGGACGCCCCCGTTTCAAATATCCCGAAGGTTGTGATAACCGACGAAACCGAGCCAGACTCGGACATCCAGCTCGCAAGACGGACATCGCGTAGGTCCGCAGTGTCGACGTTCCGGTCGAGGAAGCTTCCGGGCTCTGTTCCCCCGTCTCCCCTTCGCGTGACTATGCCATCTTCTCCCCTCCGGGTCACGATCCCTGCTTCATCCCTCAGGACATCAGTGCCGTCGTCTCCACTACGGGCCGGGCCTCCTCCACCTACCCCACTACGCACTGTAGTCGCGGCGAGCCCGACACACTCTTCCGCGTCCAGTGAGACTGTCGCCGAACCTACCAAAAACGCTGACCCGTCGTTCCCAAAGACAAAGCACTGGCTTCACACCATTTTTCATCCGCTCGCGGCGCTCGTGAAGCCAGTGACGATTGCCATCTCAGTCGCACTTCCGGTCGCTCTTATTACCCCACTGAAAGCTCTCTTTGTCGATGTATCCGCCCAGGGTGGGCCGACTTGGCACGGGCCTGACGGGCGTCCCCCGCTGGTCTTCGTCATGGACACTGGTGAGTCCCCATTGATACGGAAAGGCACGAATGCACGGTGATCATTTTGCCCAGCCCAATTCATCGACACCATCGTCGTTCCACTCGCACTCATCCTCCTTGGCGCGTCGTTCGCACGCATCAAGGTTCCGCACCCGCTCTCGCGCCTACCCATCATGGCGATGCTGCTTGTGACCGCGGCGAAGATGATCGTGCTCCCGGTTATGGGCGTGTTCATCGTCCAGGCGATGGTGCACCAGGGCCTCATTTCGGCCGACGCCAGGGCGGAGAAGTTCGTGGCAATGCTTTTAAGCGGCACGCCCGCAGCGGTGAAGTGAGTGTTCCTTGCGGACGTGTTCGCGCGAGCCTCGCACCGTCAGGCTGACTTTGCATGTGCGCGCATCAGCCAAATGATCGTGTCTTCCCTCCATGCACCCGACGGGAATGTGGACACCATGGCGGTACGTCATTTGCCGGCGGGCCATGTGGGCGGTAGCTGATGGAATGCTTAATTTCTGACAGGCCTTTTTCCTGATTCAATGTGAGTATCAGCTGCTTCGTACTCGCAAAGCTAACAACACTGACCTTCGTGCAGACGTGTTCATGATTATTGGGTCGTCGTGAGTAGCTTTGACTACTTCGCGTTTTTGCTGTGTGGACTCATCTTTGGCTACAGCGTGCTAACGACGATCTCACTTCTTCTCGCTTGAGGCCGTTTGGGGGTTTGAGGGGCGGAATATGCGGTCTTTCTCCGGTTCCTTATGATCTATGGCGCATGTTTATCGCGGTAAAACCCGCGCGGTCACTTGTTCTATGTTCCCATCGCTACTTGCGCTAGTATACTTCTTTAGACGTCATTGCCGGCGGCGCACATGTTTGCGGTGCCTTCACCGTTCGTACCTGCATACATAAAGCCGCGCCTCCCCGCCAAGAGTCGAGCGCGATCGTCTTGCTCGCTACACGCTCCTTTCTTGTCCATACCATGGAGTCCAAAGGCATCCGTATGCTCGCTGCATTCTTTGTGGGCTGTCTGTTCCTCTTAGTCACCGGCGTTACGGCATCTCCAGGTCTGCAGCTTCTTGTCCTTCGCACGGGTTAAGGTTCGCTGATACAACACTCACGCTGTTTGTTCAACGTTGCTCAGTCCCAGACGACACTGGTGGGTGTTGTCGTTGTATAGGCGACTCTTGGTACCGGGCTTTGTACTGATTGCGAGGGTCTAGCTGTAGTAGCACTCGCCGACGACGACATGCCGACCAATCTCCCCGCGCCGACGTACACCGGCCCGGTCCAAGGCAACGCCTCCATCGTTATTGACGCGCCGCTCGAGAAAGTGTGGGCCGCGGTAATCGACTTCCCTAGCTATCCTCAGTGGTACGTTCCATGTTGTATTTTTTGAGGACCGGGGATGACGGCTAATGTCGAATGGCTCTGTCGACAGGAACCCGTTTGTGTAGGTCTCGCTAGTTTCGAATTTCCGCTTTATGCGCTGAACGAACATCGCCCTTCTTGCAGACGTAGCCAGGTCGTGACGGACAAGGACAAGAACCCGCTCCCCGACCAGACTCCGGTGGAAGACGCGTACCTCGTCATGAAGGTCCACATCCCGCCGTCGCTCGACGACTCGATCCCGACGATCTCCGTGTTCGAGCAGATCACTCACGTCCAGCCGGACCTGCACCGCGTCGCCTGGAACAGCACGCTCCCGAGCTGGTTCGTGAAGGCCGAGCGCTGGCAGGCGGTGAGCGCGACTGAGGACGGCAAGACGCTGTACGAGTCGCGCGAGATCTTCGCGGGCTCGGGCGCGTACGCGATCAAACTGTTCATCTCTGGCGACCTGGAGAAGAGCTTCATCGCGCAGGCGGAGGGGCTGAAGGCGTATGTCGAGGGCCAGGCGTAGCGGTCGTTGTAGTGGAACGTTTGGACTATGGTACTAGGACCTCAGAGGGACGATTGTCAACGCGTACATAAAGCGTAAATCTACTAGCTGTCGGACCCTCCTGGATCACTCAGGTCAATGGCGTTTTGATGTGTCACAGTGTGCCTATGATTACCTTGAATATGTTTGTCGTAAAATCCATGGTCAGTTGTAAGCGTAGGATGAATATTTGGACGCACCAATGAAATGGTCGCGGCGCCCGACGCCGAAGAGGGATGATCGCGACCGTGCCACGAGGGAGACCAGCGCTAAGTGCTAATTTGGTGGTATACCGTATAGGACTTTCTGCATTCATGTCCTTGACTCCTTACCATCATCTCCGGATCCCCTATCGCCAACATCAATATTGTGAAGACTACATGGAAGACGGCATGAGAAATGGTAGAGATTCTGCAAAAGAGTCAAGGTGAGTTGGTTGTCGACTTACCCGCGACGCATCTCAACCCCATTGATCACGATGTTCAGCAGGGTTTCTTGTCTTGACGGAGATCGCCTACTAGGGCACCCGTTGGCACAAGCCGCTACTGGGATATATCTAAACAAGTCGTGCCAGGTCCTGCGACAGCCGTTGTTCCGTGCCAATGAAATTTGGTTGGTCAACTAATGTCATAGACACACAGATCTTCATCCGCGCGTATGCAACGCTTTGCCAAAGGTGAAAAGCGATGAATTAATCTGTGTAAATATATGTTGCTGATGGCTAGGAACTATGTGCAGAGTCGCCCCCACTCATACGCGTCAAGACCGCCGAGCGTTGTCAGCCACTCAGCTGTGAGTATATTACTCATATCACCTTGTTCCGGAAGTCATAACATGTCCCATACAGATGGACGGTGCACGTATAAACCTCGATATCCAGCTGATCATTCTGTCCGTCTCCGATAACGAGACCATATGTCAGCTCATGCGAACATGTCGCTCTCTCAATCACCACGGCGCGAAGGAACTCCTCAACAGAGGCGTAACTCTCGACGTCGAAGCCAAATCGGCGGTCCGATCCTTCATGCTATTCCTTGCGCGCGATATCCCCTACCGCCTTCGCCACTTTGACCACCTGGAACTGGTGCGGGACTGGGACTCTGGGGAGCCACGAGCGACAAGACTGGAAGTCGGGCGTCTGCTCCGCTCGCTCGTGCTGGCTCCCTTCGATCCCTGACCATTGAACAGGTCGAATGCATCTTGGACCTCGACGACGTTGATCTCGCGGGCGCCATGTCAATGGTAGGAACACTCAAATCCATCTATATGACCGACGTTGGCGAGCTTGGAGCGAAGATGCTCAAGGAATCGCGGTCCGCCCTTGACACTGCCGACATCAGCACGGATCTCTACAACGATGACATGTCCGATGAGGACGAAGACGATGATGGCGAAGACGAAGAAGAAGAAGAGTATGATGGAGAGACTACACCACCGCGCCTCGATAGCAGCAAGCTGACCCACGCCCTCCGTGGCTCTCGAAAGTCGTTGCACTCGCTGATTACGTATGGCTGCAGGTGGACGCATGACGGCCCCCGCTATCCACTTCTGGTCTACCTGGTTATTGCGGCCATCGACAAGCCTCGTACGCGTGACTACGTGTATATATCCCCCAACTTGCGACGCCTCTCGACTTTTGATTGTAACGACATGGACAATGGTTTCTCCTCTACTCTGGGCGCATATGAACAACTTCGAAGCAAGAACCAGCGCGAGCAGGCACGTTATGGGACTTGGTCTTCCCTATGGCAATACGACGGCCCGCTCTCGACGCTCTTCGCCCTCGCGCCCATGTGCCGTATCTATTCGCTTGATCTTGTACTGGAAGAGTCCGAGCCCGACGGAGTAGGCATGCTGCGCTCATGTGTCGATGACGCTTGGCCCCGACACATGCACTTATTATCCCACAGCGCACGGTGGCTGTTCAACGCCGACTTCCTGGCCACCTGGACTCGTCCAACCCTGCAATCTCTCCTCCATCTGCAGCTGGTGTTCTCGCTTCGCCCGAAGCATCGAAACGAGGAGGAGGCTGATCCCCCGATGGACTTCTCTCGTGCTCTGGTATGTGTGACACACTCTCCAATGCAATGCACCCTTTGCTGAAACCTTGTCCCAGGATAATGTCGTGATTTATATCGTATCGGCGATGCACTCGCTTCGCTCATTCTCATTGTCCTTGAATGCTGCACCGTACACCTCCCCGAAGCCCCCTGTCGCTACGTACCCGCTCGGTGCGCTGGAGCAGGCCTTGGAAGAGTGGGACATGGACGCGTTCGCGCGGCGTGTGCGCGCGGCTGGCGCGTCCGGGCCCCTCCAATCCGTCGCGCTCCATATATCCAAGCATCGGACGCGGGCCGAGGAGACCGTGCTGCTCGGCCCCGTGTACGCACTGCCAGGCTTGAAGGCGTCAGAGGAGGTTTTGCAGTCGACATACGGTCATTGACCATTCCCTCACTCTCCACTCTCATCGTTTCCATTCAATGGGACTGAACTTCTTTGGAACCTACTAGACTCGTCTTTCGGAGTTGCGATTGAACCGATGTCGGCAGAAGAACCATGTAAGTGGCGCGTCGCATCGTTATACGTGAGCAAATACCTTTCACCATCTCTCTTAACGCTCAACAAATTATGTCGAGGACAAGCGAGTACTGGTGAACGGGGACGGCTGTGTAGGTCTTTCTGATTGAATCATTCTCCCTCCGTTCAGGTCGATACGCAACGGACAGGAACCTGCTCGTCGACAAGACTCCGACTCGGAGGACGCGTATCTCGATGTCACTAGACGACGTGATCCTGACAATCAACATGTGCAAGGAGATCATCTACGCTCAGATGCCATTGTAACAGGCAAAGAGGGGATCGTGCTTTCAAGTTTATTGCGATTGTGCCATTTGGAGGGAGGCCACCAGCGCTCGAGTGGCAATGCCCGATCTCGACGTAACATGGGTCTCCTTGTCTTTCTTCCACCACATGCACCGCATTAAGGTCTACCTAGTACCCTCCCGCATGCCTTCATCTCCCTTGTACTCGCTCACTCACGCGACGGCTTATAGACTAGATGCGGCGCTATACAAAGGCCTTGTATTTGATGATGTCCGCGCCAACGCAGGCAAAATCCCTCCAACAAACATATATATTGCCCCTCCCATCAGGCTGGTTTTTCCCGCTACCTCATTTCGTACAGCTTCAAATCCGGACAGTGCCTCACAAACCTCCAATAGGGACCATCTTGGCGACGCATATTCATAGACGTCACTACAGTCATTTACCAAATTGTAAGTGTCTTCGAATCTAATCCCCAGAGTCCAATCTCATAACACGCAGCCCTAGATGACTCATCCACAACTCAACAACGACATTTTGCTGAGCATCGCGTCATTCGTGGACCATGGAACGCTGCGCTCCCTCATGGGAACATGTCCCTTACTTCTGGAATATGGTGCTAGACGTCTCCTCTCGAACGGCGCGTCTCTCGACGAAGATGACGCAAGAATTGGGTCTTTTATTTCCTTCATGCTCAAGGAAGGCCATTCAACGTACCGCATCAAGCTACTTCGGTCTCTGAAGTTATCAACGCCGTATCACCCTCATGCCCCGCGACCCCCTGCGTTCCCGGAGACTACCGGCATGGCGCTTGCGAGGCTGTTTCGGGCAATTGCTGCAGATGGCGACCTCCGCAACCTGTGCATCAATGGTGCTGAGCAGTTTCTGGGGCTACATCCTGACGTCTCTGCAGCCATCGCCCAGCTGACGAAGCTCGAGCTGTTAGAAATCACGAACGCCGGACTGCGCACTATCAACATGCTGAGGAGCCTACACTGCCCCTTGAACGAGGTCACAGTTTCGCTGCCGTCTCTGATGAACGAGGTAGACGGTGGGATTCTATCGCTCCAGGACAGGAATCTGATGTGGTACCTATACCCCTTCGCCGACACCCTGAAATACCTCTCCATGGCACGCTCTATAAGCGCACCCGACGGCCCAGTGTACCCCAGTGTCACCTATCTCAGTCTCTTTGCCGCAGAAATCCGGCATGTACATCATTACGTGCGGACATTCCCCAATCTGCGCATTCTATCCACCCAAGACTGTGCTGTTCGTATCCACGGGGCGGAATACGGACCACGGCGTGCGCGCAACATGTCCGAACAAGAAACTTTCGGGACGTGGACATCGCTCACGAGCTACTGTGGCTCCATCCTGACGCTGTACCTGCTGGCCATCCCGAAACACATCCCTAAGGTCGTGATCAAAGAAATCGATGCCGGACTGGATTCCGGGATGCTTCGCACGGTCCTGGGTGGTGCGCGTCCGCTGCAGCTGCAGATCACCATAGACGGCGCATTCTGGCTGCTCGACTCCGACTTCTGGTCGGTGTTCACGCACTACGGGGTCGGTGCGCTCCGACATCTCAAGCTCGTCGTCAAGGTGGACGCCCTTGATGAGGCGACGGACATCCCCGCAGCCTTAGTAAGTATGTCTATTAGGGCAGCTACAGAGTATATCCTGACCATGTCTGCAGGAGTCCGCGATCATGCATGTCATCAAGCCACTGCGAGTGACCCTAGTTGCCGTCACAGTCGAGCTCGATCTCTCCTGGTGCCCCGCCTTCAGCAAACGCGGACCTCACTCGCTCTCAGCCGACCCGGAGGTGATGCTGGATGGATGGGACATAGACGCCTACGCACATCGGATTCAAGACGAAATGGGCGTCGTGTCGGACGTGCTTCAGTCCGTCACCGTCGCCCTGTGTAATCATAGCACCCGGGAAGATTGCGAAGTCACTCTGGGTTCAGATGACCATCATTTCGACGATTCAGACGACGAATACTGGGGCAGTGACTCGGATGGCGAAGACTTGATGGACATTTAGGGCCAGCACCCTACGAGAGGTGGATATGATTATTGGTAGAGGGGCTCGGATTATCCTGCTACTGCTCAGTGTGTAGTACATACTTATATGGTATGTCGCGTTCATATTCTATCGAAGTTCTTTGGAGTTTGAAGCTACTACTTGTCCTCATTACAAGTGCTATGATCTCCCGGCATTTTCCGTGATATCAACATTTATCCGTATGATTGCGCGCAACTTCAACCCATTCGTCCTCCTACGACATGCCAGATACACCGGTGACCCTTGAGCTACATGCACATAAAATGCTGCTCTGCAATCTACGGCTACTGCAGCTTATGAGCTATCGCCCTCTAGACCTAGCTAGCGCCAATCATCACTGAAGTACGCGTGTTAGGCGAGTTCAAGGCTCCGAATCCGAGACGGCAGGCGACACCTTGCTTCTTGACCCCCACTGGCACAACCTGACGTGGATTGGCCGTCTTGCTCAAGCCTCGCGACTGGTCAGTGCTCCAAGTAGAGGACAGGGTGAGGAGATGGGTTTCTTCAAGGGGTGTAAGTAGTAGACTGACCGAACCGTCACAGTACTTGATCACTGGCAGTTTAAATTTGGCGACGCCCCTCCCCTGTGTCGAACTCCCCTGGCAAATATCGAAGACACGCAAGACCAGAACTCCTTGGTGTGAGTGAATGGTTAGATACTAGATTGATTTCTATGCCACGTCTCATCGTATTGATCTCTATGCACAGTCACGATGGCTGACGGCGCCCGACTCAATCACGATGTCCTACTGCAAATTCTGTCCTTCGCCGATCGGTACACTCTCTGCGTGCTCATGCGGACCTGCGGCTTCTTCAATCACCACGGACCAAAATACATCCTGCAAACCGGTGTTTCCCTAAGCACGGAACTCGCGAGGGACATCGCGTCCTTCATGCGCTTCATCGAGTCGCGCGACACACTCTACCGCCTCTCCCACATCCACACCTTGACGGTGTCGGCAGAGAAGACATACTATCAGGGGCCAGATGCAGCCACGAACGCGGCCCGATCCGGGAAGCTTCTCAACACACTGTTCCTCTTGCTTGCTCGTGCCGACAATCTTCGCGTTTTGGTTCTCGAGGAGACCGAGGGCGTTCTAGGGTTGCGCCCGGATCTCGCTGACTCCATCGCTATGTTGGGGTGCCTCACGACACTGCGTGCGACTACTCTCGGACGGCGCGGCGTGAAAATGCTCAAGGTATTGCGGTCCACCCTCACCCATGCGGACCTCACCATGGACTTTGACGAGACTGAGAAGGACACGAGGGATCATAACCTCAATGAGGAAGGAAGCTCCGACGACGAAGACACCATGCCTACACACCTTCTCCACGGCTCTCAGAAGTCTCTGCGTGAGCTGTCGATATCGTGTGCGAACGGGACGCAGCAAGGACCCCGTTACCCATGCATGGCTCGCCTTCATGTGCGATGCATTGACAAACCCCACACAAGCCATTACGTCCACCCATTCCCAAACCTGCAGCACTTCTCCACCTCAGACTGCAACTTGAGCCTCGTCGATTCGCTCCCCGTGGACCAATTCGAACGCCTTCGGCGCACGAACCAGCGTGAGCAGAGACTACATGGTACATGGTCCTCTCTGCGGAGCTTCTACGGTCCGGTCTCCACTCTCTATCTTCTTAGCCCCTCATGTCACATCCGGTCGCTGAAGGTCGACGATAGAGACGTGCGAAAAGAATCCTCGTATCCTTCTAAGACCCACATGCTACGCTCTGTTCTGGACGCTTGCCCGCAGCACCTGCACCTCAACTGGACGGGTGGCCGTTACCTCCTCGATGACGACTTCTTGTCCATCTGGAACCGACCGGTTCTGAGCTCCCTCGCCCACCTCCATCTTAGCGTAACGCTCGTGTCAGGCGAAGACGATGACAACAACATGGACCTAGTGCGCACTATGGTACGCACGCACGCCCATCTGTTCACGCTCCAGATACTCAGGCTCATGTCTTGCCACAGGACAACGTTGTCTCCCGCATCGTGGCACCGCTTGCTTCCCTTCGTTCGTTTTGGCTCACCCTACGCTGCTCCCCCATGATTCCGTCCCCCTTCGAATTGCTCTACAACAGGGACTCCAGGTACCCGCTTGTCCCCGTCGAGCGAGCGCTGGCAGAATGGGACGTGGACGCCTTCGCGCATCGCGTGCGCGCAGCCGGCGCCCCTGGGCCCCTCCAGTCCGTCATTCTCCACATGTCGGGACACCGGGCGCGGGACGAGCAGATCATCCGAGTCGGGCCTGTGTACGAACCTGACGACGCTTCTAGTGATGACGGGGACTTCATAGCCGAGGAGGCACGAGAGATGATAGAATTCAGTATTGAAAACCTTCGCGCTCTGGGGTAATGAGTCTGTTCCTTTTCCGAAGGAAGATTAAGCGAATTGCTTCTAATTCAAATCATCCTGCCAGTGTGGAAGAGATTCGGATAGATGGGAGTGCGTTCGCCAAGTAGCACTAGGAGCTGCCCTCAGGCCTCAGGCTCAGCCGCCGGAGCACTTCGACTTCTCTCGCTCTCGCTCTCGCCATCTGAAAAATTACATTCCGAAATTTCTAAACTACACCGCCTCAAAAGGCTCTCTGGGGGGCGGTTACGAGAAAAGGACTTGGACGCGGAAGTCTCAGATATCTAGCACTTGCCCAGCCCGCTCAGGCCTACTCCAGCCTACTCGTTTTAGCGCCCGTGAAATCATTTATGAACGCGCAAGAGGCGCGAACCAAACCCTTCCAAGCGACTTTCACGAGCTTCGACGACATCTGCTCTCTCATCGTTTAGCTCAATTAGCATTGCAAGGCTACCCCCATGGACTTAACATGCGGGGCTGCAAGCTCCCGAACCGCCCGGCATGGGGGTATATTCACCGTAAGCTTTAGCGAACTCCACTCGCACTTTGTCCCGAGCTCCAAGTACTGCTTAGCTTACTATGTGCATGCATTTAGCGAATCACGGCGAACCAAAGACCTTACCTCCATGACGACATTTTACTGCACATCCTCAACTTTGCCAGCAAGGATCTACTTCGCACTCTCACACAGACGTGCCGCATGCTCCATAGCCAAGGCGCAAGATACCTTCTCCGCGACGGCGTCTCCCTCGCAACCGACAAGCAAATCCTGTCGTTCATGCTCTTCATCGTCCACAACAGCGGAGGCGAGCGGCCGCGCATTCTGCGTCTCCGTGAGCTGACATTGTCAAGGGAACACCCCTCGCACGTCGAGCGACCAGGCTCCAATTCGGTGCCACCCTCTGAAGACCCCGGGATGTTGCTTCACGGGCTCTTCGTCGCGCTCGGGTCATTCAGTATTTTGACCAGATTGACAATATACGACTCTGAAGAGGTCCTGGGCTTGCATCCCGCGCTTCCGGAGGCCATCGCCGGGCTCCGCACGCTGTTACAGCTCAATGTCTCCTTCGTCGGGCCCCGCACTGTCCGGATGCTGAAGGCGCTCCGCTCCGCCCTATTCTGGGCCGACATCAGCATCGAATCCGAAGTCGAGCTCCCCCTCGAAGACAAGAACCCGATGTTGCTCCTGCACAGCTCCCGGGACTCCTTGCGGGGGCTCTCCGCGACCTTCTCCGTCAGCACGCCCGACAGCCCTCAGTACCCGCTGCTCACGACCCTCCGGCTCAGCTACACCGACGCCCTGCGAACGCAGCACTACGCCCATGCGTTCCCGCATCTACGCACCCTCACGACCTGGGACTGCTGCGGATGGGACCACGACGAAAGCATCGAAGAGCTGCGCATCCAGAACCAGTCTGAGCAGGAGCGCCTCGGGACGTGGCCTGCGCTGGAGAGCTACCAGGGCACCATCATGAACCTTTATCTGCTCGGGATTCGCTGTCCCATCCGCACGGTCGCACTCAGCCACTTCGAGGACGAGCTCGAGCCGGAAATGCTGCACGCGGTGCTGGGGGACGCGCGCCCGCGGCGGCTGCAGCTCCGCATCGAGGGCGGGTACTGGCTGGTCGCCCCTGAGTTCTTGGAGACGTTCACGCGAGCGGGCGTCGAGGCGCTCAGGCGGTTCGAGCTCATCGTCCAGCTGGAAGAGGCTGATCGCACTATGTGTGTTTACACTACTTTGGTGAGTCCACGTCTTTTTCTTTTCGGCGCTCTGGCAGGCAATGTTCATGTCATCTCGCAGGACTCGATTTTACTGAGCATTGTTCGCCCGCTGAAGGACCTTGTCTCGTTCAAGCTATGCTTCGACTGCTCGTCTATCAAACGCGACGGATACGGAATGAAGACACGCCAAAATGATCCGCTTGAGCGGCATGAACAGGATTTGGCAGACTGGGACATCGACGACTACGCGCATCGCATAGAATACGAGGCCAGCACAAAGATCCAGTCGATTTCTGTGTCTTTGAAGGGGCATCGCACACGGGCTGCCGAGACGGTCACGCTTGGCGCGAAATGGTCGATCAAAGACAACTCAAGCGACGACGAAGACGACGGAGGCAAACACAGCACCAATCAAATGTAGTGTCGTCCTTCAAGCACCGAGCGAAGACTCTCTACAATCATTGCTTCCGACATAGATTCATCGTATGTTATTATATCTCCTAATCTACTTTTTCACGATTTGGGGTACTGGTTGCTTTCGCATTGTTGGTTTGAGGCAGGTGGTGCGAGCGGACGTCAGATGGGTGAGTAGATCACCTTCAAGACCTCTTTTAGAATACACGTTGTTGAGATTCTTGACAGGGGAGCACGCGAGAGTTGCTTAACGTCGGTGCTGCAAGAGGCGTCCGGTTCTCGACATCTGTATCTGGGATGTTGACTACTTACACGACACCGGTGCAGCGCTCGACACGTTGGGCGGGCTGCACCTCGCGCTCTACCATGCCGCATGCGTGCAAGCGAACTCGTTGCATGCACGCGCGCATCGTCGCGTCGAGCGCTTTCAAGAGGTTTGATTGCACTGGCAGTAGTGCCCTCATCGTCGGCTCAAATGAGGGCGTGTAACGAAAGCATGATGCCGCCCGACGCTGCACTGCCGCTGTCCGGGTGCGGACGTGTCAGCACGTAGCGAGGCGCTGGCGGATTTGCAGGAATTGGACTTTCTGAACACAGTACTGCCCTCACGCTGATCAGGTGAGCCGCTGCATATCGTGCATGGCAACAGAGACGTATGGACAACAAAGCTTGCGTATGCCAACGCTTCACGCAGCTTCCGTGGGCGTTTCGTATGAACATGTCCGCGCTGCCTGTGGCAAAGCTGTCATCAACCAACATACGTGGCGACGTACTTACTACTAGAGGCGTCAGGTATGTGACATTTTCCTAGACTCAATGCACTTGCGAGGTCCCCTTCTGATGATGCCTATGCAAAAGACCATCAGGTTGCAAATGTAAGGTGGTTTGGTATTTCTACGCGTGCGGTGCTAATCACAAAAGTCGTCAGCCGACTCCCCCGGAGGTCCCAGTCGAACTGCTCACGCAGGGGTGCCGCTCAACATTTGTAAACGTCCACTGGCGACGCTCAAGCACAGCACCAAAAAACGGCCTGATCGGTTAATGCATGCCCGATCAGACCAGGGCGCGTTGAAAGACATTGGAGGCAGTTCTGCTCAAGATGAGACCTATCAACGAGTGGCATCCCGGCGATGTTGACGCTCACAGCAACCCGCTGTACGCCGTCCGTCATCTACGTCTCGGGCCCAGGAGCGCCAATGGCAACATGTCCCGAGTATAAAGAGAAGGCCCCGACGGCAGTGGATCCTCACCCCGCTCGGTCGGTACTTCGTCTTCTACTCCTCCGCCCCCCTTTACACTTCGCTTTCACTCTACTTCACCCTCTGGTTTAGGGATGTTCTCCACGTCTTTCTCGCGTCTTTTCACTCTTTGCTCGGCGCTGGCTGCCCTGAGTGTCGGCTACGCCGCGCCCCACGCCCGCCGTGCCAACCAAATCCCCCCGGGTCCCAAGTTCGTTGTGTACACCGACGCTGCGATCGACGGCGGCGTCCTGCCGCCGCTCGACCAGATCGCTGGTTTCAATGTCATGTGAGTGCCCCCCACACTCCCAGTATACACATGTGAAGACACTGAACACCGTTCGCACAGCAACCTCGCCTTCCTCCTGACGAGCGGCCCAGCCGACCAGGCCGCGAACTGGGCCGCGCTCCCCGCGGACCAGCGCGCGACGCTCAAGGAGCAGTACAACTCCTTGGGCGTGTCGCTCGTGGTGTCCGCATTCGGCGAGACGGAGCACCCGACCTCGCAGGACCCGACGACGGTCGCGAACAACCTCGCGCAGTTCGTGCTGAACACAAACCTGGACGGGATCGACATCGACTACGAGGAGTTCGAGCTCGTCACCGCACAGCCCGGTGTTGGGGAGGCGTGGCTCACGACGTTGACGCAGGTCCTGCGCCAGCAGTTGCCGCAGGGGCAGTTTATCCTGAGTCATGCTCGTGAGTGTTGTTGTCGTACGTGGGGTTTCTTCAGGAGGACTGACCATGTGCGATAGCTGTTGGCCCCTGGTTCTCGCCCGGCTTCTGCCCAGGGGGTTGCTATCTCACGGTCGACAAGAACGTCGGTGCCCTCATCGATTGGGTACGTAAAAGTCTTCGCTGTGTCATTGCTCTCCGTACTGACCATTCGGCACTCGCAGTACAACATTCAGTTCTACAACCGTGAGTCCTCTACATCGAACGTTGCAAATACACTGCCCTAACATGCCGTCCATAGAATCGCCCTCGCCCGGGTACGACGACTGCGACACCCTCCTGAACAGCACGCCCTCCTCCATCTTCGCCATCCAGAAGTCGGGCGTCGACGTGAACAAGCTCGTCATCGGCAAGCCGGGCACCACGGCCGACATCACCAACGGCGGCTTCATCGACCCCGCGACGCTCAACCAGTGCATCCAGACCGCCATCGCGGGCGGCTGGCTCGCCGGCGTCATGGCGTTCCAGTTCCCCCACGCGGACACCACCTGGGTCAAGACCGTCCAGGGCACCGCCTTCCCTTGAGCAGACATACGCGCGAGAAATGACGGACGCGGGCCTGCCGGTAGACCTTGCGGGCTCCTGTACGAGAATATGTAGTAGTGCTTCATTTACGACCCTGACGATCACGAACTGTATTGGTACGAGTAGGAGTAGTCACGAGTAACGAAGCCAGCCTTTTTGCGGGCGCATGCATATGTTCTGGTGTGTGGTGCACTGTGCTGCGATCCTAGAGGAACCTTCGGGCTTTCGTGCATGCTACAAAAAGGTGGCGCATATGAGTGAGCATGTTTCCGAGGCCACAGTGTCAGAAATGTATGACAAGGTCTCTACGCTCGCTGCTTGAAGTACAGCCCTACATTTAAGAACTGTCTTCGCTGCCGTCTTCATCGTCGCTGGGGTCGTCATCGAGAGACCACGTCGCGCCGACCGTGACTGTCTCGAGACTCCGTGTGCGATGACCCTCGACGGATATGCTGATTGACTGGAGCTTCGCGGCCGCGCTGAGCTCCTGTTGCATGCAGTGTGCGAATTCGTCGATATCCCACCCTACCAGGTCCTCTTCGACCGGCTCAAGTGGAACTTCCTCGACCGACCCCGCTCCCCAAGCCACGTACTTGATAGACGAGCAGTCCAGGCACAGTCTGAACGCGACGAGGTCCTGTAGCGGCCCGACGATGCGCGATGTCAGCACGGCCGGGTCCTGCGACACAATATGAACACTGCACGACGATTTCTGCACAAGAGAAGGGTGTACTCGCCAGAGTAGCGGAAACGTCCATGTCGCGGTCATTCTTGTTTAGAGTGACGAGGAGTTCGAGTCGCTCGAGCGCCTCGACACCGGGGTGCGCGAACGTCGCCAAGAAGTCGGGATCGACCAGCCACTGCCCGCCCTCGACGCGGAGCTGCAGCCGCCGCGGGCGCGCGTCGCCCAGCACCACGCGGAGCACGGCCGGATCCAGCGTCTCCTCCTCATGGTCGAGCTCCATCGTGCCGACGGGGCAGCGGAGCCCGAGCAGGTACAGGTTTGTCACCGACCCGCGGTAGCTGTCCAGCGAGGGCCACGCCCCGAGGCGGTCCTGCTCGTCCTGGTTCTGGGCGCGCCGCACGTCGTAGTCCTCGTCGTTGCCCCACCCACAGCAGTAGTCGGTGTTAAGAGCGCGCAGGGCCGGGAAGGCGCGGACGTAGTGTTGCGTGCGCGGGATATCGGTGTAGCTGAGGTTCACGACGGTGACGAGCGGGAATATTGGACTGTCGGATGCGCTGACGGAGAAACTCGCGGTCAGCCGCCGCAGGGTGCCCTGGCAGCCGTGCAGGAGCCACATCGGGTTTTGGTCCTCGAGGGAGAGCTCGCTCTCGTTGTCCCGCGCTTCGGACTCGATGGTGATGTCGGCGTAGAAGAGCGTGGAGCGGAGCGCCTTTAGCATCCTGACCGTATGTATCCCCGCGAAGGAGACGGTGAGCTGGATGAGCGTGCGGAGCCCGGCGATGGCCTCCGGGAGGTCGGGATGCAAGCCCAGGACCTCCTCGGAGTCGTAGATGGTCAACCGGAGCAGGCAGCCAAACGAGGCAATGGCCTTGAAGAATCCATGGAGGAATATCCCGGCGGTTTCTTCCTGCAATGGCACTAGGTCGGAATTCGGTGCGTCTTCGATACATCGCTGTCTTGACAAAGTCAGCTCGCGGAGAAGCAGAACGCGCGGCCGCTCCTCGTCGCCGCTGTTGCCCACAATGAAGAACATGAACGACATGATTTGTTTGTCGGTCGCGAGGAAGACGCCGTCCTGGAGGAGGTAGTGTGTGCCGTGTTTGTGGAACATGCGGCACGTCTGCATGAGAGTGCCGATTGTGCCTTTGCTGGCGAAGTGGAGGATGTGCAATAGAATGTCGTCGTAGAGGTACGGACTCTGGCCCGCCATGGTCTGTTGCACGCATGGTAAGATATCGTAGATTTACACAGGACGTGGCAGAGACTGAAGACAACTCCTCGAAACTTACGGATGGCGTAGCTTGATGACTCGGAGGACTCAGTGTTGACGGGGCTCGCAGTTTCACACTGGCAGCTGGCCAGCAGTAGCAAGACGACAAACAATGAACCTTGGAAAGCGGTCCTGAGTGGCACAAGCCCACGAACAAACGAACGTAAGGGCCTGAGTGGCGCTGTGTCGGGCAATCGACGTGACACTGACAAAGCTATTTTCGGGGCTCCCTCTTGACTCGGCCATACTTGAAGGTGGATGCGACCGTTCGGACAGTAGAAGCACTGTTCGCGGTCGGCGAAGGGGCCGGTGTATGCGTGGCAACTGTTGGGACACATGTCGGTCTCAATGGGGGACACGCTGGTGAGCTCGGCGACAAGTTTCTTGACTTGTTCGAACGTCGGTATGCTGTCCTGGATCTCGGGAAAGCGCTCCGTGGCCGAGAATCGATTCTTCCGGTAATCCTTGTCGGAGTGGCCATTTTCGAGGAACAGACGCAGGGCATATCGGAGGTCGTGATTCACCGGGTCGGAGAGATCGGGGATCGTGCGCGGGAGGTTGCGCATGCGCGCGATCATATCGGCGTCGAGTCCCGACTTTTCGTGGGTCGCTGTCTTGAGCAGCTCAAGGAACTCCTGCTGGAGACGGAGGTCGGCCAGTCGCGCGACGGGGGGAGCTCCGGTGTTCTCGTGTCTGCCGTATTCTGGATCGTCCTCCTCCGGGGGCATTTGGCCGGCCGCCGGGTCAGGAATAGGTTCCGGAATGATGTGTTCCTCGTCGTGAAAGGGGAAGGGTGGGTCCGGCGGCGGACCATCCGGCTCCCCTCCTGGGCCGCCTGCGAGAGGTTCCTGTGTGGGGGAACGACTCGGAATCTAGATGCTCGTGTCAGTTCCTGGGTAGCGATACGGAACATGTGCTGTATGTGTACCGGGTCATCGAGTCTGGGCACATCTGCATCAACGTTCGGTCCGGGGGGGTCTCCCTGTGGTTCTAGCGTGAGTATATGCGCGCGAATAAGAAGCATATACGCACCTCTGGCGGCTGCAATACGTCGGCAACGCGTCTGCGCTTCTCGCGCACTGGCGGTGGCGCGGGAGAGACCTCTCCGCGCGGACGGCGTACACCCGCCCTCGCTTGCTGGGGGGCGCTGGCTACGTGGTCGAGGAATCTGAAAGTGTCCTCTTGGCGGAATGGCGCGTGTGCGTGGTAGGTAGACTCGGAAACCGGCTTGAGGCGACCGCCGCAAGCCTTCTGACAGTCACACTGATGCGCGCTCGAGTTGCTGGCGCTTCCTTGTCCGTTGCGAGCGTCCATGTCGTGGGAGAGCGGGAAGGGCGCTGCGGGAGGAGCGGAGGGCGGGAGGAGCAGAGGGCGGGAGGAGGATAACGTGGGGAGAGGCAAAGGTGATTCACGCAGGTTGTAGAAAAAGTCGACATGATATTGGTCTGTCTACAAGGCTACACTATGTCGACCGAGATCGCGAACCTACGTAGAATGGGTGGCCGGAATTCGTCGAAGTCGACCGAGTGTCGACAGGTGTCGACACTCGTCGACAGAGACATTGTGAATGCGGCGTGGGAATCTGGCGTCTGGATGCCCTCATCCGATTAACTCGGATTTGAAACGCTCCCTTACGATTCCTCCCGCCTCCATACGATCTTAATCGGGGGGGGGGGTTTTCACTGGGGTTGAGTATCCAGCAAGCATGGGATGGCACTATGCGCATCTCGGGCGCTGCGATATTCACGTTTCCTGATGCAGACCCCGGTCAATCACGCACATACTGTGGGCATTATCAACACATGTGATTGTGTATGCATTCAAGTGATAGTAATAGCAAGTACTATACAGAAAGCGAGGGAATATGGATAACTTGAAGCGTTCGATGCCGCTACTATCGTACATCGACCAGAGTTCTCAAAGCTTAAAACATATCATACGCGCGGAACTCATCCCAACTCCTGTCCACCAGCGGCGAAGCACCACGCTTCGCTTCATGAGTCTGCTCAGCCTCCTTCACCGCGTCATGCAGACCCGCCAGTGGGGGTCCCACAACGACAAGCGGCGTGTGCGCCCCCGGCGGGGGCGTGTGCACCTCCTGTGGCTCGACCTCCGTTTCCATCTCCGCGTCCGCAGACTCGACGTCGTCACTCAGCGACGGAGACGACGCCCGGTCAGGCTCGGAGACGACGGTCGACGTCTCCTCTGTCTCCGCCTCTTCAACGATGGCGATGGCGATAGGGGCTTCGGAGGATGTGGACTCGGAGACTTCTGTGGGGTCTGCGAGCTCCGTGCGCGAAGGCGGTTCGACGTCGATGTCCACGACAGGCGCAGGCTCCTCAGGCTCGGCGTCCGCGTCTGGGATGTCGATCTCGGGCGTGGGAGGCTGCTCGGAGTTTGCTGGGGATGGTTGGGGATCGGATGTGGGGGTGTCGGCGGGGGTTGGAGTGGGCTCGTGGGCTTCAGCTGAGATGAGAATGTGGGGAGTGGCGACGGTGGGCTCGGGCTCGACCTCCATCGGGGCGGGCTCGGCCGTGGCCACGGTAAAGGCAAGAGTAGGTGCTGCGTCCACAGGCGCAGACTCCGAAGAAGCCTCGACTTGCATCGCCGGTTCCTCCGGCGCAGGCTCGGACGGCGTGACTTCTGCCGCCTCAGTAGGCGCAGACGGCACCTCGGTTTCAGCCACGGACGGCTGCTCCCGTGCCTTCTCGCGCCCGGTCCACCAGTCCCAGACGACCCCGCGCCAGCGCTCGACGCGCTCCGCCTCCCGCTCGACCATCCGCGCCAGCTCGCGCCGCGCCGCGCGCACGCCCGCATCGCCGCGGCTCTCGACCGCGTCGAGCGCGCTGAGGATGCGGCTCAACTCCTCCTCGTACGCGTGCAGCGGCGCGTTCGTCGGGGTGTACGCGAGCTTCGGCACGTGTGCGAATGGGTCCTCGTCGGTCGTGGAAAGGGCAGGCGACGGAAGGGCGACGACGGGGTCGACGGTGACGGTTACATGCGCGCGCGTCTCGGTGCCGTCCGCAGCACGCACGGGGGTCTCGTAGTCGAGCGTCGTCGGCAGCGCGAACGCGGCCTTGGCGGCGAGGAAGCGTGTGCGGAGGGTCGAGATGGACTTGAGCGCGTGTGTGCGCGCGGCGTGTGCGCGGTACGCTTCTTGGATCTTCTCTGCGGCGGACACTTGCTCAGGCGTCGGGTTGGTGAGGGGTGCGAGCCCGGGCTCGCGCTTCTGCTTCTCCGCGGCGGGGACTTCGGCTTGGGCGGGCTTCGGGGATAGGATGGGGATGGTGGTGGCAGGGACTGGGGTGGGAGAGTGCGCTTTAGGGTGAGGGGTGTCCGCGAAGGTGTAGGTTGGGGACGTGGAGGGCTGGTCGGACTTGGTGGTTCGGATGGGGCTGCGTGGTGCAACGCTCGCCCGGCGGGGGTTGGGGGACGTGGTATGGGCGCGCATGCTGCGACCGTTCCGCGCGTCGCGACTCTGTCTCTCCTGTAGCGGATCGTCAGCCATCTGGGCAGATGCGCGATCAATGCAGCCGAAACTTACCTGCTCCGAGTCCGAGTCAATCCCAGCAGGCACGAAGCCAAGCGCGCGCAAAAGAGACTGGAGGGAATCCTGCTGCGGCCTCAAGGGGGCGCGCTCGCGCTCACGCCGAGCGGCCTCCTCCTCGAGCATCGCGCGCCGGAGCTTCTCCTCCTCGATCGCGCGCCTCAGCTTCTCCTCTTCAAGTACCCTCCGCGCGCGCTCCTCCTCGAGCATCCGGCGGCGCTCCGCTTCTTCGCGCTGGCGTTCCTCCAGGAGGACACGGCGGAGACGCTCCTCCTCCTGCCGCCGGCGCTCCCTCTCCAGCTCCAGCACCTCGCGGCGCTGCTGCTCCTCGAGCATCTCCCGCCTCCGCTGCTCCTCCAGCAGTGCGCGCTGCTGGCGCGCGTTCACCCCATACGGCCCAGTGGAGAACGGGGACGGGGACGCGAAGCCGTACGGCTGGTAGCTGGCGCTGAGGGGGCGCTGCTGCGGGTAGTATGCACCCCCATCGAGGTCCATGTCGAGGTCGAGCGGGCTGTACTCGTCATCGTGGAAGGAGCTGTACGGGGCGGCGTAGGCTCGGCGGGCGGCGCGGGCGCGGGCGGCGCGCTGGCGGGCCTCTTCCTGTGCGCGTTGGGCGGCGACGAACTGCTCGCGGGCGGCGCGCTCTTCTGCGAGGGCGCGGTAGTAGTCGGAGTCGGAGGAGGGGGAAGGGTAGGAGGGGGCGTAGGAGGCTTGGGGATAGTAGAAGGGGTACATCGTGTTTGTGATTTGTGTTAGGATGTGTGGATGTTAGTGTTGGTGGGGAAGCGTGAGTGCAGAGCGGGGGTGTATATACGTTTACTGCGTACCTCGCCAGTTGAACCTCCTCCATTCGAGATATTTCTCCTGGCCGGATGGGTTCGAGAAGGGTCGTAGGCGGGGGCGAGAGAGGTGGGGTCAGCTGGAAAGTTCTGGACAACTCCTAACCCCAGGCTAGGGCTTCTTTGTGCTTCTGTGCACCCCGCCCTGCCGTAAGTGGAAGGTACATACAGCCGGCCTACTACCACCGCTCGCGGCGACGCCAGGACCCCACCACTTTCTCCTTGACACTGCCATGACTTACGGTGCCCTCATCCTCGTCATCGTGGACATCAGGGTTCACGTCCTCTTGCGGGAGGCTGCAATCTTGGCCGGGGAGCGAGATGGTGGGGGTAGTGGACGAAGAAGAGGATGGGGGAAAGTTGTAGGCACCGAGACTTTATAGAGGTCCGGAAAGAAGGCGACACAAGTCGAGGACGCGTCAAGGATCGCGCATACGTCATTGGACTTGGGGCGCGATCGCCGACGCGATGCGACGCGTCCGTCCCATTTGGCCGGCGCTTATTCTGCTTGCACTATGTCTCGGCGCTTGAAGCTCGGCCTTTGTATCTCGTGGCGACTCTTGTTGGCTGGGAGCCGAGCCTTTACTACTGGCCTTGGACGACGATGACAATGGCGCACCCGGCAGTGCACAGCCTGAGGGAGCATATAACCAGGGCGGCGAGGTCAGCGAGGTCGTCGTGGTGAGTGACGAAGAGGAGGCGGAGCTGGTGCGCTTGCGGTCCGGGGATGGCCACAATATGAGATGAAACACAGGACAAGGTGACCGCTGAGGGTGAGTTTGTGCACCTTTTAGGACGACAGTGGGCATGACGGCGACGCACGCATACAAAGCCGAACCAAGACACCGCTAGTCAATGGGGTTTCGCAGTACTTAATCACGTCTTGACTTCGTAGTAGCGAAGAGATCAGCGACCAATAATGTAACAAAGAAGAAAGGTGTGTGTGTAAATGTGCTAAAGCTACGACGTTTGCGACTCAAAAAACAAGCGCCAAGATAGTACAACGAGCTGCCATGTGTATACTATGTGGTCAGGTACCGTTCAGTCCAGTATCATTTTCAGCGCTTGTGGCGTTGATTGCTCTCTCTTCTCTCTCTCTCTCGCTCAGGCTCAAGCGGACGACATTTTGCTGCTGTCCACGTCGCCAGAGGGCCTACAATCCAAGCTCGACTCCCTAGCATCCTGGTGCTTGCGCAATGGGCTCGCGGTCAACGTATCAAAGAGCTTCTTACTCGCGTTCGGACCTCTGCCACTTGCCCTGCCTCGAATCACCCTCTATGGCGAACGACTGCAGCTGACGGACTGTACCGCCTACGTGGGCGTGTTGCTGGCGACGTCGAAGCGCAACGTCTATGCAAATCATCGCGTATCGCAAGCGAAGAAGGTGCGCGCGGTGGCTAACTCTACTCTAGGAGTGGAGGGGCTCATTGGTCCCATACCCCCCTTCTTCGCACGGAAGCTTTACAACGCGCGCATACATCCCCATCTCATATCTGCATGCGTGGTCGACCTCGACGTCAACACCGCAGACCTGCGCGAGCTCGAGGACGTACAGAACACCTTCGCGCGCCGCATGTCGCGACTGCCCGCCCACACCCAAATACTTCCGGTGCTGATGGACCTTGGGCTACGTCCGCTTCGATACGCCCGTATGCTGGCTGTCCTGGTGCTACTAGAGGGACTTGTGACCACCGCGCCTGTGGTGCCCAGAGCTGCTCTCGCTTGCTCCGTCGCTCTCGCTCGACGCGGTCAGCGCTCGTGGGCCGGCGATCTCCACCATGCCCTCAAGGCACTCCCGGTCCCAGTACAGTGGGACTACCGAGCAACACCTACCGTCGACCGGGTGCGCGACGCGCGAAAGCGTGTTCTCGAGTCGCTACTCCAGTGTGCACAGGCTTGCATCTCCGGGTCGACAAAGCTTGCCCTCTGGAAGTGGGGTGTCATGCCAGCCATTGCTCGGAGGCCGACGCTTGATGACCTCTTCAAGCTCCGCCCGTACACTGCGATAGCCCGCATCTCACATCGCCGGAACGTCGCCCGCTTGCTCGCAGGATCCCTCCGTACGCCATCGAGACA